TAGGACTAAACCGGCAACTATTTTTGTTGACCTTTGTCCATGGAAGGTCCCTGCAAAATTTCATTGAAATTGGTTCAGGGGTTTTGGAGAAGAAGTCGAAAATGTAAATTGTTTACGGACGCACAACGGACGACGGACGACGACGGACAAAAGGCGATCGCAATAGGTCACTTGAGACTTTGTCTCAGTTGACCTAATAAAAGTTAACCCTCCCAGTCTCCAAAGTATGTCTGAATGACCACTTTCCCACAAGTAACAATTAATCATACAACTCATTCATCCCTGAGGACACATTTGAACTCCTCCAATTCAAAGGTTAAAATAGTTCATAATGAAATTTCAGGGGTGAATGAGTTAAATACAATGTATATTAATATTCTTATCGTATGAGTTGTCTTTATTTTGGCAACATCCATAGCTGGTAACATAATAAAGGGGTGACTGAATAAACACATTTTTGCAGTGGCGGAAGTTTTGTCTGTTAGATACGTTCATACGGTGGTAGCCTGGGACATTTCGGTGAGTACATTGTACAAACAACCATGAAACAAGTTCTGGAGATTATCCAAGGTATGTACATGAAGTTCACTAACATTGTGACGAAGGTGAAATCATATTTGATACACTTAGTGCATCATAACCACTGAGACCCAATGTGGTGGTCATCGTTTTCAACTCCTATACATTATATAGTGAAATCTGCCTTTACTGACACCTGACTTTCATACAGACACCCTTACGACATGATTTTACAGGTCCAAAAACTGTTCTCTTTATCTTTGAACCTGAGGTTACTGACACACTGTCTTATTTGACCAATTGATTCTGTACAAATTCCTCAAGGTGTCAGTAAAGACAGGTTTCTGTCTTCAGTAACCACTTTTTACAATCACCTGTCTATAGTGACCACCTGTCTATAACAACAAAATGTAAATAGTGATCACTTGTATATATATCGACCACTTGTCTAGTGACCATCTGACCATAGTGACTACCGGTCTATTGATACAAGTGTACATCTATTCAAGCTCTTTTTAAATAGTTGATATACATATCAAAGTAAAGCTAAAATAGTGCTTATAAAATAAATAATGCACTGTTGAACAATAATTATATACCATGTTTTGTTTTAAAATCCTAAAAATATCCTTCTGTCTTATCACTAGATCTGTTTACTGGTCGCAAAATACATCTTCATATTCATGTACATGTCATATACAAATCCATAAAGTTAAAAATACACAAAAATAAATAATACGCAGTTAAAAACATCGATACCTTTCAGTTTAAAACCGATTCCATTTACACCAAAAACAGACCAGATCACACCCCAATCATAACAACCTTCCAAAAACACCAGCTATAAAATCTCTCATCAACAACACAGAATAAATAATCGGTGCTTGTCACATCATCCTGACTTTGTCAGCAGAGTGTAGGTACACAAGCTTCTCAGTTCACAAAGCACTTCGTCTCTGTATCTTACTTTGATATTACGGGACAATGAAAACTACTTCCTTTGATATTCTATAATACTTTACTAAGGCAAAAGCATCACATTGGTATTTATTTTGTTCGATTTTAAATATGATGTGGTTTTACGCTTGCTACAGAATATTTACATTTAGTGCATGGAATTTACAATTGACTTTTTGTACATGTCATATATATAAATGCCTTCCCTATAAAACTTGAACGGGATGACTTACGGTAAATATTTTTCCTGCTCCCGATAGAGGTTAAGTTCAGCGCATTTCACTGTGTCTGTAATGTTAAGACTGACACTGTATAGTAGAGCAGTGTTTGGATTACAAATCTTCCCAAACTACTGTATACTGGGAAGCATTCGCTTCGTAAAATATTCGCTCTCAACCTGTATAATCCATATTTGCCCAGTGTAAATTTCCCACTTCACATTTTATAACTATTTAGGGGATGATGTGTACTTATATTTGATGTCAGGATAAATTCGCCCTTATTGCGGAAGGGGGGAAAAGGCGAAAACTAAGATGCAGCGAACATTTCCCGGTATACAGTATTTGAGACTGACAAAGATGGCTCCCATTTGTAGGGTATACTATAACATTGGGTCTCTCCACCTACAGCAACCCAAGACTAATATACACCTAGAAGCAAACTACACGACCTAAATCTCAATGTATATACATATACCAGTGTGTGGTGTTTGTTGATTTGCACTGCTCTCCATGGGAACTTCTGTTACAAGACATTTGTCTGACCGACGACTTGGATGAAGACCTTTGTGATCCTGGCGACGCTTGAGGAGTTCCTTCAGAAAACAGTCACTGGTCGCATATGAACAGCAGTCACAATATTTTTAGAATTTATTTCTTGTATAGATTTTAATTAGCAAGGTGAACGTCTTTAGATCCAAAACATTACCATATATACAGCAGGCTCAAGTCATTGTCCCACACACACAAGCTTGTTACATGACTAGACAGCTGAAATTGTAGATTTACTTCTTGCCCAAATGATGGACTAGATACGGACATGGTAAACGTTGTGTCAGAAAGGCGTAATATCTGCTCATTAAAGTTCATGTCAGTGGTCAAGATTGAATTACGTCGAAATGAACGACCTTGGGAAAGACCAGAGGTCAGTTTGCATTGTGATGAAAGTTTTCCATGTGAATCACAACACCATGAATAGTATTACAACGATTAGTAGCACGGCTAGGAGAACGAATATTGCACACCACTGTCGTTTATCTGAAACAAAACAGGCTCAATGTCAGAACTAATACATGTCATTCAGGTACATATGGTCTTTTGGTACAATTAATGTTTCATCTACTCTAGGTATTAATTCTATAAAATATCATAATTCTTCTGTTGATGTTTACTATGCAATAGAAACATGGTAATCTATTATATCCTTAATATGCTTGTGACATTCTGAATGGTTGATAGCCCATGATGTGCACTAGAATACTTCCATTGTTTATCTGACAATTTGGTACTTATCAAGATATTCACATTCATGAAAATTTCCTCAAGATAAAGAAAACAAAATCCTTCAGAAAAGATAGTGTCCAAACAGAGTAAAAATTGACAGAGAAAATGTAAATAAACAATTTCAAGAGAACTTTTTGTTTTATCTTTGGCACCACAAAGTAAGCAAATATTCTAATATCGAAGTTTTACTTTATACAAAAACAATATACTTATTAAATGTGTCGCAACGTTTCAAGACCCACTGGTCCCTTTGTCAAGCTATGACTGAGAGAGCGATTTGTAATTTTTACAGGTCAAACATATGTTGCAACATGTTTAATAGGTATATTGTTGTGTATAAAGTAAAAATTTGATATAACGTATATCCAAACTGATGAATCTTATTGGAAAAGAAAGAAAAAATCCTCCCTAGTGCATAGAAATACTATGGAAAGATTCCTATTTGATCAATTTTACCCCAAGGTGAAGTCAAGGGGGATGATATATCTCCAGTCTAACAGTACATATACTGCTGACAATACCCTGCCATTGTAAGGAGGCAGTTCATACAAGTAAAAGCTAATGTCTCTATACAATATGTAGAAAAACCATGATACACTTTAATTGTAAAATGGAATTCCATGCTATTGCTGAAACAAAGAAAACTTCTTTGTACCTTCTTATTATCAATTATTTAAGGAATATGCAGCATTTTTTTTAGTTTATATACAGTATAGTGCGTATAAACCGGAAAAACTGTGAAACTTGCATAAGTCTGACAAAAGTGCCGTGGTTTTTTAGGTATATATCATATAATCCCAAAAATAGCCATGGTTATAACTTATAATTTAAATTTTAAAGAATTACAAATCTATTGCCGCAAAATTAAGGTACATGCATATTCGATTTTACCTGAGAAAGTCTAGCATTTGGAGGAATAGCCAAAATTAAATTATATAATGATATACCTACCATTAGACATGTGTAAAACCTTCGCCATCTTCTTCATAGTTGCATCCATCTTAGATTCCGTTGTATCCATCTGGTGCCCAAAGTCATCCAGCATGCTGAAGAGACATATTGACTTTGTATCAACTTGACATTATTTTAAAAAAATTAGAGAAAAAATAATATGAGATAAACATATTTTCATTATGATTGTAAGGGGTAGAAATTTCAATGGTAAAACATAGAGCAGTAGGATTAGTGGAGATGCACAACTGCTTTGATGGTGATATATTTTACAAATTTCAAGCAAATGACGTGAACACACTGAATTATATATTATTCACACATGCTTCCGGACACCTGAAAAATACTCAATGACAAAAGCGCAATAGCTTTACAAAAACAATCCAGATTAAAACCAGTTTGAGTGTATTTATAATGATAAAATATAATCCATAAAAAAATCAAGGTGTAATTTAATACCTTTCAGTGATCAATCTACAATTTATTTTCATGGGTCCTGCTCAAATGTATTGCCAAAATCAATGGGTCCCACAATGTTAAATTTAAGTATTTCCAGAATTCTACTAAGCCCCATCAAAATGCTATGAGTATAGGAGTCGGGACTGGTATATAGATTTATCACTGACCTTTGACACAGACAAATTCCTTGTGAACTTGACTATGCACTACTTACATATTCTGTTCCTCTAGTTCGTTGCCTATTTGGTGACTCATGTTTTTCAGCACCCCCACACTGGTCCCTATCTTGTCCAACTGGTCATCCTGAGATTCTATCAGGAGCTAAAAAGTATACAAACAGACTAATACTTTTACAGACCATCATTTACATGTAATTCCAATTTCCCTTTTTCTCAATTGGAGAAATAGAATTTAAGCAGATAAAAGTTGTATTTTCAAAAAATTTAATGAACAAAAACATGTACTGATTGGAGCTTCCTTTAAACTGGTACATTATTTTTTGTTTGAAATTTTCATCTGAATAAGTATGTGAAGTAATTTGATGAAAAACGCCTGAATTAAATTTCTTATTTCTTGATTTGTGAGGTGTTATAAGTTACCTGCTGTTGCTGGGTTGTATCGTCTATAAACCTCTGGTTGGCACGCTCCATATCCTGGTCCAGTTTGGTGTAGCGGTCATATTGTTTACCAGCTCCATTGGATATTAATGCCTGATCAAGACAATGTAACAGGATCCGTTGTATGAATAAACAAGATCTTAACTCATTCACCCCTAAAGACACACTTGAACTCTTCCAGTTCAAAGGTTGGAATAGTTCATTATCAAATTGCAGTGGTGAATGAGTTAAATTACATACAACAGTGTACTAAGGTATGATGTAGGGCACATCTTGACAGTGAATTTCAAAGTTGCTTGGTACTTATGATTGAGCAATTTAAGTCCAACTGCATATTCATAATTAATATGAATATGACTAACATACCAGCATGATGTTATAATACTTAAAATTATATATTGTAAAAATTAATTATTTGTCAAAAGCAATAAGACGAAACTGCCTAAAAAGATCAGAACATTTATCTCTCCACAGCAAAACATAGACCTTTAGTTGGAGCTTGTTTCTAGTGAGTTTTATGCATAAATACTGTTTTATTAATACAAACTTTCACAATCAGCTGGTACATGTATGTATTAACTTTGTACATATACTTTGTGTACACATGCATATCTCATTTAAATGTCTGCATATGGTAAAATATTTGAAATTAAAAAAACAAATAGAAAGAAAAAATGCATCATTCCAGCTGTATTTACACTCATGATTCCTTCATAACTTTGTTAACATACAGTGTATGTTGCATGTTTCATGGAATAAAGTATTTGAATCCTTAATAAAAAGATGTCCATCCTGTGCACTACCGTCAGAGGGATATCCAATGATTGAGATAACTTTTTAATTATTTAAGACAGTGATGACAGACATTTGCTTAGCCACTGGTTCATGAAAGTCAACAATTCAAAATGCATAGGCACAATTTTAGACTTTACTTGTTCTTCCAAAATTACACAAAAAAATGATGGCTTGACATTAAATGTTACCTGCCGAGGTCCCATATCATCCTTCGGTTTAGCTTTTGGACTGGATAAGTGGGATTTCATTTGCTGGAGAAAACAAAAACAAAAACCAAATAATGCTGGATTGGGCGATTATTTCAATTACCAAGCAAATGGCAATGATACTAAAATCTGTGATAACATAAATTTTATATAGAGAACTACCTGGTAGTGTCAGTGATATTTGTAGGATTTTTTAGGTGAGTCCTGAGTGTCATTTTCAAAATACAAATGTGTCCCGTTACTAAGAAATATAGTAGGTTCTTATAGAATATGGACGAGTCCCAAATGAAAATTGTTAGTCAAGGACTAAATCATCTAGATCTGTGACGGATAAATCACGGGATGTTACTGTTGAACAATGCAATGTAAACAGATCTAGAAAGTATCTGGAAGGAGAAGAGCTGAATGTATTTCACTTGCTAATGTATTCAAGATATTGGCGGAATTAATATTTTTCATTATAAAAAAAACCTTACTCAATCTTCAAGATCCTTTAGCATTTCCCTAGAATCCAAGTCAAAAGCCAATTGCAAGTACTTTACCTTGGTATTATAATTGAATGGTCAAGGGTTGCAAGTCACTTACCTGGACAGTAGATTTGGTCCGATCGATGAAAGCTCTTCTGTCAAGCAATTCTGAGGTATCAATTTTAAACTTTTTGGGATTCTTTTCCACAATACGTACAATGGTTAAGGAAATAAAATATGCTACTCTGATTTATGTTATTTCATGAATAAGGAAAATATAGCATTATTGATATATTGAACAGCGACAATAAATCTTTTTTTTTTGCTGGGGAAGCAGTCTGTATTTTGCAGTTATTTTATATATAGTTGGTTATGTAAAGGATATCTACTGTCTCCTCCAAATCCTCCAGATCCCATTCTATACTTCTTAAGCTGTTCCTTAACTCATTGGTTGTCCAATCATATTCCTCTTTGGATACAGACTTTGGATTGTCCAGAAGTTCACACCATCGTTCATACAAATTTCGCGATGACTGAACAGCTTTTTGTACTTCACTGTGAATTAGAAATAACCAAATGAATTACAAACATTTTTTTTCAGTTCTCCATCTTTGGCATTACAACGTTGATATATTTGATTGTAGTATTAGCCATTACAGTATTCTTTCTACAACAGGTCTGCCTGTATACAAAACATTCATGTCATTCAATATACAGACAATACCATACGGGGTACAGTCGTTTCGGTACACGGTAGTTTCGGTACTTCAAAAATAAGAGGTTTCTGTACTTTTTGTAAGTAGTTTTGGTACTTTTTGTAAGTTGTTTCGGTACTTCAACAATTTTTTCGGAACTTTATTTTTTAGTTAATAAATATTTCTCATTTGTCATTCGTTTATTAGTTAATAAATATTTATTGTTGGTTGTTTATTTAACGTTTGCTTTTGTAGTTGTTTAAACAATCAAGCAGATTAGTCAATCATTGTTTTCGAACTTCAAACGTGATCCCGCAACATACGCGATGGTTGTTTATTTTACTGAGCAGCTGAGTAGATCAGAGTAGCTCCGAGTAGATCGGAGTAGTTCTTTAGGAGAGAAACTCAACGCTGAGGGAATTCACCAACTTGTCATAAAAATGACGGTTCCGCTATCAAATTTATCAAAAAACTCATCATGTCTTTGGATGATACGTGTATTCAGTGTGACGGCGTTGTTCGACCTCGACAGGAAGCCCTACAGTGTGACGTGTGCAGTAGATGGCAGCACAGAACGTGTGCAACTGGTGAGTACAAATCACTCACAATTAGGGATTTCCATTTCAGATTAAATTATTGTTTAAATATGAATTAAACATGTTATATATATGTCCCGCTATACTTAGTTATTTATGAATTAAATATGTTATATATATGTCCCGTTATGCTTAGCTAATAATTAGGGATTTCCATTTCAGATTAAATTATTGTTTAAATATGAATTAAACATGTTATATATATGCTATACTTAGTTATTTATTAATTAAACATGTTATATATATGTCCCGTTATACTTAGTTACTTAGTTATATTAGATATCAAGTTTGTGCTTATATCAAATATACATGGACTGTATCAAAACAAGCAAAGACCACTTCAAAAAATCTGATACAAACACGTGTATTATAGCACAAGTTTGTCTTAGAGTTACTTCTCTTGAAGGTATACAGCACACAAAAAAATGGTGACGTTGACTAAAACGTGGTACCAAAGTGTGTTTTCCATAAGTCCCTAAACGATTTTCAGAAGTACCGAAACGACTTTCCGAAGTACCGAAACGACCGGGTACCTAAACGACCAGGTACCTAAACGACCTGAATTCTACCATACAGACAGAAGTATCCTGGTTGTTTTGCCCTAAACCCTGTTCGTGCCACGGGGCGTTTCAACCTAAATCCAGTTTGCCAAAGGTTGTTTCACCCGAATAGCAGTTGAAATGGTTTTAATCATTAAAAACACTTATACTTCACAAACAATTGTGTTTAAGGTAGAATTTCATGTAGGTGTGTACTACACTACATTTTATGTGCAGATCTGCTCGACCACATACCTGTGCATACTAATCTAACGAGTCTAATGACAAAAAAAGACTAAGGGAGACCAAGGAAAACTTCAAATGAGACTGTATCAGCAATACACATCTTAACAGGACAAAACAGTTTCGTCCTCAAAATACTTTTAGTGCGAAACGACCTGGGATTAGGCCGAAACGACGACACCCAGACAGAACCCACATAGAACCCACATATATTGTATTGATTCACATACATGTGGCAACATTAACCAACCCCGATAAAACAAATACTTGCTGTCTAGTAACTAAATTATAAAGAATATTTCAATTGGAGATCCAGTAAACCATCTGGGGAAAGAGGACTTTAACAATGTCGACACGACTTTTGGGAAGTATCTCGCCATTCTCGGTACGGAAACGACCCGGTACGGAAACATCTGTACCCCTTTGAGACTGGCTTTATTCCTGCATACAACTTGGAATATGAATGGAATTGGTAGGCTAAGTAATATGCTAAATATGGACATAGATCTGTAAATAATATAATAAATCCATATTCCAATAATCATTTAGCAACGAATGTTGTTGACAGATAGAAATCTGCGATTATTGTTTGCCAAGTTACTCACTCTCTGACAACGAAAAACGGGTCTTCAAGAGACATGCTGAGCCTCGATGAAGTTGAAGATGTTTGTCGTTCACAGCTTCATTTCATAAAATCGTTATTTAGAAGAATATAGCTCATATAAGTCCCTACATTTGAGACAAAATTACGTGTTATAAAAAAATTATGGGACTCATCACCGGAATTACTAATAGAAAACCAATATGCGAACCATTGACGGAAGATAGATCTCCGGAATTTGCTCTCATTTATATTTGATTAATTCATAGAAGAAGAACAAGCACGGATGATAATGGATAACCAACAAATAATCATATGTTAAGATGGGACATTTTGTAAAGATTATTTAAAGTAATATTTTGAACCTTAAATGTCTCTTTCATAATGAAAGCATCTCTTATATTTCCCGCGCAGTGTCATTGGGTTAGCTCCCTTCCTTTATAAGGTCAAGAGTTCAAACGCAGCAGCAGCAGCTCATCAACATCGCATCTCCTCTTCGATAATGTATCTGGGCTGCGGCCATCTTGTAGGGATCAGAGTACAGTAGCTTTGATCACCGATCTGAAGATGGAAATCCGTGTCTTTTTATCACAAAACTAGTTGAAACTCAAATATGGTAAAACGGAAGACCATTTCGGGTGATGATTTGGATGGAGATCAGACGATACCATTGCCTATCCAATCTTTCTTCTGGCGGCAGACGAGGTAATCAACAGTTGGCTTGTTGACATCTGTCGACGGCATCGTTATGCATTGCATGTAAACATATAGATGCAACCAAAATAAACAGACACGGTACTGGCTACTGGCACACTGATATGTGTGCTATAGTGGGTCAAGTGTGCAGTATTAGTTATATTTCGACTACAGACGCTTAGTCAATGTCGTAATCGTCGTCTTACATGTATCTATAAACAAACAGGATATTTCAGACTAACGAATACTGTAGGTAGTACAGTTCATTCTACCAATCTTGATGAGTTTGTAAACTCAAAAATATAAATAGATAAAAAAATTACTAAAGAATGTATATATCTGTTGTTAGAGAGATGTACTACATCAACACTAAACAGTTATATTCCACATACTTCGTAATTTGATATTTGAAAACAGAACATATGCTTCCTGAATACTTGCTTCTGCAATTTTGTACAGTCAAAACCTGGACCAATCTTCTGGAGGACATTGTATAAGCTCCAGATATCATCACTTTTAAGAACAGAATAGATAAACTTTGGCAGAATAAAGAACTTTATTATAACTTTAGGGCAAATAAAATAACAACGAACTTTAAAACGTTATAATATGTTACATCTAGTTTTCTGTTATTTTAAGGCCATTCATTCGACCAAAGTTGGAAAAGCTCTGTGAAGCATCATGTGTGGTAAGTATATATTCAAGATATATCTTAAATTGCACTTGACAATATAAATTTTTATTTGGTAAATACAGTAACATATGCTTGTCATTTAAATAGCTCATGTAAAACTTTAATGTCTTGTTTTAAAAAGTGCATATACATGTTACATTCAGGGCTAAAGCAAAACAATAAATGCACAATACTTTTCTTAAAGTGAAATATGTATATATATCACAGTGTATATTGATTTCTTGATCTAGGAATCATTTCCATCATCCAAGCATTGACTAAGTAATTTAAACATGTTTGGAATAAGGCAAAAAAATTATGCTTGTGTTTCTGCTATCATCCTTAACAAAATATTTTTTATACTTATGTACATAGCAGGAGTCCTGACTTTAACAGTATATATCACTAAATGTGAATAAAAAGTTAAGAGTAGGCACACACTTCTAGGGTAGGACGGTAGCTATATATGTAGGGTAAGCGGAAACAAATTATTTTTTATTTGGCCTAGTTAAATTTCTAATAAATGCAATATGTCTAGATCTGACAATATCATGCACTCCTCCTTTACTTTTGATGTGCTTACAGTCGTTCGAGCGTGTGGTAGTCCAGAACATCCTGCATGGGTGTTCCCCGAGCCTGTGTGCAGCAATACAGAGTGTGCCTCGCTGGAAGGTCATACAGGCGGCTTTCCCTCACGTCATGCATGCCTGTTCAACACTCCTCACTTCTTGCAAGCGCTTAGATATAGGTAAAGGTTTGATTTGATTTATAAACATGTGTATACCGGTAGTGTACATGAATGTATACATGTTGTAAACAACATAACCCCCCCCAACCACCATCACTACCACTCACAAAAAAAAATAACATAAAAAGAAGGATTTCTATCATATGTCCATTATGAGTCATGGGGCATATCCTTCAGAACAAAGTTAAAAAAAAATGTCATATACAATATACCCAGGTTCCTATATGGACCCCTGTGTAACTACGTGCTGGAGACACCTTTTCAGGTGCCTTTACTACTACTCCAGTGCTCTGCAAATTGAACTAAAGGAAAAACACCTCTAGTCGAGTCAGGATGTTAACAAATGACTAGATGTTATATTTTATATCATAAAGTAACACTAATACTGTATTTATCCGACAAAATGCCCATGCCTGGTAATAAGCCCATCTGAACCTACATGTATATATATGTTGCAGTTTAGAAGAAATAACGATGTATGGTATTTTAATTATTTCATTATCCTGAAAGAAGCCGACTCCCTACTTTATGTCAGGGATTATGTATTTGCTTCTCTGGGTTGATTGTAGAATAAATATTGTACATGTATAATGAATTAAAAACTGTCCAAGATAATTTTTCCAATCATTGTTATTTATAATTTATTCTAGTCAATTGTTTTTTAACAGATGCCAGGTTTGGTTCTAATGAGACAAAGCTGCTGTACATTCTCCACTGGATCATATTGGATGCTGCCTCAGAATGTGAAGATCAAGAGTCTGATCCTCTCCGTAATGGAGGTCGTACCCTTGGCAACAGCGGCTCCTCAGAACAGATGCACTCTCTCAGCACAATACAGCTGTTTGTGTACCTGTTTGCCCCACTCCTGGACTATATGGATGACACTGATTTTCAGACCCTAAAGTTAGAGAATGGTTTGAGACTTTGGCAGCCATTGTGGGACTACAGACAACCTGACATACCCTGCTTTGCGACACCTGTCAAACCCCAGAGGAATGTACTAAAGGCACAGCGAAGTCTGCTGAAGATCAACACTAATGCAGGATACGTGTACATGGGGAAAGGAACTTCCAGAGAGAATCTTAATGTTGGATGCATGGAAAGAAGCATAGAATGTGAAGATGAAAACAATCTAAGCTGCAAGACAAGCACTGGTGAATACCAGTCGCCACGGGCACCGATAGTCACCATGTCCAACATCTGCCCGTCGTCTACTGGGGATTCACAATCGGCCAACATTGAGGTCATCTGTGAACACTGTAATACTGTCATGTCTATGCGCGGGGCAGGCGACGGCAGTAGGCGTTGTAGCTGTGGACGGCGGGAGAGTTCTACCTCCTATGACAAGATGAACCCTTGTCACAACAGGCTCCCGTCGCTGATAGATCATGACTTCGTGAAGCAGAGGTTAGTGAGTGCTGTAAACAGTGGGGTGAAGGGACCGACTACACCAGACATCCTGAGTGCAAGCTATTTTGATGTGGCAGTTTTACGGTGTCTGTTTTGCCAGTATTGGTCCGAGGATGGGATTTATTGGGCACTCAGATACATACAACAGCGATTAATGGAGGTCTGTGATGAAGTGTTCCGACGAACAAACACTGATCGAGCAAGGAGCCGTTCTCTTCCTTTCTCTGACATCAAAGTCCTGAAAAATGGGAGTCTTCCTTACAATCCATTTGAGACACACAGGTTTTCAGACAAAAGAGGATCATCTGCCAAAGGTTTCAGCAAACTCACCTCCAAACTGACAACTATTCGTAGTGGAACAGAGATAGATAAGCTTTCGCCAGACAGACCTACACACCTGTCTGCTTTTGAAGAACTCCGAAATCGGGAGACAAAGAGGCTTCGACTTGGAGGTGGTCGGCGACACATTGACACTGGAACCGCTCAGATAAATCCAACAAAACCTACTAGATTATCCCCCGTGGGTGCTCCACCTGTGAAACATGGAGTACAGTTTGCCACATCCAAGTCTCCAGGAATCTCTACCCCAACTTCATCTTTCACTCATGGGTCGAAAGACGACTCATCCAGTGCTGGTACTATGTCCACTGGCGAAGGGGATGGGGACACAGACCGGGCCTCAAAGAGTCAACACTCCTCCACCAGTGGTAAGACTGTCAAGTTTCCTTTGTCCCTCAGTGGGATCACCTCCTTTGATAGTGACAGAAACAAAGGCAACCGTAACACATACACTAAAACCAAGCTCCATCCCCTGGGCTTTGACAAAGATTCCGCTACTGACAGTAGTAGTCACGAATCCTCCACCTCTTCCCAGCAGGGCGAATCCACAACCAATGACTTGGGCCAGAAGAAGTTTGACACAATGCCAAAACCTATAATCACAGTTACAGAGCATAGCTATGACTTTGACGGAAAGAAGGAACCAATTTCTCCCAAAGGCTCAATGAATGGAGGCAGTACAGAAATTGATGATGATGGAAAAAAGAAATCGGGCATCTCTCGTAGTATGACGGACTCTGACATCAGCTATCGTCAAGAAGATGAGGTACATGAAGTACCTGGATCTGTTCACTATATCCAGGTAATGTGAAATTGTTTACTCTCACTTATTTACATACAGCCTAGATCCAAGCAATCTGGAGTGTTTATCCACAAACTATATAAAGCAAAATTCTATTTCAAAGTTCTAACAGGGAATATAACAAAATAAATTATAACAGTCACTCTATATCCAAACTGTCAGGCTTAACCCTCCATCAGGGATTCAATGGTCATCACCCTTATATCTCATCCAATTTGAACAAAGGAAATGCACACACATGTACTATGGAGTTTATTAGTGTATGCACTTAACAGTTACATGTAATGTAAAATTGTTGTTTGGCCACTATACATATACAAGTCATGTGAGGTTGATTGCTATCTGCCCACTAATAAACAGGTAATGTTACTCTTTACTTCATATACTGATTATGTGAAGTTGCTTGTATTTGCAGGTTATGTTGAGTTGTTTACTATTTTACCACTATATACAGATACAAAATTACTTCAGTCATTATCAATGACCTGGTAGATACAGTAATGTGTAGGTCCCTGAGTTTCACTATGCTCTGAAGGTAATTTTTAAGAAATTTAAGTGTGTGGTAAAAATGTTATTGTAGACGTTTCTTACAGAACTGACTTTTCTTACAGGACAATGGTCACATCAACTACAAGGTCATCCTCCAGGCTGTCCACTTCATCAGTAACACTCAGACCAGTGACCGCATCTGTGAGGTCCTACTCAACGTCATGAACTGGCTCCTTGACCTGGACATTATAGAGCAACCTAGGGACAGCCAACCAAAGACACCGACTACTCCAGCCTCTGAGGGTGACCGACCGCAGGAAGCGGAGGAGAAGGAAGGAAGCCCATCACAGGCCAGGACGTGTACAGAGACCGAGGGACAGGGAGGAGACTCCACTGCACACAGTCTGGCCATGGACACACTACTCAGGTTAGACCTGGTATTTTGTACAATGAACATTTTGTTCATTGTATAATTATGTACCTGTAATATTTTTTCATTTTGTAGCTGCTATATATGCTATACTAGTTGTCATGTTGAAGGTATATAGGGATAAACTAGGACTTTAACCCTGGCAAATTAATCTGATCACAAATTTAATGAAAGATAATACAAGTTTCTTGGACTACAATTATTTAGCCTAAAATCCTGCCAAAAAGCAACATTGAACCTCCCTGACACACAACAACAGTCTGAGGCATGCCTACTGTGTGTGAATAAGGCATAGTCTATGCAACAGCTTGCCAGATTATTATCCCAAAGTAAAGATTGCATGAAAACAGTGATAACGTTAATTTTAATTTTTAATAGTTGCAGAAGAAATAATACTGTGTGGTGTGTTAAATTAAGTGTAATATTTTATTAACATTTTTCACAAAACAATTTGTAAAATAGTTTCATTCTTGATATATATTGGATCAGGCCCGGTATCGGTTAGTTATTGTTTTATATATCAGTTAACACACAAATGACATTGCAATTACATTTTTTAACTTACCATAAATGCTTGAGTTATTCGATGATTCTTCAAACCCAGACCAGCATTCACCAAACACATCTGTATCGATATTGTTTATGATGCTATTGATAGTATCGGGTACATTATGATAACTAGTCTAGACTTCAAAACTAAAAAGAACTTAAAAGAAAATGATGGCTATAGAGGTGAATGTAATTTTCAATTCAGACTTTTTGACACCAGGGTATACCTATCTCTTTTTTTCTTCAGCATTTTTAAAGCTCTTGGTTGTCCCCACGGGTGTGGTGATGGTGTTCGGGGATCGCACGGTGACCTCCTGAGGTTAAAAGGTCAAAACTGCTTGCAGAGATTACAAAGGGTCAATGCGGTCCTGTTTAGGTCGTACCTGAAAGACACCATTAAGAAGTCACCATTACAAGACAGTGTGGACTTCCTACATGCCTTTCTGGGATTTTGCGTGGAGCCTTGTCTGATTCTACAGCAGAGTGAGAGAGCGGAGCGCTCAGCATCAGGTTCACAGGGTAATGATGCAAAGGGCATCTTTAGCTTGAGATGATATTTGACATAATCTGGCTGCGTTCTGCTAGCTATGTTTTAGTGAAACAACGAGTGAAAATCTGGTATGGAAGATATCCGTAGTCGTTTTAGCTTTCACTTCATTTCCAAACCTGTTTTCTCGATATTGAAATAATTCATTGCAATTCTTAAATGTTTTGAGAAAAACTCGAGCGTTATTTTTTTAATTGAAGCATTAAAAAAAGCAATTAAAAAAATGAATAGTTCTGCTGAAAAATTGTATTAAAAATTTTGAGGTGACAAAAATTACTGACATCTGCTGGGTAGTCAAACCAGTCTTCCAAAAGCTGCCAAAGAAAAAACAAAACAAGTGTTAACTGTAATAAACCAGATACCTTTATCAAGACAGGTCAATTATTTGTATGAATTTAAAGACATGAGCTCATTTGTGGTTTCTAATTATATATATAAAGGCATGTTTGAGTTTTAACATATTTTTATTTGGTTTTTGTTTTGCATAGGGGGCAGTAAGAAGAGCAGTTGTCAGGAATCACAGCAAAATGGCTTCCAGAACAACTTCGGCCACACAATTGGTGGAGTAGGGTACCGCGGAGTAGAGGGTGTCATTATTGCCTCCATCTTCAAGTCATTTGTGTCCCGATGTGTGGAGAACAGTCGAGATCTGTATGGCAGTGACAACATTGTAAGTAACAAAGGGGGAATAATCCATCTTCTAAAGGAATTTGTTTTGACGAGTCTCTGCAAATATTCCTTATTCAGGGCTATTCCATCCTCTTTATCCAGGGGTTAGGCTCACTTTCGCTCTCTGCACCCCTGGAATATATCATAGCAACATCCAAGGCTCAGTGTGCAGCATCTTGTGGTACATCAAAAGGATCTCGCAGTCGTGTAACGGTAAAACTTACTGGCTTTGAAGTAGGGCGTCGCTCCTCTGTAATCTTCAAAGGACAAGTATCAACCAAGAGATCGGTCAGGTTATTTTAGCTGACACCAATCAAACAGCTATATTCGTGCCCTCAATTTTGCTATGACAGATTCCAGGCGTGTAGAGACCGAAAGTTAGCGTAACTCCTGGATATCGAGGATGGGGCTATTCCTGATACATACATATTTGTGAGGTATTGAAAAATAGGTCCGAGCCAAGACAGTCCAGGGCAAGGCCATGTGATTATGAATGATTCAACCAAGTCTAAATTGTATTTTTGTTCAATTTTTCAGTTCTACCTCAAAATGCAGTTTAACATATGTATATATGTGTACATGTACATATTGTATATATGGATGTATGTGTTGAATCTGTTATAACAGGGACTGTTCTGTGATGTGCGACAGTTTATGGCCTATGTTAAAGAGATCCATGGTGGAACGTTCCGCCGGGTTGGCCTGGGAGGACTCCTTGATTCACATCAAGCCCTGAAGCAGAAGGAAAAGAAACAACAGGACAAACTCAAGCAGTCTCTACCCATCAGGTTATTATCAAACTTCAATATACTTGAAATCCTGTATACACAGCAATATTTGTTCAATGATGTTTTTCCTAGTATATGTTTGTATCATAATGAGCTGATGTCTTAAAAATTTCAGTAAGATCTGCCACAAACCTTGTAACACCAACATACTGCTGGACAAAAGGCATACTCAATACTCGTTCGCTCTCTCTGCACACCTGGAATATTTCATAGCAAAATTGAAGGCACACAACTAGCTATTTGATTGGTCTCAAGTAAAACAAACCTGACCAATCGCTAAGGCTGATGCAGGTCTGTCCTTTGAAGATTACAAAGAAAGGACACCTGACTTCAAAGCCAACCAATTTTACCACTACACGACCGACAGATTCTTTTGATGTACATCAATGGATCAAACTAGACTTCTCTTATCATCCACAAGGTGACACACACTGAGCCTTCAATTTTGCTATGGCATATTCCAGGGGTGCAGAGAGCGAAAGTGAGCGTAACCCCTGGAGTATTGAGGATGGACAAAAGGTGGAAGTATAACAAAGTTTTACTTTATTATGACATTACATTGAGGTTTGCGCTACAATTTGTTTGCCATTGCAGGAACAGTGTATGTCTTTAAAGTAAAATGTACATGTAAATAGTTTGTTATAATATTTTGACCAGGCGTACTACATCGCAGACTTCTGAGAGTGGTGATGAACGCGAGACGCGGCGCTCTATATCGACTGCATCTGAGGAGTCTGGCAAAACTCGCAAGTCGCTGTTCAAGAAGAAGCTTAAGAAAGTAACCTCAGTATGTATTGCAAGCATTGGTTATGATTTGTTGGTACTAAAAATGGGGGTGGGGGGCATTTAGTGTTGCCCATGTCAGTCTCGTCTCGTCACGTCCCGTCCTTATGTCTTACAGACATTTTCTAGTTCAAGTGACATATGTCATTATGGATACATTTATAAAAAAAATTACGGTACTATTCTATTATTCTATCATTTTAATTCTGCATCATAGCTATGATATTTAAGGCTAGTCTTAAAACAATAGTCGATTTTTACCTTGGCAAACATTTAAGATTCAATTTTATTAAAAGGAACATTGGTAGCTAGGTATATGAGATATATTGTTTAATGTTATCTCCATGTAGATTTCACTGAAAAGATTAGCCAATAAAATTGGCTTAATATTTACATAAAATAACCAAACATTACCAATTTCTAACTTTTTAAATGAAAGAATGTCATTTATTTCTGTTGGGAAAAATTCGTACAAATTACTTTTCAGATTATCACATAACTTGTTAGATTGCTGTGAGCTTGTAGCCACTGAGGCTGTTTAGGGCTGGCTGTCTCAAACAGGATTTTAATTGCCTCTTTAAGCTTAGTGTCACAAACAATCTACCAGGGCATTTCCTCTCGTGTTACTGACAGTCTTCAATCATACATCAGTAATAACAGTACCTTTCATCTCTTGAAAAAGAAACACCAAGACGTTTCTAAAAGCACATGTCTTTCAAAACATTCTGATCCTGTTTGGTAAATTTATGTCTTTCTCTATAAACATGACAGGATCTGATATTAAACAAAACAAAAAAATCTGAAAATATCCTTTAGAAAAAAACCTGTTTAATATAAGATCCTGACATATCTATAGAAAAAGAAATGATCATTTTGAGCTTGAAACAGTATTGTATTATTTTTTATTCCACACAACTCATCATTTATCAGCCTTGTATTTGGGATCTAGGAGGATTTGCTGTGGGGGATAATAACTCGCAGAGTGTGAACGAATCTTAACATCTCCCTCACATAAGGAAGGTTGTGTACACTAGATAGAGTGTACTATATATGTCACTTGCATGCCAGACTGTCATCTTATTTTTTCCTTTTCAGTCGCTAGCCCTGCAACAGTATGCCGCAGCCAGCGACTCCGAGCTGCTAGACGAATCACACAACACCAAGCATAACTCACAGTCACCCACCACAGAGGATGACTCTATAGCCAGCAACAGTACCGGGAGACGGCGCTTCAGTAAATTCCACCTAGGTATGGAGATCAAATATCGTGATGACAGTACAAAAACAGCTGCCCCGGGATTAAGACTTGGGGAGATGATTAATGATACACTGGTTTGGACAAGTGTTCAAATTGACAAGTTGTTTTGGATTTAAAAAAAAAAAAGTCATAAAAATTAAGGTTTAAAATCATTATGCTTTATGTGAAGAGATATATAAATAATATACAATTGTTTCATGGCTATTTGGGGAACAGTCAAAACTATCATCCCGAGGTAGGGGGAAGCCCTGGGGAACTGTTTGCCCCAAATAGCATTGAAATAATTGTTTTATTACCAAATAAATATTAGTATCAATGCTGCTTGCAATGATGCCATTGCTTCAACACTGAGTCGCGGTCACCGAATTGCTTGAAGGGGGCTCTCGAGGGTGGATTTCTGCGCATCCAATTCGAGGCGGGTAACAGTTCGCTCTGACCGGGAAAACAGTTTTGACTGTTTCACCCCTACAGCCGAAATTGGACAAAAGGCCAGAAACAGTCAAAAATGACTAATTATAATGTATATAGACTATTGGGTAATAAACCTATCTACATTTGTAAATCATTAACAGTTTCCCAAATGTTAAGTATTAAGCCAGTATCACTCTGTGGCTATATATTTTGACACCAGAATCCATAATTTGTGTTGTTATGTTGATGGCATGTATCATTGTGATGTTATGTTGACCATAAATTCAATCTTTTATGTTGCAAAGTTTATAGAATCCATAATTCATGACAACACATTTTATTGTTTGTGTTGCTTTGTTGATGGAATACGGATTCGTAAATTTAATGCTTTATTGATGAAATCTGTTATTTTTGTTGCTATGTTGACAACAGTGGTCTTTGTATTATGTTGCAACGTCAACAAGAGAATTAATGACTTTTGTAGCGTTTTGTAGTGTTGTATGTTGACTAATATAATCTATCACCACTTCAAGGGAGTAAGACAGAAAAGTCCACCATGAGTGATGTATGTTGACAACAGAATCTGTCATTAGTAATGTATGTTGACAACAGAATCCACCATGAGTGATGTATGTTGACAACAGAATCTGTCATTAGTAATGTATGTTGGCAACAGAATCCACCATGAGTGATGTATGTTGACAACAGAATCCACCATTAGTGATGAATGTTGACAACATAATCTGTCATTAGTAATGTATGTTGACAACAGAATCCACCATTTGTGATGTATGTTGACAACAGAATCCGTCATTTGTGTTGCTATGTTGATTACAGAATCCATCACACTAGTGTTGCTATGTTGACAACATAATCCACCATTAGTAATGTATGTTGACAACAGAATCCATCACACTAGTGTTGCTATGTTGACAACATAATCCACCATTAGTAATGTATGTTGACAACAGAATCCATCACACTAGTGTTGCTATGTTGACAACATAATCCACCATTAGTAATGTATGTTGACAACAGAATCCATCACACTAGTGTTGCTATGTTGACAACATAATCCACCATTAGTAATGTATGTTGACAACAGAATCCATCACACTAGTGTTGCTATGTTGACAGGCTGGAGACGAGCCGCCAAGTCTGACCATGAGGAAGAGGCCCTTAGTGATCCGCCACCTCTTGACCGCCGAGAAAGTCGCAGTGAGTTACAGTTCAACCGAGTCGGCGGTAAAGGGAAAATGTCCTTCAAGACTGCCAGTCATGCAACAGTCACATTCTTAAGTGCCAGGAAACGGATTGAGGGCGGTTTGAAAAGTCTTGGAAAACGGATGAGTAAACGAGGCAGTGTGGATAGTACGTAGGAGTAACTATGTTGTGCGTGGTTCAAATGCATGAAACTTGTACAGGGTGTTGGCAATAGAGGTCAGAGTTCATGTAGTGGCGTTCTCAGTGTCGATCTTACATTACATAGGTATAACTTAACACAGTGCTACATCTGACTTTTCATATCTATTGATTACAAGTGATATCTTCTGTAATTGTAGCATGTTTGTATCTCCGTGAGAACACTAAACTTAGCATGTCTCTGTTTCTGGGATGCTTCTTTCTATCTTCATTGTTGTGTGTTCGTTATTTTGTCCTGATTCAAACAGGAAATAAAAGACAAACTGTTATGATGATCGGATGTTATTTTGAAGTTGAATTATCAAGATGCTTTTTCAAGATCGAGGTATATTGGTAAAATGTACTTATTTTGATAATTTAGGCTAGTTGAAGGTGATAGTAGGGCTTCATTGTCGAACAGTTTTGGAAGTATTTAATTATCAAAATATCATCATATTGTATCTTGTATCTGGTTATAATCATGCCATATTTGATTTGCTTTTGCATATATCTATGTAATCAAAAGCCTACTCGTGTGCGCAGGCTTTTTGTATTTTTTTCGTTAAGCCAGCTAAATGTTGACAAGATTTTCAAGGTTAGTGAACCCTCACGTTAGTTAAGAGATTGGTGTTTTCCCCTGGCGACTGCAGGTTTTGTATTACTCTTTATACCAACCGAAATACTGCAATTTTTTTAAAATGTTTGTTTCCAAGCACAAACTACAAAATTAATGATATACAGTAAAATGTCTGTTTCTGAAATATAGAACTGTTGCATATGTCTGATTGTCGTGTATAACATCACTACTCTAGATTTGTGTACTAAAAAACTTGTTAATGACGAATCCATGCTGACTATTGGTCTGTTGTCAGTTTCTTAGGAATTGGATTTACAACAGAACTTGGCATCAGACAATTTATATCATGGATTTGTTAAGATCAAGTGGGTTTTTTTGTGAATTTATTTACAAATATATATTACTTCTTATTACAATTACAATCGTTTTCTTTGTCATTGTCTTTTCTATTAAAATATATATGTACTGTATCTGTATGATTGTGTAGCTATGGACATTTTCTTTTTTCTTTTCACATAAATGATATAGAAATGCATATATATACACTACAGTTACTGGTGTTTTAATCCATTGTAAAATTCATTAAAATATGTACAACGGGCATGTTTTAAAATGTTTTAATGGAGTTATTTTTGTCGTGGAAATATGTTACAAGTTATGTAGTGAAAATAAGAAGAATTGTACGAGAAATAGATGATTTACGGTATTAAGAGAACACTATCTAATACTGAAAGTTTGGAGAAATATGTCATAGAACATACCGTGCTATGGAAAATATGAAGGCATGATAAGATGAAAGGGATGAAGATTTTTTTAATTTAAGATGTTTGTAGATTATGAAATAAAAGTATGCTAGAAATACAGTAGACAGTAGAAATACACGATAGACAGCCAGTCCAATATGAATTGTTTATCTAACTGTACTTACCTCCCTTCAACACAGACTGGAAGACCCACCAGTCAACAACGGCAGACGATGCAGAGTCCGAGTCCACACTGACCAAGGAGAAGAAGCTGGTTGATCGTTTCCTGGTGAAATCTGGGATGCTGCGGTTCTCCTTTCTCCTGGAGTGCTGTCATCCAGGCTCCATACCAGACCCAACCCTCGTCTCCGCCATGCTAGAACTGGTCAGTTTATTACTTCATGTTTAAACCATCAAATTAACAAGGTTTGAAGCAAAAAATTGGGGGGGTGATTTTTGTTTTGTTTATCAACACTTTTAGATAATATCTTTATTTTGTATTTTTAGAGGAATAAAAGCAGTATTTGCAAAGGACTTTCTATCGACCAGATTTATCCAGCTCACTTGTGTAAACATGCTTTTGAGTACTGTATTCAAGGAAATCTTTGCCAGAATTTACCTTTCTCCTTATCATCCTTTGCATTAAGGGCAAAATTATCATGACAGCAAAATTAATACACCACATATAGTAATCACATGTGGAGGACTAAATTAACACAGGGCCTATATCAATTTTACAGGTGAACTGCAAATTCTTAAATAAATGATACAGTTATTAAATACATTTGGGTGATTCAATCAACTGATCAAAATTACAAGTATCAGAATCAAAGTATACACAGCATCCTTACTTAAAGATTTACTTTTAATACTGTAACTCTTAGTCGCTCTTGGTAAAACTGGTGTTGTTGCCTTATGTTACAAGATTTTCTTTCCCTTTTATGGTGTGAAGGATGCACCTGTGATTGCCAGAGCATCCCTGTTGTTGGAATGTGCTCACTTTATCCATCGCTGTAACCATGGCGACTGGCCAAACTGGATGCACCTGAACCTTCCCAGCTTCCGTCACTCTGCCTCAGCTTTGCAAAACAGAGGCCAGCCATCTGGTTACAGGCGAACTCTGACCTTACAGAAGGCAGCTGGGCGAATGTTCTATGCTTGGGCAGAGGTAAGTCTTCATCTTAACTAACATGTGACCAAGCCCATTTAACCACTGTTCCTTACACTGACTTTCGCTTGAAAATGTAAGTTTAGTTTTCCTTTAAAAAAATTAGAGCTATACCACTGACTTTCGCTTGAAAATGTAAGTTTAGTTTTCCTTTAAAATAATTAGAGATATACAGGCCCAATTGACCTTTTTTTATCTGCTTTAGAACCTTGGTACCATGCTGCAGTACATTCTGTCTAAAGAGTACGCCAGTAAGCTTGACGTCATTGGAGACGTAAGGTCGGAAGCAAGGAAACGTGAACTCAGAACCATGGATGATGAGGAAGACTTTTTAGATGAAGGTAGATAACAATGATTTTCTAACATTTGACCTGTTTAAAATTCAGTTTTTGATAATCCTGCTCACCCTTTGATTAAATAGTAGATAGCGTTTCTTTAGGATTTGGAAACCGGTACATAGTCCTGCTTTAATATGAAATTCAGATTAACTGTTATAAAGCTGAAATTTTTACACTTTGACGTACTGCAACTTTGATCCGTAAGATCATGAAACTATTTTGGACTAAGTCATCGATGTTTACAATACCTAAATATGCATCAGTGCACATGTACTGCATTGAACATCAAACTTAATGGGTTAGCTTGGATAACATTTTGATTGAAATGAAAGTTATAAGAATAATATGAATGTATTCAATATGTTGATGGTTTATTATATCTTTGTTTTATTCTATGTAAATGATTTTATTTATCCTCTCTACAGCAACAGTGACTGTTTTCCATGTTCATGGTCTAAACATCTTTTGTCTACAGCCACAGTGAATTTTTTCCATGTTCATGGTTTAAACATCTTTTGTCTACAGCCACAGTGAATGTTTTCCATGTTCATGGTCTAAACATCTTTTGTCTACAGCAACAGTGACTATTTTCCATGTTCATGGTCTAAACATCTTTTGTCTACAGCTACAGTGAATGACTCGGGTAGTTCATGTCCCTATGCTCTCAAAATGATAGCCTGTCTGGTTCTTCAAGAAATCACAACTTTTCTACGAGAAACCTTTCGAGATTTACCAAAAAGTCGTAGTCCTCGAAGGGAAGGAGGATGCTGGGAACGCAATCTGACAACACGTAGATGGAGCAGCATAGTGAGCAGTCCCGGCCATTCCCCGGGTTCCGAGTCCAACATGGCTGATATTCCTCACTCCTCCTCTGGTAAACTTCAGACACTTATAATTGTTATGACTGTCATGTAAGATATTTTAAATTCTGTAATAAGATATTAAGCCGTCACTATATTATCATATGCTTTACAAATACTGCAGACTTATGACGGTTGTCAATCTGTCTGAAATGACTAAAGTAAAGCATGTTCACATCAACAATAATATTGTAAACATACCAGGCTTATAATGAAGCTGTATACTAGTTCCATAGCATCGATGTCTGTTTTTAAATGTAATGTTTTTCGGGAATAAATCGTTCCGGACCTGTAAATGTTTATGCAGGCCTTGAAAGGCTTTGTCAAGGCTCACCTGAAAGCACCAACAGATTACTAGGGCCGACCTTATTTCATAAACGAACAACTCTGTTCCAACCAGTCCAATCGTTTGGATCGTGATAAACGAAAGCGGCTTTGGTGTAACTTATCATCCCATCTCTTTGTACTATATTTCCATCATACAGATTTGAATTATGGTTAAGAAGTCTTACATAGATTTTTATGTCACTGTTTCTGCAAAATTAATTCTTACTAATGATTATAGAAGTTATATAGCTTAATTCTGATTTATATGATGCCTAGGTGTTGCAGTAGGGAGTCCAGGGGTTGGAGAGAGGAAGATCAGTTTTGCTGTCCTGGGTCATGCTGACCGGTCCGACTCTTTACATAGTAGTACAACATCTATCTCTGTACTGGACCCGACCATGTCACCACATATACCCGGAGATGAACGCAAAGGTATTCAATATGCTCCGATCGGGCGAGCTACTTTGTGAGTTAAATGGCACGGATTTGGTTATCCTAATCTTCTTCCTACCTATAAAAGACTGAGTTTTTGGTTGTTTACATATTTGCATTGCTTACCTCATTTCAGCTTGATTATTAGAGATTTCTGAAAAAAATGGGTTTAAAAGTGTGTTTACTGTGAGTCAGAAATTTAAAATTAACATTAAGTGAATGTTGGTTTAGGTCGGAGACTTGCCCAGGGGAGACAGAAGTTGTTGAGGTACAATAGACGAGGATCCACACAAAACACAAGCTTCCGGCATAACCGCAGCTTCCGACTGATGAGGCAAGCGGAGGGAAGTGAGTTTTTCAATAGGTCAATGAGATTGTGACATAAAAATGTTGATCTACAAGATATTTAAACATTATATAGCTACCTTATGTTAAGTTGATATGTTGTTGATATGTTCTTGAAGTTAATTTGCTTTATTGTTTTATATTTAAATTTTCATCCTGTGAGCTTTGAATATTTCCTGATTAGAACACAAGAGTAGAAAATATTTATGTGGATACCTGTAGGTGATGTAAAACATTAAGGCTTAATTGTAAAGAAAAATCTACTTTCCTTTTAGGTATAAAACGTATAGGAAGTGTAAAGGGAAGAAAGGTTAGCAGTCAGTCCCTGCAGTCTGGAGGCGAGAGGTTTCCGGAAGAGGATGGAGTGGATGACATGGAGTCAGTCCTGAGTGATGAACCAGAGAGTGGGCCCGAATACCAGGAGGCCGATGACTACAGTCTCTGTCAGAACATGCCCTGGATTAAGGTATAATTACTTGAAGGACAAGTACTGTGGTAATTATGCAAAGTTGAGAGTTAGCTCAAGAGCTGAATCTTGTCATAGAAACAACTCACAAGGGTGAGATGTCTTAATAAATATGATTATAGAAAATTTGTCCACAAACATTTCACACTAATGAAATGTCTAGTTTGTAGAATTTCTACAAACCTCAGGTCAAGGCAATAATGGGTGATACAAGTGACAAAGCTGTCAGATACCTCCTGGTCCTTTTCATGTTCTTAGTCTGCTTCTTTATATGTCGTGTCTTGGTTTTGAACTTGTATTACTTTCCTGACCTTATATGAACATTATGATACTGGAATCACTGTGTCTATCTGTACCTAAATTACATTTGTTTCTAGACAATAACTTGTGTTCCCTTTCTGCTACGTCCATCTTACTAAATATAACGGCTACTTATGATGGATATCTATTTTGGGGTCAAACGTCAATTTCACAAGGACTAAGTTATGCGATAATAATTTTCCTGACCATTTAGTAGAGTAGAACTTCAATTTATCACAAGATGCCTACTCATAGAGTAAAGAGGTGACCTATTGGTATCAAGGTTGACGGTCAAGGTCACATTGAACCACCTTCCAAAATTTTGAAGGGTATCTTTCCACCTAGGACTTTGAATCTTTACAGAATGACTACCATGGGTGATGAAGGTCCCTACGTATGTTTGCTCTCTATATATCTAGAATTAAAGGTCTTTTGATTTGGTTAACTCATTCACCCCTGAAATTTCACAATGGACTATTCCAACCTTTGAAACGGAAGAGTTCAAATGTGTCTTCAGGGGTGAATGAGTTAAAACATGGATTTAGCAAGAAAAAAGCCTTGATTGTGGTCAAACAGGCAATTAAGTTGTTTCCTTTTCTGTTCTATAAAACATGTACTTTGATGTATTGTCAAACAAAATTTGAATTAAACAAAGTTTAAACCAAGATGTTCCATATCAAAAATTAAAAAAAATATATTTCAATACCATGCTAAATTATTTTTGCTGAAAGTTGGATTGAATTTGCTACAAAATCATTTTTAAAATGTTAACAGGTGGTAGTACAGTTGGCAAACTTGTCCAACTTCATCTGCCCCCACCAGAGCTACTGTCATCCCAACTGTTACGAGCGACAGAGGCGGTCCTGCTCACGCCTCGTCACTGCAATGAGGAAAGTGTACCTGTCGACAGAGCATGACCCAGAAACTCTGGACAAAAGTAAACAAGGCCTACATGCAGATTTCTTGAAGGAGAGACTCAAGCGAAGGGTGAATAGTCTTTTTACAGTAAAACATGTATTTAATGAACATCAGGGGAGCTATAAGAAGTAAGTTCGCTGTATATATAATTTGTAATAAAAGTTTGACACTCATGATGTAATTTTTGCCAGAAAACACATACTGTAAATGAATTCTTGAGGAAGAAGTCTTAATAAATGTGATTATACATTTTTTTTATGCTGCCACAATTTTACAGCAAAATTTGGCATTGTTAAGGGGTTTGATATGTTGATGTAAACATTTTAAGATATTGTACAGAAAAAGGGAAAAAAAGGACTGTAAAATATATATGTTGGTGGTAAAAGAGGTGTCAGGTGATCGACTGTATACTGAAAGTAATTCAGATTTATAACATTTTTTTCAAAATTCAGAAAATTGTTCTATTTTTAATAACTATTAATTATTAACTCAACAGCAATTTCATTTGATATATGGAAAAAAAGGGAAAAAATACCATTCACCTTAATGGCTGGCTGGGAGAGTGTGTATTCACTTTGGTTCTCTTCAATATATAATATTGCTTGTTATTATTTATCTTAGGAGTCCATATTCCAGCAAAGTTCTCCGACCAAGCGACGAGAGAGTACTCCACTCCTGGAAAAGATCAAGACAGATGTGTCTATGAGCAAACTGAAGATGAACTCCACCACAGTGAAGAAGGAAGAAAAACCCAAGGAAGTCAAGGAGGACACTGCCATAATGAAGTACATCACTTCACAGGTTAGTCTAGATCTGGCACTACAGAAGACTCAAGTAAAACAGGATTAGAAGGAAGCCCAGGGGAGGGACTAAGATAATGTCTGCTTTCGTGCAGCCTCCTTGACTGTTTCATGAAACAACTAGCCCAACCTGAAAGAAAACGGCAGGCACAGATCCAAAACCAAGAGAGACCTGTGTAAAATTCAGCACCTTCATATTGAGGGGTCCTGATGTACCAGGCTGAAATAAAATTGCTAACTATATCATTAGGTTGCATTATTTCTACATAAAACATGTACCTATATATTTTAGGACATGTTATATAAAATTAAGTGGACATGTCACAAAACTCCAGAATATTTCTGTGCCACCTGAACCATTTCAGGGATGTATAAAAGATTGTTTACTTTCTGCATGTTTCTTGTAATGAAGGCTTTACTGTTCCTGTATGTTGGATTTAATGAGAATTTTCCTATCATTGATCAATTATATCAAAGTTGTAAATCTACTGTGTGACCTTCCCTCTGATAAGGTCCAGAAGCTGACACAGTGCCCCATGGGGATCCTTGCGAAGGCAGCTCCAATCTTGACGGAGGACAACTTGATAGACATCCTACCTGTAGCGTGGGAGCTGATGCTGGAGACCGACCAGGAACTGGCAGCTGCTGCAGGTATGACCTGCTCACCATCCTTGTATCAACCTTTAATACTGTGTCTTTGATGTCATACTGAGTAACAGGTTTAATTGGAAACATGTTATTTTCACTCTCAGAGTAGATTTTTTTTCCGAAGGACCAAGGTGAGCTTATGCCATACCGTGGCGTCCGGCGTCCTCTGTCCATCCGCCAGTCTGTAGTCCGTCATCCGTCCGTCAACAATTTCTTCAAACGTCTTTTTATTAATCACTGATCGGAATTTAACTAAATTTGACTGGAAGCATCCCTAGGTGGTGGGGATTCAAAATTGTCCAAATGGTGGGGCTGACCCCCCAAGGGGCTGAGGGGCGGGGCCAAAAGGGGGCAATTTGGCTATATTGCTTTAAGCAACTTCTTCTCTGGAACTAAAAGATGGATATCAACCATATTTGACTGGAATCATCCCTAGGTGGTGGTGTTTCAAAATTGTACAAATGGTTGGGCTGACCCCAAAGGGGGTTGAAAGGTGGGGCCAAAAGGGGGCAATTTGGCTATATTGCCATAAACGACTTCTGTAGAACTATGCACTGGATATCATTTTTTTTTATCAAAAGCATTCATGGGAGACAGGGATTAAAAATTGTACAAATGGTTGGGCTGACCCCCCAGGGGGATGAGGGGCGGGGCCAAAAAGGGTTATTTGTCTATGTTGCTTTAAGCGACTTCTCTGGAACTAAGTGATGGATATTAACCATACTTGATTGGAACCATCCCTAGGTGATGGTGATACAAAATTGTACACATTGTTGGGCTGACCCCCCAGGGGGCTGAGGGACGGGGCCAAAAGGGGGCAATTTGGCTATTTTGCTATAAACGACTTCTTCTATAGAACTATGCACTGGATATCAATCATACTTGGTTGGAAGCATTCATGGGAGGCAGGGATTCAAAATTGTACAAATGGTGGGGCTGACCCCCCCGGGCTAAGGGGTGGGGTCGAAAAAAGTTTATTACTTGAAAATGGTTGAGATCTCCACCGTATAACCATATATACAATTGCTGAGTATAGGGAGAAGAATGCACATTTGCTTCCAGGATGGCTCTAGGGTCTGACCTAGACATAGTCCATGGGTCATCACTTTAAAACGGTTGAGATCCCCACCCCAAAACTATACATACAAATGCTGGGCATAAAGAGACGAATGCAGTCATGATATTAGAATAGACCCTGGGGTCTGACCAAACCCCTAGGGATTTAGTTTCTTAGGAACAGCTTGGAAACAGTTGATATCCCCACCCTATAACCATATATACAATTGCCGAGTATAAAGAGATGAATGCACATATGCTTCCATTATGGCCTTTGGGTTTACCCCACCCTTGGAGACTTAACCCCTGGGTCAAAACTTGGAAATGGTTAAGATCCCCACCCCAAAACTATATATACAATTGTTTGGCATAAAGAGACGAATGCAGTCATGGTATTAGAATTGACCCCAAGGTCTGCCCCACCCTTGCAGACTTAACCCCTGGGTCATAACTTTGAAACAGTTGAGATCCCCACCCCAAAACTATAAATACAAATGCTGGGCAAAAATAGACGAATGCAGTCATGATATTATAATTGATCCTGGGTTCTGGCCACAACCCTAGGGACCTAGTTTCTGAGTCACAGCTTAGAAACAGTTGAGATTTCCAACCCATAACTATACATAAAATTGCTGGGCATGAAAAATCTAATACAGATATGCTACAAGGATTGTCCTTGGGGTCGGGCATATTCCCTTTGATCTCATTTGGAGAATATTTTGCCATGATTGCTTAGATATCCAGGTGAGCAATACAGGCCCTCTGGGCCTCTTGTTAAAGAAAACATTTTAGAAAAAATAAATGTTGGTTAATCCATCAACTATAAAACCCTAAAAATGAAACCACTATGAAAATTAACTTTTACATAATATTTTAGTCTATCTTCACTGCCTTTGATGTTATATTTGGCTGCTAATACAGTGGCATTGGTGTCATTGAGATACTTAAAATTATGTCTATTTACAGCATCAGTGTTCCTGCTGTCCTCAGTGAAGACGCCAGACAAGGCACACGCCTTGATCACCAAGGAATTACAACATGAAGACACATGTCAGAGGATAAATGCTGTTCTCAGGTCAGGCTCTTAACATTGTTCTCAGGTCAGGCTTTCAACAATATTCTCAGGTCAGGCTCTTAACAATGTTCTCAAGTCAGGCTCTTAACAATGTTTTAAGGTCAGGCTCTTAATATTCTCAGGTCAGACTCTTAACACTGTTCTCAAGTCAGTCTCTTAACAATGTTCTCAGGCCAGGCTCATAACACTGTTTTAAGGTCAGGCTCATAACACTGTTCTCATGTCAGTCTCTTAACAATGTTCTCATGTCAGTCTCTTAACAATGTTCTCATGTCAGTCTCTTACCACTGTTCTCAGGTCAGGCTCTTAACAATGTTTTCATGTCAGTCTCTTAACAATGTTCTCATGTCAGTCTAACAATGTTCTCATGTCAGTCTCTTACCACTGTTCTCATGTCAGGCTCTTAACAATGTTCTCATGTCAGTCTCTTAACAATGTTCTCATGTCAGGCTCTTAGGTCAGGCTCTTAACATTGTTCTCAGGTCAGTCTCTTAACAATGTTCTCATGTCAGGCTCTTAACACTGTTCTCATGTCAGGCTCTTAACATTGTTCTCAGGTCATGCTCTTAACACTGTTCTCATGTCAGGCTCTTAGCACTGTTCTCGGGTCAGACTCTTAACAATGTTCTCATGTCAGGCTCTTAACACTGTTCTCAGGTCAGGCTTTCAACAATATTCTCAGGTCAGGCTCTGAACAATGTTCTCAAGTCAGGCTCTTAACAATGTTTTAAGGTCAGGCTCTTAATATTCTCAGGTCAGACTCTTAACACTGTTCTCAAGTCAGTCTCTTAACAATGTTCTCAGGTCAGGCTCATAACACTGTTCTCAGGTCAGGCTCATAACACTGTTCTCATGTCAGTCTCTTAACAATGTTATCAGGTCAGGCTCATAACACTGTTCTCATGTCAGTCTAACAATGTTCTCAGGTCAGTCTCATAACACTGTTCTCAGGTCAGGCTTTCAACAATATTCTCAGGTCAGTCTAACAATGTTCTCAGGTCAGTCTCATAACACTGTTCTCAGGTCAGGCTTTCAACAATATTCTCAGGTCAGTCTAACAATGTTCTTATGTCAGGCTCTTAACATTGGTCTCATGTCAGTCTCTTAACACTGTTCTCATGTCAGTCTAACAATGTTCTCATGTCAGGCTCTTAACATTGTTCTCATGTCAGTCTAACAATGTTCTCATGTCAGTCTAACAATGTTCTTATGTCAGGCTCTTAACATTGTTCTCATGTCAGTCTCTTAACAATGTTCTCATGTCAGTCTCTTAACAATGTTCTCATGTCAGGCTCTTAACATTGTTCTCAGGTCAGTCTCTTAACAATGTTCTCATGTCAGTCTCTTACCACTGTTCTCATGTCAGGCTCTTAACAATGTTCTCATGTCAGGCTCTTAACATTGTTCTCATGTCAGTCTCTTAACAATGTTCTCATGTCAGTCTAACAATCCTATCATCCCAGGCTCTTAACAATGGTTCCATGTCAGTCTAACAATGTTCTTATGTCAGGCTCTTAACATTGTTCTCAGGTCAGGCTTTCAACAATATTCTCAGGTCAGGCTCTTAACAATGTTCTCATGTTAGTCTCTTAACAATGTTCTCATGTCATTCTAACAATGTTCTCAGGTCAGGCTCTTAACAATGTTTTCATGTCAGTCTCTTAACAATGTTCTCATGTCAGGCTCTCAACATTGTTCTCAGGTCAGTCTCTTAACGATGTTCTCATGTCAGTCTCTTACCACTGTTCTCAGGTCAGGCTCTTAACAATGTTCTCATGTCAGTCTAACAATGTTCTCATGTCAGGCTCTTAACATTGTTCTCAGGTCAGTCTCTTAACAATGTTCTCATGTCAGTCTCTTAACACTGTTCTCAGGTCAGGCTCTTAACAACGTTCTCAGGTCAGGCTCTTAACACTGTTCTCGGGTCAGGCTCTTAACAATGTTCTCAGGTCAGGCTCTTAACAATGTTCTCATGTCAGTCTAACAATGTTCTCATGTCAGTCTCTTACCACTGTTCTCATGTCAGGCTCTTAACAATGTTCTCATGTCAGTCTCTTAACAATGTTCTCATGTCAGGCTCTTAACACTGTTCTCATGTCAGGCTCTTAACATTGTTCTCAGGTCATGCTCTTAACACTGTTTTCATGTCAGGCTCTTAGCACTGTTCTCATGTCAGACTCTTAACAATGTTCTCATGTCAGGCTCTTAACAATGTTCTCAGGTCAGGCTCTTAACAATGTTCTCAGGTCAGGCTCTCAACAATATTCTCAGGTCAGGCTCTTAACACTGTTCTCAGGTCAGGCTCTTAACAATGTTCTCAGGTTAGGCTCTTAACACTGTTCTCGGGTCAGACTCTAAACAATATTCTCATGTCAGGCTCTTAACACTGTTCTCGGGTCAGACTAACAATGTTCTCAGGTCAGGCTCCTGAGAGTATTACCTATTTGGGCTCTTAATCCTTTTTTTCGATCAGGTCAGACTCATAACAATGTCAAAATTATTGTTGTGTTAATATAAAGTAATTTATTTAGAATATTTTATAAAATATCAATCGATACACTAATCAAAACTGATTTTGTATTGTTTTTTTGCTTCTTTTTTTTTCAGGTTTGGTGTTCTTTGGAAATTTAGACATCAAGTTTGGCCAAGAATGGAAGATGGAGGAAACATGTTCTTCAAGGTAAAAACAAATACAATAATTGTATAAATTGGAGGGAGATCTCCCACACTGGGCTCCTTAAAGGTTGGCAACACTGACAATTTAATATTAAGTAATAATTACCATCTTCATGTAACCTTGGGTGTTGCAAGAATATGAAACCTTGATTATATAAAAGGAGACATTCTATAAGAACCAGTATTGGGCTGAGCTACCAGAGACCAGCCTTTGTTACCTTGATGAAGACTGAATGAAGACTACTTTCATAAATGACTGAGACATTGGATATTGTGTACCTCATGTGATGTCAAATTATGGCTCTTGAGAAAAGGTATTAAAGCCTTGACCAGGCTCTTCATATTAAGAAAGAAAAGTGTGTACCTCCTCCTGCAACTGAGGCCATGATATTGGCTAAATGAAGTCTGTACCCTGCCCTCTCACTCGAATAATGCCCTTAACAATTGCTAAATGAGGTTTAATGTCGCCACATGCAATTACATGTATATTCTTTAAAGAGAAATTTTATGTGATAAGAACAAAGAAATATCATTCTACACAAATCACATAATCAAGTTTCTAATAAAAAAGAAACTTGTCAAAAGATAAATTTAAATGAAATCATCAGAACTGTAAAGCATCTTATCTATGATGTCAGATACCACCTATTTTGTGTTTGTTTTATAAGCTGCCACCACCCAACATAGACTTTACGCTGCCCTCGCCAACCATTGGCCTGCCCACTCAGACGGTGGTGGACCCACCCTGGACTCCACACTTCAAGGCCAAGATAGAGGAAGTGACAGTCAACCAAGAAGGCACAGTAAGTCTGGTTACTTCAGGTTCAGGAGGTAGGTTTGCCATTTAGCCCACAATTGAAATCAGTTGTATGTGTAAGTCAAACCTGTCAATAAAGGACTGGCCGAGACTGAAAGGAAAGACAGTCTCAACAGGTTGGTATGGAGAAAGAATCACTTGAGGAACCATTAAATGTGTAGTTATAGACAGATGAAAGTTAGGTGTATGTACCTTTCCTACCCTAAATTTCTGTGCCCAACCGAAACGTTATTTTTAGCAATTTTCTTCAAGGAAGCACTGTTTAAGTCAAGATCACTCTCCTTTGTTCACCAAGAAGAAAGAAAAAGAAACATTTTAAAGAAAGATGTTTTAATGAAAGAATTTTGTTTCTTAAGTATGACGACTTATGTAAGGCTTTATGCAAACAGAACCGTGTTAAAAAATATAAAATATGTGTAATTTTAAAATGCTACAAACACATTCAGCACTACCATGCGTGTCCATTAATCCAAACACTGCTTGATCAAACGTTTGTGCTACTCTGTCAGAAATCCTTAGTTACCGCAACCACCACCCGTAGGAAGGAACAACAGGAAATGATCCGGAAAGCTCTCCAGGCAGAGGAGGAGAGAAAGCGGGTTGGACGTGAAAACTTCCCAATGACGACAGTTTCCATCACCCAGCTTGCAGCCTATGAGCCGGCACTCCACCATGCAGGGGAGGAGCACGAGGAAGGTATACAGGTCCTCACATTCACAAGACAAAATAATTTTTGAGTAACATGTCCTGTTTGAAAAGAATAAAAAGTAAAATGTTACTAGAGTTACTTAACCGCAAAATACTGTTTTTGAAGGTGTGAATGTCTGACTAAATTAACACCACAAACTATCTGTAAAAGTTAAGTTGCAATAATAAAGTGATATTGAAAATTTTCGCATTTATTAAATACTTAAATCATATCATATCTGTCAGTGTCCATTATGTATTGATTATTTTTATGATATTATTGTGTTTTTGAATATTTTGACTTTATGTAATATTTGAAATATTTATATCAACCTGTTGTATTTCATGATAATTACAGTGATACGTAATAAATATCTAATGTTTTTTCTCTCAATCGTTTTATGAGATATTGCAATAATAAATTACTATTAAATAAAATATTTGCATTATCAATTTTGTGGTATATAAATATATTAAAGCATGAAAGTTAACAATGGTCTATGTAAATTTTATGGAAAATTAAATCTGGCGTAAAAATGTAGGATGTTTGCACTACCGAACGTTGGTAGAATGTTTGTGACGCCCCCTCCACAACGTCTGTAATACACCCGATCCCCTTGTTGCTTTCTCCGTCGACACTGTTTAACAGACTGTGTTTGCTATCTGTTGTCCGTGGTTAACCAATTCGGTATTGTACTAAAACAAGAGTTACCCTCCCCTTATGTAACGATAGTGAAATAGTTGATTTTCTAATAATAGGCAACGTACCTTATTGCTATATATTTACTAGAAATAAAAAATACTAACTGATAAAAAAAAAATGGAGATTTAAATGTCACTCCAATTTTGTAATTCTTGGATTTGTTGAGGTGATGTACGTAGTTGAGAATGATTATTCTTCACCAGAGTCATCTAGAAACTATGTGGAATTGAAAAAAAAAATGGAAGATCATGCGTGTCATTTTCATTCAAAGTGACAATAAAATGTGTTTCTAAATTGTCACCTATCTTGACAAAATACTAAAAGCATGTGATACGTATATCAATTTCAGTAAAAAAAAATAACTTATTAATATTTACTAACTTATTATTACTAATGAGTAAAGCAAACAAAATGTAACATACAACTATTGTAACCGGAGTTTTGCTAACAAATACTGACTAACTACACTGTATGTATGTATTGACGATCAGTTGGGAGAATTGGACACCAGTCATTTACTTTATAATATAATCAAGCCCTGTCGAATGATATAAAGTCTTTGTGTCTTTGACATGAGGACTGGAGAACAGAAAGAGAAGGCCTCTAAGTTGTCTGTTGTCACACTCATTGGCAACTTTAAAACCCTTTCAATTTGCTTAATTTTCTATATGTACATATGTCTGGTGAATTATAAGTTTCGTAATGGAAACAAACTTGACATTGCTAACCAATATCTATATAATTTGAATGGAGTTATGAGGTGTTTGTTATGGAAAAAAATGTAGGTTCCGAGAGGAGTGTGTTTTGATCATATTTCATGAGATTTCTGATATGAAACGTCTAGCTGCGTTAGAACATGGGGTTATTGACCATGCTGTTGGGTTTGATAGACTTTTTGAAAATTGATACATATATTGAAAATAACTCCAGGAAACGATAGTGAAATTATTCATAGTAATTAGGAAACAATGTTTTTTTCAAAATACATTAACATTCCTTAATTTTTTAAGATTTCCTTGGGACAGCATTTCTGAGAAGGTAGGGCAAAATCTGAAGTTAAGGATTTTTTTTTCTAGCTTAGTTCAACTAATGCTTTCCTATGGAAAATATCTTATTCAGGAATCTCTTTAAGTGAAGGAGGTGCTTGTGAAACTATCAGATTTTGTCCTGGATTTCGGAAATTATTTTATCATGTTTTTTCGTACATAACTATAGAAAAATTGCCTGTTTGTATATACCTAAATGTCCAGTGTTTTAAAACCTTTTAAGAAGCCAACTTAGTTGAGTCTGAAGATGTGTTCCATGTCTAGTTCATGTTATGTGTGTGACATATTTGTGCTCAACCCGAATCCCAGAAACCATTCCACCCTACATCTCAACTTCACCGGCAGATACAGAATGACGAATGAGAGATGGGGTGTAAAGGCAACCTCGATATATTCCCTCCGTGTCCAATTCTCCCAAACGTTTGTTCTTACCTGAATATGATGTTAACTTATCAACTGTGACCAGCCATACCAACAGAGATCATCATTGTTTAAAAAAATCTTGTATGTTAAATGCTGAAATCAAATAATGAGAAGAAAAAAAAATCTTTCCATTTTCAAAAATCCATTATACAATATCAAGGAAACTTGTCTAGTTAAACACGCTATAGAATCCAACAAATGAGTTGTATTAGACAGGGTGTCAGTAAACACAGGTTTTGTTTGATACTGTCAGATTTGACAGACTAAATCAGCATCATTGTGTTTATCTGAACCGGATCATTAAATCTGAATTTTCGATGTTTAAAGATGTTTTATCAAAGTTTTACTTTATAAACAAACAATGTACGTTTTATACATGTCGCAACATTTCAAGACCGACCGGTCCCTTTGTCAAGCGATGACAATCTGCAAAGAACCAGTCAGACTTGAAACGTTGCGACACATTCAATATGTATATTGCTTGTGTATAAAGTAAAACTTTGATATTACACATTTCCAAACTGATGAATTTTATTGAAGACATACAAAGAAGTGTACGTTGGTGATCCCTGTGGTAGGCACCCTAACCTTTCCTGCGTCCACTCCACATGTAATGCGCCTGCTTCTAATTTTGTCCTAACTATAGCAATCATTCCTGAGGAGCTTAACTTGGCTGCACGGCGTGTTTCCCTTGCTCCCGTCAATCGTGCTAACGTCCAAAGTCGTAGCTTGTCCTGGAGAAATGGTAGTGTGCATTGGGCCAGATTTTTACTTGAAGGTACAAACAAAAATGTTTTCTTTAATCTGACCGTCAAATGGCGAAGTGCAAGCATTCAAAGGAGAGCACAACCAGGTTGTAGATCTGTATCTTTTTATTTGAAGAAAGTACAAATCAGTCGACATCCTGGAGAAATGGCAGTGTGCATTGGGCAAGGTTTTTACTCGCAGGTATAGAAAATTTTCTTCGAATGATTTACAAAACATTTTTTTTTTTATGATACATCCAGATATTTTGTGTCGCCTCAAAGTACAGTACTATCGTAGAAATCATAGCATTTTTTTACATTGTTATTGAAGGAAATATATTTTAACAAACATTTTGTTAAATAAAATATTCTTTTTTTCTTTTTTCTATTTCTTTTTGAGGGAAAACATTTTCTAGTTTGTTTAATATGTTAATCAATCAAAAATGAATTTAGACACGTACAGGCTCAGACACAGATTAGCCTTTTATACTAAATATTATCTTAGGTTATAAAAAAAATCATAGGGATTATATATATACTTAATGTTTCTGAAGAGATATTTGGTGTCCCAACAGTCGGGTTGAATCATAAGAAAGCTATCTTTCAGGGATAATGGTCCAAGAATATTTGATATTCCCTCCTCTGGGTGGGGAATTGGGTGTAAAATGATCAGCCAAACCTCAGAGTCATTTCACATTGAAATCAATGTATTCCCTTAAATCTTCATAGTAAGCCTGATTTGAAAATAAGTTGGCTTCACAAATAAGCCAAAGATTTCTTGCAGTTAAACATCTCAAAAATAAGCCATCTTTGTAAATATGCATTGGATTCGAGGTATGAGCAACAATTTTCTTATCGGCCGTTTTTTTACAGGTTTTATAAGGCAACAATCACATTACATTATTTGATATTATTTGATATTGCAACAATTCGCTAAAAGATTATTTTCATTTAAAAAAACACCTCTATAACATTATACTTTCCATGCAAAAATGGAAGGACTTGAAAATATAATAGTGGCTTACTGTCAAAATGACTCAGAAAAATAAGTCTGCCTTGAAACTAGGCCGACTTCGAAAAAAAGACGTGGATTTCTTAAAATCTGAAGAATTCTTGTGGCCGCAAAAATAGGAAAAACGAATAAACGGGCACACCCGACTTTCACACACCCCTTCATTGCATTCCATGCTTTATGTCTCCAGTATTCACTAACATTGACACCACACCCTGTTATCAGTGTCACTTGTGTATTCTGTCTCTTACAATTAATATTTTACATAACACATGTACAGTTCATCATTATGATATATATATGCATACAGTATATGTTTTACATGGTATGATATATTATATATGTAAAAGGACACCAACTTTCTATATATCACAGCATTTATAATACTGTATATGGCTTTCAATTCACAAAGTTATTTTCGCATGTACATGAAAATAAACCATATTGTGCAGAATTTTTGGGTGCGCAGGGTTACTTTTCAGGAAATGTTTGCTGTTCTTCCTGAAATACATGAAATCTTCATCCAGTAAAACTAACACTGATATAAAAATTACTCCCTATAAAGTATTAATAACCCCCCAATGCTTTTCTGTCGCATATAGCACGATATTAACACTGTATACAATGTATGGTATGTACTGAAGAAATAACCACCGTATATGTATATATATTATGTGCATTTCATTTGATGGAACGCATTCTGAGGCAGGGAAAATGTTGGGGGGAAACAATTAATAATGATGGTTGCTTTGGACAGAGTCAATTATTTTCCTCCAACATTTTCAAATTTCAAGCTATGTGATCCACCATAATATACAAACATATATGGTTATTTTATCTATTCCACACCCAATATCATTAAACGTGTTTTCAGGTTTTCTTTTATTGCCCATAAGGCAACATGACCTAGATAATCTAATTATTTCAATTTGACTGTTCTTTTGTGTATGCAGACATTTGTCACACCAGACAAGCTGCACACAGCTGATCATAAATTCTGGGGACTGCAGCCAGTGGTCCTGTTCTGCCAGTTTGTCATGGATGTTTGTGGAAATAATTAGATAGGCACATGCATACATGTACCCTCACTCAACAAAGCTAACATGTTCAAGCCCAGTCGCTTACAGCTCACTGGTTTACACTTGTTATACAGGGGAAACGTTTTTTTGTTCATCTGGCAAAAGAACATGCACTTGGGTGTCTATCTGCCAATAATGCCTGATTATTAACCAATGAAAATAGTTGTTACATCGTTAACATAGGAGAATAAATGATAAAACATACCAGTTAACACATTCTGTAAGATATGATATTATAACACCAGGACAAATTTGTCCCTAGTTTTACAAAATGTATTTCTATTTCATGTGTGTGATATGTTTACATGGTACAGTAACCACTTTATTTTCAAAGAAGCAGAAAGTTGACATCATTGTTTTACATCAGGTGAAGAGGATCGTACAGAACACACACATCACATGCAGCTGGCTCAGACTTTTTTCCCATCATGCATCTGTGCAACAGCATTACCCATTCTGCATCTGTTGGATGACCAGGATGTCAATGCAGATGGCATATCAGGTAGGACACATGTTTGATTGGGGTATATATATGTAAATGAGCCTCTTTAATTCACCCTCCTTTGTCCAAAGCTGAAAGTAGCTGGATTATAGAGAAGATTTTATGCAACAAAAATGATACATTTTCCCCAAAATACTGCCTATATAACACAACAACTAGATTGGTTGGAGTTGGTCACCATGCCAACCCAACTAGTGGTGGACAACTAGATAGCTGGATTGAGGGACAACCAGATAAGTTGGAGGCTGAACAGGATGACAACTAGACTAGTGGGAGCTGCAAAATGGACAACAAGAATTGTGGGGTCAGATAATAAAGGCTGGTAGACTAACTGTGATTAGTGGGTAGTTGAACAGACAGACAAGGGAGCCTGGCTCAATTGACAAGGTTTGATAGCAGTGACATTGTTGTAAGGTTGATCATTGATTGATCCTATTGGCCTATACACTGCAGTGCACTGTTAGCAATGATGTAGACATCATAATTATATAAAGTGGCAATCTAATTAAAATCAGATCTCTCATTACACTATGTAGTGTAATAAGAGATCTGATTTTAATTAGATTGATAGAGTGGAGGAGGGTAAGTTAAGCTGCTACTATGGATCTTACTTCAGACGTGAATATATTATAAACAGATTGAGTGAGCATGTTGGCAGTATTACAAGGTTTTACTGTACTGTGTTGTATGTAGATGTATTTGTCATTAAATGGAGTGTTTGTGTTACAGTGGCAGAGGTGGCAGAGAAGGTCATCTGGACGTGTATTGTGGAGGACCCCATCCTCTTTCTCCGACACTTCCTGGAGAAACTCACTCATAAGGACAAGCAGGTCAGCCATCAGATACTCTTAACTGTCGAAGGTCGTACTTCAAATATCCTAAACTAGGGTAAATGTAAAAAGGAGCAATAAAATCCCCTAAAATTGGGTCAACATTTTACAGGACTAGCAAACAGAATTCTGTATCTGACTTTAATTTATAAGTACATGTAGCAAAATTTATTATATTCATGTGTATGTACCCGGTACTTACATGTAACATGTCAGACAGGAATGAATGTACGACATAATGGGTGGCTGGGTGGCGCAGTGGAAAGCGCACTCGCCTTTCACCAAGACAAGCACAGTGTTCCCTTCCCTAACTGGACGTGAAAAGCGATGGGGTCACCTACCAGAACTTATGGGTTTTTCTGCAGGTACTCAGCATTATCAAGACCCTTTGTGTGCTAACATCAGGGCCAACAAGAGTGATTGATATAAGTTGATATAACTTAATTCATAAATACAGGGGGGTGGAGACCCAACGTCCCTGCATCCTCGGAAGTCAGTTCCATATAATGGCGGTAGGGATCCTGGGCTTAGGATGTAAATCAAACATTATATTTTGTACCGGATTCAGTGGTGTTGTTGCTCGATCATTTCTATTTTCATTTAATTCATAATTGTTAAATCGTAAAATGAATAAAGTTCATTCTGTCAATCATTATGATAGGCCTGAAGATGGGAAACATTTATCACTTGGTTGATTCCTTATATCACCTACCTTATATATGATGTATTAGAATAAGAAACCAAACAGTCATTCAATACTGTGATCTGTACTGTGTTTTGTCTCAAATGTCAGAAATCTTGACTTGCATGAAGTTTAATGCCCATTGTCCTGTTGAACACAGGACTAGTGTAATCAAGATTCCTAGTATATATCAACAGTGCTTTATCTTGTTCAGACTTTTTATTTGGTGTTTCATCAAAATATTCATGAAAAGTGCTCAAATATATACTAGAAACTTGTGTCTTCTAAGCAGATGCTTTTGACCTCTTAATACCCTTGTAAATTTGATACACCTGGCAGAAAGCAGATTTTTCATATTTGGGTTCTAATGATTGCATTGGATGATTGAAGAATTAATTGAGTTAATTCAATTTCATTTTTTTTTTAAACTGAGAACTGCATAATATATACGTAAGTGTTGTGTTTTAGGAAGAACTGTTGTACCTGTTGAGGAGGATGGTGCTGTACTTCCAGGATCTGCCCGCCCAGATGGCTCACTCACTCTACAACTACTTGGTATTTTACCGTTGCATAGAGTCTTCATTTCATGAATATTTATCTCTTTTTTTTTAATATTATTAAACCTAATGCAATATGTGGTTGAGTTCTAGATTGACAATGTCCTGTTCAATATGTACTCTAGTGAAACTGGACTGGGTCGTTCGCCGACTACCAGGTAGCTAAATTGGTAGAGCGTTCGTCTAGAGTTTGGAGGGTTAAAATCCCTGTCTGGCCTTGCATTACTCTCCTCCCGTTACAGCATTGGTGTGTGACTATTTGCTCTAAATTGACTTTGTCATGTGTTATGTCACTAATTCATTTATATGACTGTTCTGTTTCAGACTGGCTATGTCATGTTTTATGTTCGGAGTCCCTGTTCCGGCAGTCAGGAGGCCATCGCTGGGGCCCTAGGCCTCATCTGGCAGGTAATGCTTTGTTCACTAGGGCAGTGTAAAATTCATAGAAAAATTCCTGGTAGCTATATAGTTGTTAACTTGTGTGTCATTGTAAAGTAACATTACTGATTTCTGTATCGCTGACACAGAGTTACTAGCTCCAGTCTGTTGTATGTTGTAGGTTATCCCCAGTGTGGATGATTTGTATTTTAAAGACCTCAAACAGACACTGAAGAAGGAACAGTGTGATGTAAGTACCAAATGTTTCAAATATACCTGGTAAAGATCTTTTAGACAATATACTACATTTATCATCATATAGTTTCATAGCCGAATACAAGCTGCTTCCACTTCTAAGAAAGTGCTTTATTTTCCCCATAATGAAAGGGAAATGTGGAATATCTTCCCTATTTCAATGAAAATTATTTCTATATTTTCCCAATTCATGTATGATGTTAGCTGCTGTAAAATTAACCCTTTCACCACTGTAGACAATAATGGATTCATCCAGATCACTGCATGGGAGAGTCTACTAAAGTTGCATAGGGTTGAAAGGGTTAAGGAAGAAAAAACATTGATGAGCATGTGACATCAAACCATGTCTATTTACTTTCATTAAATTGAAGGAAACAAAATGTTTATAAGTAAATATTTATTTCTGCAATTTCTCTTTAGCCATTAGGAAATAAACATATTGGAAACTTGTTAAACTTGTGGCAAAATGTTACGTATGTCTTTGTTTCTGATTCAGCCATACATCATGATATCAGCCAATGTGCCCAGTGCCAAGAAGATAATAATTCATGGTACTGACCAAACTGGTATACCATCTCAACTTCCTATACACGAGGTAAGTATAAGTCTGCGTCTGTGGATCTGGGCCGTATTCACGAAGCCTAAGCCCATTTTATTTTGTCACTTGCTTAAATCATGCAACACACGGTCAATAGGTTAGGTGTTAACATTGAACACAGTAAACAGTAATTGGCTTTAAGTCTCTCCAAACTTCTTTCAAATCATGGACAAAATGTGATATTTTAATTGATTTATCACTTGAACAAGAATTTGCCTGAATAGTCACTAGTTAAAAGAAATTATTTTCTTGCACAACAACTCATATATCATTGATAAAATACATTTGTTTATTATATATACCCCTTTCAAAGGTTATCAAACTCACGACCCCATACTACCTAGTCAGACGCTTTACTACTGAGCTAAAGGAAAGGGAAAATCTCTCTAGTGCAAAGCTAGAAGACGACTCTCATCCTTTGACTATGTATACAATTAGAACCTATCTACCACACAAGCATGAAGTGGATACTGAATAGTCACTAGTTAAAAGAAATTATTTTCTTGCACAACAACTCATATATCATTAATAAAATACATTTGTTTATTATATATGGTGTGCTGCTATGCTATTTGTGTATATTGTTTCTTCCAGGACACCCAGTTCTCCCAGATTCTTCAGGAAAGCCTTGATTTCTTCAATGTACCGGAGGATGAATATTCCTCCTACTTCCTTGTTGATACCAAGTCAAGTAAGTCATTGATTTCTCATAGGAGTTTCATTCATATGGTTGGGTATGTTAAAGATATTTGTTTTAATTTCAAAATATCGATTTCTTTTCAATTTTTCTATTGTTCAAATATAATAGTAAAGAAATGATATTTTGAGACACTTTATGTACTGTCTAACAAGTACATCTAATAAATATGCAATCCACTTCCTTTAAACTCGTTCACCCCTGAAGACACATTTGAACTCTTCCAATTCAACTGTTGGAATAGTTCATTTTGAAAGTTCAGGGGTGAATGAGTTAATCTTCACAATACCAGATTCTGGATTTTCCAATGTTTGAAGTAAACAACAATAAGTAAATATTTACTTCCTAATTATATTTTCAGATCAGATTCACAACCTGAATGCCTATGTGCGAGATTTCTACTTCTTCAGGAGGAACGTCTACCCTCAGCTGAGTCTTGTTAAGATGAACCCTGATCACGCGTTCCAAAGCCTGGAGAAGCAGGTGGGGCTTTTGACTGGTAGCAGACTCTACAGCACAACATGACAAATTAATGTTAACTGCTAATCACAATTCTATGTTTTATTAGATTTAATTTTACAAAACCGACAATGACTGCTATATATCCCTTGTTTTAATGTGTTCAAAATAAATATTTGTAACATATGTTTAGCTTGTGTTCAACATTTTGACAAATTTTACGAGAAAAATGTTAATCTCAAAAAAGTAAAGTTTTTAACAGCTATTTTTTTAAGTTCGTGTTCGTGAGGTATTTTTGGTACAAATTTACAGGCATTCATCCTGAAGTTTGTGGAGATAGGGAAGGTCTTATTCACACATTCAGTGCTCAAGAGCACTGCTCCACATCAGATGCAGAACCATGTATCTTTTCTACATGAAGAGTTTTTGAAGCAGCCATCATTTCCACGCAAAGCTCTAGAAGCAGAGTTTGGACTATACCATGGAAAATCGGGAGAGGTAGGTTGCGAATCATACCATTGTTCTATAGCTCAAGAAATAGATTGTCAAATAAAAATAACAAATTATATACAATAGATTAATGCCTTGATCCTTTCATAAGTATGATAATGATATCAAGAATTTCAAACCATAAGAAGATTTATAATTTGTTTTTTGTTTTTTAAATATAATCGGTAGTGGATTTTAGCTTTAAAATGTACTGGATGGAAGGAGCATGAATGTCTGTTTCATCTTTCTTGTCAGAAAGACAAAGCAACAATGAGATACACGACCTCATTTAATTGGTATTTGTGGTAGATGCGACCTAATTTTAATGGTATTTGTGGTAGATGTGACCTTATTTTAATGGTATTTGTGGTAGATGCAACCTAATTTTAATGGTATTTGTGGTAGATATGACTATATTTTAATGGTAATTGTGGTTGATGTGACCTGATTTTAATGGTATTTGTGGTAGATGTGATATATTTTATTATGGTATTTGTGGTAAATACCTGTTTGTGTAAAGACCAAATGTAGCTATTAATATTGTATGAAGACCACTGTCAATATTCATGCACCATTACCAGACATTTACTCAATCACTGATAATTGTCAGTAGTTAATGATTGTTTCTCTTCGTTATGATGCCTGTGTAATGTATTTTAAAGGAGCTGTATGGCCTGGATACGCTGCACAAACTCTCTTGGGTTAAGGTAATTACATTATTCCTTGTACATATGAATCAAAGGCTTAAAGTCAGGAATTGTATGCTACACAGTAAACCTACCAGTCACTATATGTTCCCACATTGACTGGACTTCTAAACTGATTTAATATATATTCTTGTGTCATGATATGCATTCAATTACTCTATACCGGCATTTTAACTTTCGCCTTTTTCGCCTTTGAAGGAAGAAATTAACAGCGGGTGAATATAATACAATTAATTATATAATCAGTGTTCTTCAGTGAATACACTCTCATGTCATGATAAAAAGATACCCAGACTTTTTATTCATTGACTGTTCAAACAATCTGTTCATCACTTACATGTAGAAGAGATTTTTGGAAACTACAAGATTCCTTTCATGTACTATCAATGAGAAGATCCTCACGAAATCCACTTCATTAAATGCAAAGTTAGATTTATAAAACAACATCATGCTAGTAACAGTTTCCTCTCCATTTTCTGCAGTTGATGTCAGCCATCTTTTCAAAGATGACGAGTACATTTTCGTGGACAAATGATCTCCAGTTGTTCCTGAACGTGATAAACGGCTGTATGATACTACACTGTGAGGACACGGCCTTACTCAGGTTCTGTCTGTCCACCCTCATCAACACATGTCGTCACTTTAAACACATCTTCTCCATGAATGGGTAAGCTCTTACACCTCTGTCTCTTTAGTTCTTACTGTAGCGGTACTCGACTTGGTCAATTATCAGTGACCTGCTAGCTTAATTGGTAGAGCCTTTTCTTCTTAAGTTCGAAGGGTCCAGATTCAACTGTGCATTTTTCCGCTCCTGCTATATTTGGTGCCTGTGACTGACCCTTGTTTCAAATACTAGGTGATTACTTGACAAGGGCACACCTGAACCTGGGTTATAAACAGTTGTGTCTTCAGGAGCAAAGACTTGAAAGAAGGAGAGATGAATGCAGCAGAACTGGACTGGGTCGATCGTCGGCAACCAGTTTGCTCAATGTGTAGAGCCTCTGTCAAGAGTCCCGGGTTTGAACCCTGGTCTTACAGTGCATTTTTCTGCTCCTGTTACACTACATTAGCATATTAATAATTGTGCCTTTTTTTTTTTTTTTTTCAATGGCAGTGAAATCGGTCCGTAGCTTATTATGATCGAAGGACAATTACTATCAATAAGATGCATTGTGTAAACGTTGTCTTCACAGACTGTGGTATATATATATGTGAGGGTTTATGAATTGTTCACAATGCCTTGTTACATTTGTCCTGTTCCTGTGCCTGTCCTGATAATATAAACAGATTTTGATCAAATGTCTTATACATTATGAGTGCTATATACAAGTATAAGTTTCTAATTTGCTGTTAAAGTTTGGGATATGAAATTGGTAAATTTGATTTTTTTTTCTGTTCACAGCATTCATCGTACATTATTATGCAGGCCTACAACAATATTAAGAAATCTACAATTTTAATACCCTATTATTAATGATAACATTTAACTGACGTTATTAATCTGTATTGAAAAATGAAAATATCAGACTTTTCATATGTGATATTAACTGTTATATATGAATACAAAAATCATTTCTTTTAATATTAGTTCATAATTTTTCATTGACACATGATTTAACATTGGATAACAGGTTTCTGTACCTGATGCCTACCCTGCTGAAGATATACAGTAACAACCAGCCTAACCCTGTCCTGTGTCAGGCCGTTGAGTATGTCTGTAAACAGTTCTACATCCTACACAGGAAGCCATTCATACTTCAGGTAGGTATTTCTAACATACGGTCATCACACATCCTACACAAGAAAAACCCTTCATCCTTCAGGTCAGTATCTCCCCAACAGTGTCTTCACAAAAACATGATACTTTCTGTCGATATTCATACCACCGTCTGATATTGAGTTTTTTCAACTTATGTCACAAAGGGATGATGGATTAAAATCTCACCAGTTTATAATTGGGATTAAGATTTGCATATTAGACCTCATACCAACAGTGTAGATTCACACCTTGTAAAGTTGGTTGGAAATTTGCTATTTTATCACACACAGGCCTATAATTATATTGTGCTGTTATTGGTATGTCACATGGCACTACTGGTTGTTGTAGATGTTTGGCAGTGTGACCCCACTACTGGACATGACCTCTGAGGATACAGGGCTTGTGGACTGCAGAAAGGTAAGTTTTCTAGAAGATTCTGGTTATGAGTGTTGTTGTTTTTTCATTCTTTTTTGTTATTTTTCTTTGTCATTTTTCTTGTTGACTAGACACAGGATGCGCTGTTTGACCAAACAGCTTGTCCTTTAGTCGGTCTGCGTAATTGATCCAAAAAACTCAAAATATTTTAACCAACTTTTGACTGCCTGTTAACAAAATACTCTGAGATTTTTCATTGTATTTATGTCATTAAAGTACTTAGCTTTTTACTCAACCCATTAACCCAAGTATATGTTGTGTATAGACTCTGGTACAGTGGGACAATTTTGATCCAATATATATATGTACCTGCTGTATCTTTTCTGCTGGTACAGCATGCCAATATTTGACCTAATCTTTTGACCTGATACATGCATTCTGGTATCTTTCTGACAGGTGCAGCCGGACTGCCTCTTCAAACTGCTGCTATCCCTGGAGCGTGACACTGTAGACAGTCTTTGCATACTGGAACTCATCCAGGGAGAGAAACCACTTCGGGCTCTGGTAAGTTCTTTTGCTCCAGAATTATATTTGAGTAATCACAGAAGGGCGGTGGAGACACATGTAACCTCCTAAATAACTGAAGTTTCTTCAACTTCTTGGTCGATTGCACCATGGATACCACGAAGCTATACAGAGTTCACACTGGTGCAAGTAAAAATCCAGGAAAAAGTGCAAACAACACGGCAAATCTCTTCCAAACGTCGGAATTTATTGGAGCAACATTGACTTGTTTTGACTCACAGGCGAGTCGTCATCTGATGACGAACGACTCGCCTCTGAGTCGAAACATGTCAATGTTGCTCCAATAAATTCCGACATTTGGAAGAGATTTGCCGTGTTGTTCGCACTTTTTCCTGGATTTATATTTGAATATAAGTTCTATAATAAACAGAGACTATGTATTTCCCTGTTTTGTTGATGGACTGCACAAAATTTTCAATTTTCTTCTCAGAGTATCAGACACATGTCATGTCTAATACGTTTTAAATTCATGTTAAACATTGTGTCTGTGAAATTGGACAAGGATGAAATGAAATAATCGTTCTTACACAAATCTATGACTCTGTTCATTGCTATAGGATTTCTGCTATGAGAATGACCCTGACCGCCTGGAGATGATAGAGGTCATCAACATGTGTGTGACCGTGATTGGCTATGCCCCGGACTCCTTCAGGAGTGTGCAGATGCTTGTAAGTCGTATCGCCTTAGCGATAAATGGTTGTTTTTTTTTTTTTTTAATTCTTAAATCTAAAGTATTATCTTTATAATAATTTCGCTGGTATGAAAGGAAATGAACATTTACTTTGAGTTATATTTATTTACTTTGAGTTATATTTATTAACTTTGAGTTATATTTATATTTATTAACTTTGAGTTATATTTATTAACATTGAGTTATATCTATTTACTTTGAGTTATATGTATTTACTTTGAGTTATATTTATTTACTTTGAGTTATATCTTTTTGCTTTGAGTTATATTTGTGTACTTTGAGTTATATTTATTGACTTTGAGTTATATTTATATTTATTAACTTTGAGCTATATTTATTAACTTTGCGTTATATTTATATTTATTAACTTTGAGATATATCTATTTACTTTTAGTTATATTTATTTACTTTGAGTTATATGTGTTTACTTTGAGTTATATCTATTTACTTTGAGTTATATTTATTTACTTTGAGTTACTGTCAGATAGTCTAGCTTGGAGATGGTACATAACCTGTTTATGTTTACACTGTCAGACAGTACTGGAGGTCGTAGTAACACGGTACCTGGAACACCTACGATTGGAGACAACTCGTCAGGACAATCCTCCCGCAGCCAGAGCAGAAATCACTATCATCACCAACATGGGTATTTCCATCCGAGCACTGCTCAGTTGCTGTGAATACTTTACAAGGTACACATCACTTTCTTCTGGCTTAAATGGAAAAAATGTGTTCAAATCCTGTTTATATGTAATATCAGATAGTAAGATAAGTTTGTATAGTTATTAATATCAACAATATACAAAGTTTTGCTCAACTTGTGTATGTATACTGCAAAAACATTAGGTGACATGCATCATATGATTCAATTATCGAGACTTTATTTTGGAAAACATATTACTACTGTAGCAGTTTTAACAACATTTCTGTGATAAAGCTAACATTTTTGAAATGTATACAAATTAATTCCAACTCAAGAAGATAAATATGGTTTGTTTAGGTGTTTTTTTTGGTGGTTTTTTTTAACACCCCCCACCCCCCAACCTGCCCTGTCACTTTGTTATTGGGGGTGCATATATAGTGTTATCCATGTTTGTTTCATTCTGATTCAGTGTCACTGCTTTAATAAATTAATTTCTCACCAGATTTTGATCAAACTTAACTCAAAAGTCAAGTATGAGATAACCTTGAACGATGTCATGCTTTATCGTTCCAAGGTTAACGTCACTGTTACTATTTATAGAAATTTGTCAAGCAATGCATTGGCATCACTCCAGCAACTTTATTTTCTAACAGATCTTGATCAACCTTTTAAAAAGGTCAAGTTATAGAATACTTGAATGAGTTCCTACTTAAGGTTTCCAAGGTCAAAGTCAAGGTTACTGTTACTATTTTTAGATTATTTTTCAAAGAATGACCCTAATTTGCATTTAAAAGGAAATGGTGGCATCTATGTGCCACAAACATTCATAAGTTTTCAAATTCATATTGTATTTCTCCTGGTGTGAAAATAGTTTCTGGGGTTTCATATCTATGTTACTAACACTAACTTCACTAATAGGATTGGAAGACTGGTCACACGCACGGGCCATGTCCAATTATTTTTTCTCTGTTTCTTTTAGGGGGCTAGGGGGTGAAGGTTTTGACTCTTTACAGACTTATATAGATGTATCCAGCCTCAGAGACCTTAGAGGTTTGACCACAAACTTTTTCAGGAACATGAGTCTCCCTCAACGTCAGCTGGAGAGCGACAAACCCAACGTGAAGTCCAACCAGAGTAACCACTCGCCGCTGGGTGGAACTAGTTACTATGACGACAGGGAGGACTCGCATGCTAGCTGGTATGTAATTCACATTAAAGTGGTTGTAATCTGGCAACAAAATTTCTATTTTAAAAATCTATTTTAATGCAGAAAAAAATAGGTAATTGCAGATAAATCATACAGGTAATAAAACCCCTGAGATATTACAGTTGTTTACATAGTAATGTACATACATCATAATGAAAGAAATTGTTCAGATCCTTTGACTGAAGACCTCTGCCTAGAAAATTAACCAGCAAATTCGCTCATGGGGCGCAAAAGTTTTGGCGTCCTTTGGACTTTGGTAAAGTTGTTGCACAGGATTTACTCCCAAGGTCTGCGGCCACTTGTTTCAGACCACTACATTAGTATCTTGAATGATTGTTTTCAGTAAATGATTGATATTTTGCATTAATTTGTGAGAGACAATCTCAAATTCATATCTTTTGAATATGGATTCAGACACAACTTACGAAGGAATTTATTTCAGGTTTTGTTCCTTTTCATAAAATGAAATTCTTATGAATTTGTCTTTGTAAAAACAACCATAAAATCGCATACTCATGAAGATCAAGTGATTTTTAGTAGATGATATTATCTCGAAACAGCGTATGATTATATATAATTGATTCTCCACAACAAATTTAATGTTAAACGTTTGCATATACATGTAAAATAAAGTGCAGCTTGAGGAAGCTTCTACAAGAACTTGATTAAAACTGCTTAATTTTTTATTTACTTATCAATCAACTCACCAAACTATAAATTACTATGGCTAATGTATAAAGAGTAATTAAATTAGCAGAGGCATGTTCGGTTGTTAAAACAAGACAGTAAATGTTTACAGTCGTCACATGGAGGAAGGTCGTAAAAAGGCCTACACACAGGACAGCGAGGACATGGAAATGAGGACGGAGTTCCGTAAACCTCGGGACTCTCTTCTCAGTGTGGTGGCCGAGTTTTACGCCTCCTGCCAGAGTCGCCTCAAGGAGCTCCGCAAGATGTTACAGGACCCATCCTTCAGACCGCCAGAACTCCTGGATCATAAAACACACAATGTAAGAACTCTTTGAATACAAACACAGAATATAAAAATGAGTACCGGTAACAGTTTATACCTTGTCTATCTATATAAATATAGTCAGTTTTTGTGTCATGCCCAAATTGATTAGTCCCCGATCAGTACTAACAGAGGTTAATATAGGTTAAAAATCTGTCCGTCAGTCATTGTGACCCATTGTTTGGGGCATATCTCATATAAACTCTGTCACCTACGAACAATTGCCAAATTTTGCATGTACCTGGGTAACTACTTTTAAGACGGTGGAATGTAGCATACTGAAATCGGAACTTGTGCCTCACTCTAAACAGAGTTAGATATTGTTCGTTTTTGATGCTAATGTCTGTCTGATGGTTGGAGACTATAGATTGTTTACAATACTTTCCCCTTTATTGATGTGTTTGTTCTAATGAAGGATTTTCAAGGTATTTGTAATTTACAAACAAGTTCAAGTTTTCAAAATAATTCAATGTTGTTTTTTTTTGTTATTATGAATTCTTTTGCTTCATTTTGGTTGTCTTTCAGTTTTGAGATAATAAGTATTTGTTTTCAGAGATTGGCCGAGATAGCCAATACACTGCTGAAACTAGCCCCCTATGATCCTGATACTCTCAGATGTACAGGCCTGCAAAGGTAATTCAGTTAAACTTATTTTTATCATTTATAAAGTTATACATTTTGATATATTTCATATGATTTTGAATTAATAACAAAAGGAGGAGGATAAAATAATTTTGAACTGTTTAAATTAATGCTGTAAAAATCTAAAGGATTTTGAAAATACTAAAAAATCTTCTTTATCAAAATTTCTTTTACATGAAATAAAGCATAAATACTTGGTTTGAAATCTTTCTGCATAATTATTTTTTTGCTTCAGATATATGACAGAAATCTTGCCTATTACGGACTGGAAACAAGAGGCCATTCGACCAGGACTGAATCTGATTCTCCGAAGGCTTGATAGACTCTTCATCAAGATTTCTAAAAAGACTGCCCTTAGAGTAAGTACACATTAGTTGTTCCACAATTACCAGGTATAAGTACACATTAGTTGTTCCACAATTATAAGTACACGTTAGTTGTTCCACATTTATAAGTACATTTAAAAAAATCCTCGAATATGGAGTAAATACCTGTGGTTTGTAACAAAGTTGTAGAGTAAATGCATGCAATGATTTAACCAAGTTTGGAAAAAAGGAATATGGGTAGTGTATATATACAGGTATAGGCAGAATTTAAAAATTTACGGGGAACACTTTCTATAAAAAATGTGAGTAGTTATGACTGTCTATACTATATTAAATGTCGTAACTGTCAGACATTACAAATCACGAGTAAGGTCTAATTCTTGATTAATTTTTTCATATAACTATTTTTATATATTTAAAAAAAAAAACATTTAAATGAAATTTAATAATGGACTTAAAAATAGTCAACAATTCAAACAAGTTTATATTTACAAATTATTTTGATACAGCTTTACAAAATTTTAGATAACCTCATGCAACATTGAAATAAGTTACAAAGCGATATTTGAATTTGAAACATGGTATGGTTTGTTTTACAGAGACAGGCCGACTGGGATGCTGCTGCTAATCTGCTGAAAGGTAAACTGTATAATGCTAAACGGGAATAAAAACCACTTTGTGCACATTTTCCTAGGTCATTTGTAATAAAGCTATCTTTTAAACAAATAACCCATGCTAAACTTGCACAGATACAATAGACAGATAGAAATTAAGTCATTCACCCCTGCAGACACATTTGAACTCTTCCAATTCAAAGATTGGAATAGTCCATCATGAAATTTCAGGGATGAACTAGTTAAAGTGACACACTGCTTCTGAAATTTGATGTTTTTCAGGGGTTGATTTTTTTACATAAATCTTTTATCATTATATATACACTGTAGTGCATTTAAATAAGAATATACTTCTGAATGTATTTTAGATATATCACTATTGATCACATTTGTCAGTCACAGAATATTTTTACAAATCTTCATCGCAGCTTTTCATTATTTACTTTGGTTGTATATTTTCCAACTTGTCACGTGTAACACATGCTCTTTGGCTGCTCTTATTGTTTCTTCTAATTCAAAACAGGGAAAATACCATTTTCACCCGTTATATGTGTTTTATGTGTCAATTTATGGTTCCACATGATTCTATATATGCTGTGTGGTGTTGTAGGTGTATTTCTCACACTGAAGAAGTTCCAATACATAGCACATCTCCCACATCTAAAGGTATCAACATGTTACGCATGTGCAACCCCCGTGTCTGCATGTTCTTCTCCTACATATATAATAACTATACCCTGGTCACCAGCCACTGGATAGTGGTCACTGGTGCATGTATCTTGTATGTCATCCTCCATTTTACTTTTTATAAACATATTATTTGGAGGTGGGCTTCTGTTTTAAATGTGACCATTATGAATTCCTTCCCCTGATTTTAAGTTGGTATTAGGTCCTATGTGTGTTTCATGTCTTGGCCATATTATTTCATTTATTAAACTATATAGCTAGGCCAAATAAAATGAATAACTTGGTTCTCAGGGCCAATTCTTTTCAAAAGAGATGCGGCAGGGCAATTTTTTTTTTATTGTGTAGTTTGTAAAACGTTCATTGTGGGCATTACCTTGTCTTTTTATAGTTGTGTAGAGACCTGTCATAGATCAAGCCTCCGAAAATTCCCCCCCACGGTGTTCCAGACGAGAATCACGAACCCCCCATTCCTTATTTGTACCAAAATGAGCGCCATTTGTACACAAGACTAATCAGTCATAATCATTTTAACGCTAGCCTGGATATCAATCCTTATCTTTATTCAAACGTTTTCGGGACTTGGGTGACTAACGAGTAAAAACGACATGCGGACCAATTTTCCGGATTTTTTTAAAGACGGCGGCTGGCGCATTCACATTTTTTTTTATTATTACTATCACGATAAAATTGGCAATGCGGTGTCCTAAATTGAAATGTGCACGGGCCTGAGAACCAAGTAATCAATTTTTATTGGCCATACCAATAGCTATTTACCTTTATGTACACGACAGAGTTGAGTTCCTGGTAAATGCATGGAAAGTTCTGATGCATAATCTCCAGCTCAACAAAGAACTGCTTAAGGCTCGGTTCAAGACTACTCGTTCAGATAGAACTCGAAGGTCATCTGTCTCATGTATTGTTTTTACGATTAAATGTACATAAGCTACTGTTACAGAGAATACTTACTTTCCAGGATAATCCGTCGGATAGGACACAAAGCCTTTTGTCTAATATACTACAGGTAAACTATGTCTATGTAGGGATTGAAATAAAAGAGTAAGCTTTGCATAAACTGGTGTTAACAATACTTACGAGAGGAGTAGTATCAACAGATGTACCAAGCATGATTTGTACTTATCTCGGACTGAGTCTATCGCTGGCTGCAGTGTGTAGGTAGCGTTTTGCTTCACTTTACGTCAGAGCATGTTATTCCGATTGACAAACAACACAGCATCACTTCAACGAAAATTAACTTTAAAAACCTGGATCAACTTTATGAATTTCTTGGACTAACACAAGAATTAGCAGAATTTTGATGTAGACGTAATCTAAGATAGACTTGTTATATATGTATATTTAGTACATTGTACCCTTTTCCATTGCATGTTCTTGTATGTAGATGATGTAGATGAACCTAACCCTTTCACCGCTGTAGACCATAATGGACTCATCCATATCAATGCATGGTAGAGTCTACTAAAGTTACATAGGGGTGAAAGGGTTAAAAGAACCTTGTAGGAGTTGTTTCAGATATCTACCAGTAATGTGATTCAAGTCTGCGTACAAAATCCATTCAAACATGTTCATTTATCATTGTAAACAAGTTACATCAACTGTTATTGTAGACCAAAACAATTATTTCTTTTCAATGTTTACATTAAATAAGCTGACGTTTTTATTATTTTCTAACTTCTTGGAGGTGTTCTCTGTTAATATAGGGGAAACATGTCCAAGTCGAATGCAGTCTATTAACAAGGCAATCGTGTATCAATATTATGTTGGATATTATCCGATACATTATTACAAACCTTGTAAGACCTCATATTTTAAAGAGAACAATTTGTAGCTTCCTAAATGATTAAAGGAAAGTTTTTAAAAAATGTATGTCTGCTTATTAAATGAATGTGAATATTGTGTATGAAATTACCTTGTTAGATACTTGTACTGAATTGTTCTGTGTGCTCTATGTGTATAATCAGAATGTTGCTACAGCGATCAACCAATTGTTGGGATTAAGCTCTGCCTCCATTCTACAGATTATTTGGAGTAATTCAAGTATATGCATATGTAAAGTGTCATCCTTGACACGCCAGGCGTTACACTCACTTATGTTCTCTGCACCCCTGGAATCTGTCATGACAAAATCGAAGGCTCAGTGTGCATCATCGTGTGGATGAAACAAGAAGACAAGTTTGGTCATTCGATGTACATACAAAACAATTCTCATGGTCGTACAACAGTAAAATTGACTGTCTTTAAAGTTGATTGTCATTCCTCTGTAATCTTCAAAGTACAAGTTTAACCTGAGACCAATCAATAAGCAAGCTGTGTGCCTTCAATTTTACTATGATATATTCTAGGGGAGCAGAGAACGAAGGTGACTGTAATCGCTGGATTATCAAGGGTGGCAAAATCTGGAAAGGAAGTCTTTTTCCATTTCCATTTTTTTTGTGGAATTGAATAATGGTTGAGTTTGCCTGTAACCCCTTTTTAACCAGCTCAACTGAAGTTTGAAAATTCATATTGGGATATAGATTCCTCAATTCTTATTGGCTGAAATATTAATTTCTGAACAATAAATTTATCGAATTCGGCCAAGCTGTTGGTATGCTTGCATAAGGGCAATTTTTGAGGCAAAGTTCAAAGTTGAACGGAAGTCATGCATATTTTATTATGATAACATTTCAGATACTTTTTGATTTTGATTGACCTGTAGACTTTGGTATAAGATATGAAACTGAGTAATGTGTTAAAATATGGTAGACATCAATGGATTATGTATGTTGTAATTAGACTTTAATGGACCATATTTTAATTAGACATGAATGGATTATAAATGGTAATAAGACACTACTAACTGATAAACTGTTGTCTATGTTAATTATTCCGTCTTTTTCGTATTGTAGAGTTATCTGCTCTTGTGAGCAGGTATTGATAGTAATTACGTCATTTTGTTTGTGAGAGTAACGTCATCAATTTTTGAGAAAACGACGTAATTTTCTCGCACAAAGTAATGACGTAACAATCAATACCTGCTCACAAGAGCAGATAACTCTGCAATACGAAAAGACGAAATAGACACTTATGGATTATGTATATATTAATAATTAGACACTTCAATGCATTGTAAATATATGTGGTAATTATAGACAACATAGTGTATCAAATATGGTAAATAGACGCCACATGACAGGCACTACTATACATGTGGCAGATTGTTTATGTATATGGTAGATACTTACAGTAGATTTTCATGATTATTAGAGATGAATAGTTGTACATTATTAGACATAGTGAATCACATATTAATTAGACACAAAGTGGATAATATATGATAATTTGACACTTTAATGGACTGTATATGATATTAAGATACGTTAATATAACGGATTATACCAGCTTTTTATATATATGGTAACATATATGAATTTCTCCTGAACAGCACTTGCCAGTTAAATACAACACTTCTTATTTGCCACAATGTCATGAGTTGTACAGGGTATAGGCATTGCCAGTGTATTTATGATTTTGTAAAAAAAAATTCATAGACTCGAGCTCACTGTAGTGAAAATATATCATATAATGCATGTGATAAGTTTCTTAATTATAATGTGTGTTTATATTTAAATAAAAAAGAATTGCAGTCGTCATGAACTCATGATCGATTAAATTATCATCAAATACAAAATTTAGTGTATGTTGTTTTGTACTTCAATTTTGACACAAACAGCTCATTACAAACTGATGTCAAAATGTAAGGTTATTATCATGCCATTGCATAATGCTGATATTAGCAACATGAATTATGTCCATAAGTAATTTAGAAATAGATTTAGCCTGATTGTACTGCGGTTCGGTTTTCCAGACATTAATCGGCGCTGTCCTCAGCATCATACTGTCCGGACCAGGAGGAGCCGTGCTGCCTGATAACTTGTTCAGTTTCCATGGCAGCCACCGTATCGAACACATCACGCAGAGCATACTCACGCCGCCTTCATTCTCTTCGGCAGTTGTAAAACTAGTCGCCATGCAAATGGCTGCTCTAGGGGTAAGTACATATGTAAGGAGGAATCCAGGATGTTTAAGAAAGCCTACTGTATGCATTCATTTAAGAGTGTAGCTTCACCAGATATCCATCATAGACATGCCAGGATCCAAGCACCATTTTTAAGAGTAATTTTTCGGATGAAATTTATTTAGATCAACAAATTAAAACGCTAGAAACATGATGAACAACTGTTTCACTATCGTTTGAAAAAATTGATGCAGTGTGATATTCCAATTATCATTGTAGTGGTTTTTGAGTTGATAAAAAAAACCAGTTATAGCTGATGACACAGAGCACACTTACTGTTGTGTCAGTTTTTTGACGGCAGGGTAATAGGCTTGATTCCTGTAGGCAGTTGGATGTTGTTGTGTCCTTTATCAAGACACGTTACTCTGGGTAGTCAACTTCATCATCCTAGAGATGGAGAACATTAGAGTCTTAATTAGGTTCTGGTGTAAATGAATCATTAGAAATACAAACCAATAACAAGATGAACACCTATACAACCTCCACTATACGAACACCCTTACACTTATGGAGGCCCTAAAGGGTCCACATTACATGGTAAGATATACTTGAGTTAGTCTGCTCCCAGATTCTCCTGATTATGTTAAATATATATGTCTGCTGTTCCTTGAATATAAAGTGCACTAGTCTAATTTCCTTGAGAATAGAAGGAGCACTGTACAAATGTTATATGATAGTAAATAATAATGTGAGAAGGTAAGATTTTAGTGTAAATACATTTATCAACCCTGGGGCTTGCTAGATGTAACTATGAAAAATACAATCTGTAAGATACAGGGCTGCTTAGTAATATAGATTATGTTGTTGTTACCAGGAGCAGTTCTCCTTAGAGCAGATCTGTGGGGGGATGGCCGAGTTCCCTACACCAGAGAGATACATCAACATCCTCGTCAACTTCATCCTGCCCCTGTGTGTACGACTAGGCTGTGGTAGAAAAGGTGAGTATACACAACAAAACAACTTCATCCTGCCCCTGTGTGTACGACTGGGCTGTGGCAGGAAAAGTGAGTATACACAATAAAAGAATTTCATCCTGCCCCTGTGTGTACGACTAGGCTGTGGAGAAAAGGTGAGTATACACAATAATAGAATTTCATCCTGTCACGCTATGTCTGCCTAAGCTGTAGCAAAAAGGCAGTTAAGCAATAGTATTGGCACAAATACCACACACATACAGTTATAGCAAAACAACAGAATATAAAAAAATACTACTCATATCTATAACTAAATCAAGACACCACACAAATCCAGCAAAAGTCCAGCTATATCAAGAAAAACTAGCAAAAATAGGTTATACCTCATAAATCTATAGCAAAATGCAATCAATACGCCACACAAAAACCAAGATATTACAAAAATCTTTAGCAAAATTTGTAATACCACAAATCTATTGTAAACGTCAGAGTATATGAAATATCCATAGTGGTAGCGAAAGTCGAGGAACCACACACATGCTATTAAAAGCCAGGGTAGCATGACATAAAAGAACAATATAGGAATGCCTAATTTTCTGTTGTTTCCACAGACACGCCCAAGATGAATACAGAAGATGTCAAGTTTGCTCTCCAGGTGAGCTTGAATGTGCTTTGTCCACCAATAAAGATCCGTTCTCAGCAGCAGGGAAACACTAAGTCGACCACACTACACCACCTGTCTATCAGTGAGAACCACCGCTGTAGCAGCTACGGACAGCTGGACAAGGGCTTCAAACACGAGAATGAAATGTTGCTACACACTGCCTACCTAGGTAAGTCATAATTAAATTAAAGATTATTTTTTTTTTAATAAGTTTTAAGTGAACTCAAACTAATTATTACTGTAACAATTTAAAATGTTAAGGATGGAAATGGCATTAAACAGTTATGAGGGTATATACAACATAGGTCCGTTTAAACATGTTCCATGATACACTTTTTGGAAAATTTGTTTGAACAGAGCTGTGTTGCATATACCATCATCAGTGTTAAAAAGGTAAATTTCAATTGTTATATACATTCACTTTAAAAACTACTACAGACATGCAAACCTTTGATGAAAAACACTTCCTAAGGTGAAAAACATTAAATGGTAACCATTCCGGAATTTACCACACGTGCATCATAATTTGATGTCAAGCCATGAACAGCCCTGGGTTTCTCATGGAGGAAAGAGCCAAACAGTTTCCAGTTTGAAATGATTCACGTGTTAGGATTCTTTCTGTTATTATCTTATAACAACAATTTTTTGGGTTGATGGTTTTATTGATTGTCTAAGGTCTGTGTAATAGAAATGTAACTATATTCCAGTAACTTTGACTGTTATTGTGTTTACAGGTTTGGAGATTTTGATGACATGCTTTGACAAGGTGCTGAGTACAGAGTGGCACAAGGTCACGCACTGCATACAGAACCTGGGATGTAAAAGCAAAGGTGAGGCCAGCAGCAGAAAACCCTGCCTTAGATCAATTACACATATCAGCTGTACTGTAGCAGTGCTTTTCCATCATGTTAGAAAAACGCATTAATTGCCCAGCTTTTCAAAGCCTGATAACCTATATTATCAACATTTTAACACAATATTTTTAAATTCATTTTTTTGAGAGGTGTGTAAAAATATGAAAATATAAAAATAATATTTGACCGTAGGTGCATCTAAGGTAGTACATCTCAACCCAAGCATCAAATGCTGGATGCGTCCTACCTTTCATCGTCCATTGACATTGTCAGCATCTCCATCAACATTAAGTTTTTGTGTTTAACTTAGTTTCCTTGAAACTAAAAGAGCTAGACCAACCAAACTTGACATGTGCATTGATGGTCAAAGTGGGGCACAGGCAAGACATATCAATTCAATTGTCTTGTTTGTCTTTGACAATTATTTTGAATCCCTTTTCTCATATGTTTGGTTTTGAAATACAGTATTGAAAATATATAAGAAGTCAGATAAGTATGATAACAATTCATTGATCTATATCACATCTGAAAAATAGATGTAGAGAAAGCAATTTGTTAAAAATGATACTGTTTTCAACAATTAGGTTGCTACCTTTATTATTTCAGTTTCCCTGCCCATGTGGAAGTTCCTTGACTTTGTTGTAACCTACCGGCCATCCATCTTTCTGTTGCTCCAGCCATTTATACGATACAAGGTAAGGTATCCTGCTCATAATAAGTTTTATAGACGGAAAAAAAACTATGTTTGGAAAAATATTTTCGACAAACCATCAGCCATTTAGAATTGATCTAGTACACATGCCTTCAATAAATAAAAGGCAACGTTTATAAGTCACACTAAATGATTTACCATATTACTCTATGGTACTTTTCAGTACATTGTATATATTTAATTCCATATTTACACAGTCAAATATACAAAGGACCTTTACATCAACACTGCAGAATATGTGTGAAAACCTTTATAAATGTTCATGAACGATGCTCATTGGTATTGTTGGTATTATTCTGAACTTAAATATACAGATAGAGAACATTATCTTCCTTTGTGAGTGATTGTACCGCTGTGTTTTGCCAGATAATGCGTATCAATTGTGACACTGCCCAGGAGTACTACATCCAACAGACCATCAAGGACAAGATGCTCGGCTACAGCTTCACGCACCCCAAGTGTAACGCCAGCATCCTACTCCAACTGGCAGTGGAGCTACAGGCACTCAAGGACGAGTTCCACACTGTTGGTGCAGGTATGTGGCTATCAAGGGGGTCAAGAATGGAACACAAGGGTGAGGGAATGGGGATTTTGGGATAGGAAGGTCAGTTAGATACATATTGTCTGCTGTAAATCCGAACTACTCGGTAGTGAAGCGGACATAAAATCACAAAGACAAACTAACAAATAAACAAGTTAGATACATGGCTATTTGGAAGACAGGACAGTTTTGTAGAAATCTAGGGATCTGGTACATTGCTATTGTTCATGGGGAAGGAGGACCATCCTCGAAATTCCATGGGATACATTCTCTTACTCTCTTACGATCATTGCAGGTATCTGGCTAATGGGGAGTCCAGACAGTTACCAGGTGTGCAGGTTTTAAGGAATCAAATACATGCCAATTATGGTGAGGGCAGGTATAGAAACTCATTAAAGAGGGGGGGGGGGGGGGGGAGGATTATGAATGTTGAAGAGAAAGGTTGTGGAAGTAAGTGATAAAACATATTCAGTGAAATCCTGCTATGATCACTCCAATTCTTTTTTGATGATTTCATGAATAGGAGAGTTTCGGTCTGCTTCTGCTACTGATACAACAGAACGATCAGACATGCCACTGACCCAGATTCCAGAGCAGCGACGCCAGGCCAGTATCACTGACATCGCTGTGGAGATTATCAATCCTGTGTCCAAACCAACACTAGCCACCATTGGGAAGAAGGCCAGTAGAGGTCAGTAGATCAGAGGTCAGAGACCAGCAATTTTTTTTTTTATATCGCAAATGATTTAAAAAAATGTTTAACAATTTCCTGTATTGACCTTAATTTTTAAAAGTGAGCACACTTCTCATTTAGTCTTTCTCCTCAATTCCAGCCACAATATTTTCCCAGTCAAGTTCGAGTACAGGTGCTCCGTTTAAGACCACTGTTGTTACCTCAAGTCTGGACAGTACCAGTCCTGTTTTGTCGGAGAGGAAGGTCAGTCGCCGTATTTCTGCCAAAGATGGCAGCAACATCCTGGAGAAGTTCAGAAGACCAACCATGGATGATATTTCTCCTGGAGGTTAGTGTATTTTGTTATAAACGTTTGTTGCTCTCTTACTGTTATTAACATTTTAACTTGATTGGGAATGTTTAAAAGTACTATTTTGCATTGTCGTAATTACTCTCTGTCTTATGAGTGTTATGTTTAAAAATGGTAATTATCATAATTTATAGTGGTAATTATCATAATTTATAGTGATAATTATCATAATTTATAGTGGTAATTATCATAATTTATAGTGATAATTATCATAATTTATAGTGGTAATTATCATAATTTATAGTGATAATTATCATAATTTATAGTGGTAATTATCATAATTTATAGTGGTAATTATCATAATTTATAGTGGTAATTATCATAATTTATAGTGGTAATTATCATAATTTATAGTGGTAATTATCATAATTTATAGTGGTAATTATCATAATTTATAGTGGTAATTATCATAATTTATAGTGGTAATTATCATAATTTATAGTGGTAATTATCATAATTTATAGTGGTAATTATCATAATTTATAGTGGTAATTATCATAATTTAATGTGGTGGAAATAATTGAAAGTAATAAGTTATAAGAATTACAATTATTAAACAAAATGACCAATACTGTTGATATGATTTTATTTTAAGATGGAGAATTCATATAGCCACTGCTTTTAGACTTATTATATTTATTATTCTAGATGATTTTTTGACAATTTTCTGTGAACGAAGATCTGAATTTTAATTCTGATAACGTTTTCTCCTACTCGATACATGATGAATTAATCTTTGGACACGTACTATACAGTATACTACCTATTGAAGCAATGCTCACTCTGCATGAGAGGTTATTCCGTCTTTTCGTATTGCAGAGTTATCTGCTCTTGTGAGCAGGGATTGATAATTACGTCATTAGTTTGTGTGAGAAAATTACGTCGTTTTCTCAAAAAATTATGACGTTACTCTCACAAACAAATGACGTAACTATCAATACCTGCTCACAAGAGCAGATAACTCTGCAATGCGAAAAGACAGAATGCGAACTGTAGTAATCCCCTGCTATATTTGTGTCAGACACTATAGTGATGTCCGAGGCCACAAAGATACAGCGCCAGCCAAACATTGTGCTTCGGTCACCTGGTGCATCTAAACAGAACAGCTTGGATGAACAAGGCAGTGTTCTATACGAAAGTGACGAAGGAGACACACCTAATGGGGGAGGTAAGAAATCTTATATGATCACAACACAAAGTGACGAAGGAGACACACCTAATGGGGGGAGGTAAGAAATCTTATATGATCACCACACAAAGTGACGAAGGTGACACACCTAATGGGGGAGGTAAGAAATCTTATATGATCACCACCCAAAGTGACGAAGGAGACACACCTAATGGGGGGAGGTAAGAAATCTTATATGATCACCACCCAAAGTGATTGTCTTGATTGGTCTCGGAAGGATTTCACCATTACTTCCATTTCGGTAATAATTACTATAATTTTAGTATGCATACTGTCTACAGCTACCAATTCATATATATTGCAATATAAAAATGACAATCCTCTAGACGTCTATTACAATCACGTGTGTTTGCAGCTGCCACACTGTTTCCTCCTTAAGTTATGGCTACAAGGCTACCATATTGTAAAGGCATGGCGAACCTTCTCTCACCTCCACCCCCTTGACAGTTACTTGTCTGTTGATATATGTATTAAGTGTTGTGTAATTTTGGCCAGTTTTTCAACAATTTCTCAAACCTTGTGGTTGTAGTGAACTAATTAGGGTGGTTCTAAGTCACCCAAGGACTGACCCAGTTATAGTGCCGTTACTACAATGGCCACCTGTCATACTGCTCCTCTGCCTTCACTGATCCTTGGGACTGAACTGGATAGATTTAAATAGTAATGGTATTTGCAGTTTGTGTTGTAGTTTCATGTGTTATCCTTCTCAGCGTATTGGTTCTGCTTTTTTTAAGCTTGTCACTTCTTAGATAGATATCCTGGTATCTCTCACGTCTGGTGGTAAACAAAGAGAAGTCCATGCTTTGTCTTACATTTCGTTTATCCTCCAGGCCAAGGAATTATTTTGTGGTGTTTTTGCTCATAGATTTTTGCTTTATTCATCAAGATTTTCTATCTTTAGTCCATTAAGAAGAATGGTCAGTTTTTCAGGTAATTTGGTTTTATTTCTTGAGTGGGGGTAAAACAAGTTTGGGAGAGGGTTCTGAGGTTTTTTTTATGTTCTCACTGACTAAGCAGGGGCAGACATGATACTCTCCAGTTACAGTTATAGGATATCTGTGACAAACCATGTTCACTGATTTCTACCTTAGATCCTTAGCTTTCGTGCCTGAAGACATGTTTTCCACATAACTAATCATGTGGCTCAGTTTTTAGTTATGCTTCCACAGTGGATTGTCAGGGTTTCATGCTTGCTGATTTATCTTTATCATTCTCCAGTCACAAGTTATCATACTTTTCAATAAATTAATTTTGCTTCTGGATTTTTTTTAAAATTTCCCTTACTCTCTGCTTAATATCCTCTCTTGACTGGTATTGCTGAGATTTTCGAGTCTCCAATATGATAAGAAGAAGTCATATATAATATTTTTTTTAAATAACATTCACAGAAAGAATTCGGGGACATGTTATTTTCATGCCGTTTCTTATTGTGAAAATTCTGATTACTTCCACTTTCTTCTGCTTGTCCGCTATGAAACTAAATGCAAGTTACAAAAATATTTACCTTTGCAGACAGATAATATGTAAGAGATCAAGTCTTTTGTTTACAGGTAGTATCTTATCTGGTCATTTTGGTGGAGTGACCAGTCCTGACCTTGACCCCAGGTCACATAGGTTCCAGCGACAAGACATCAAAAGCCGTAAAACATTCAAACGTAAGAAAACAAAAACCTCAAGCAAAGGACATTATGCAAGTAAGAACGGTTGCGATAAAAGTGATAACTCTCCTAGGGGATCACCTACACGGCGCCCTGCTTACCATGGATCCCCAACCCATAGGTATCACGCCACTTCTCCCCAGAAACTTCATCGGTCACCACCCAACAGGTCATATGCATTTCTCCAGCAGAATGCAGAGGCGGAGCTCAAAAACCTTCGACAGGTGAGATCTACATTGGTGGGTGCATCGTCCCCAAGTGCAGCCCGTTCTGTGGAGATGATTCCAGAGAGTGTAGAAATGAAGGTATGTGATACCGAAAGGCGTCAGCCTTGTGCTTATCTGTAACTAAAATGTCAGTAGTAGATAAGAATGTAGCATGACAAGTGTATATATGTTATTTAGTTGTCAATGAGATGCAATGTTACATACGTTTAAATATATATTTGGTTATAATCTGAAATAATAAAACGGTCATTGAAGATTGAATCACATACTGTTCATGTTCAGAACAGCTTTAGACAAAAAAAATGTTTTTAATTTGATTTTGAGTTTAGTAATATTCCTGATTTTTGTAAAGCTCGATTGGAAATAACCAATATGTCGTTTACATTTAATTGAATTTGGCATAATTTTGTGAATTTTCTTCACTTCCACAGCCAAGCAGACCCCGTTACATTCAACGGTCAAAATCACATGACGACCCCCACGGAGACTTCCATGCCCCAGGAACCGCCAGAGGTCGCATTGCCAGACAAGGTGCCCGCATTGTAAGGTCTAGATCACCATCTTGTAGTCCTGTTCGAGTTGGGCAATCGCCAACAGCGAGTCCAACAAGGAACCAGGCCTACATTTCTCAGTACGACTCCAGTGATTCGCTGAACGCCAATGAGAGTTCCGCATTGCTGAAGGACGACGATTCCCTCAGCTCTCCCCAGTCCATGTGTATTTACTTTGACGAGAGAGGAAGAACAAGAGACACTGTCATGTGATACAAAAAAACACCAAACTGGAAGTTAAATACGTTAAAATCCTGTTGAATTGATCACATGCTATTGTGAGATCTGTGACATATAATAAATATATTGTTATGAAGTAATCTCAAATTTCGCCACCTTTTGTGGTCATAAAGGAATTGACGCTTCATCAAGAGAGATGTATAAAGTTGAAATTATGCATGCAGTGCAGACATGGTGAATGAAACAAGTGGCATGGTATAAAGGTTATACTGTAAGAAACTGTTAGTTGTTAATGCAATGTTAATGTGTGTGTTTGTCCGTCCGTCCATTTGTTAATGTTCTGTCAGTAATCAAGAGAGAGTGAGAGAGAGAGAGAGTAATTTTAAAACATTACTGTGGATTCAAAGAGGTTGAGTATGACAAAGTTATGAAAGTGCATAAGTGTTCTTGTGTATTTATGATGTAAATTCAGACATATAAAGCAGATACAAATGTCGTCAGAAACCTCCGTGAGATATGTAATGCTTTTCTGTTTGAGATACACAGTATACAGACTGTTACCAAACATGAAGATTAGGTGCATTCAAACTTGTTGCCAGTGAATGTACTCTGGCAACTGGAAAGGAATATCCTTTCATGGGAAGTTTGATAGAAATAATTAACAAAATCTCATAAAAAACACTTTTTTTAAAAACATTTTGGGATCGATAAGGGGAAGATATCTTTGAGTTTGTTTTGATTGTCTTCCTATCTGATCGCCAAATGTTACAAGAAGGCACAGAACACCATATTGATACCTAAAGATAATTTATTGTTGCTAAGAGTTTTGGATTCGCAACAAATCACCAAAGTATTCACCACATACTGCTGTAATATCCTATCTATAAATACCCTAACAGTATTAACACATAACAGCGTACCGTAAACGTCGATTTGGTTGTTTGTTTTGTTTCCTTACAGCATAATCAAATAAAACCAGTTGTCATGCATGCTGACATTTACTTTCATTTACAACTGTATAGGTTGATCGTTTAAACTTTAATGTTTTGTTTGCGACATGTTTTAATATTTTGTTTTTATACTGGTTGTAGTTTTCAATATGTGTTTGGTCCTTTTGCCATTATAAGCCTTACAAGAAGGCGAATTCAACACAGTTGTCAAAATATTACATACTCATATATAAATGTATATAATTCTGCCGTGAAAGATACATGTAATATATATTCAAAACTATTTATTTTTCCTTGCCAAGACCAAAGGGCAAGGATTTGGGGAATTAAAATGTTATGCTTTGCTTTTACAGTTGTCATAATTGACATGTGAACTGAAATCAACTTTTTCATGGATTCGGAATGAAGGAAACCATATAGATGTTATTGTGATACGTTTGTATTTGTCTGATGTTAGTATTTTAATCTTTGTTTCATGTTTTTTGATACGAGTTAAGCAGGAAGGAACAGTCATTTTTTGTGATATTTGTCGGAGGGGAATAACAGAACACCTGTTGTTATATCGTACTGATGGACTTACTTATTCTTAGAACTAGAAGGTGCCTTTCAGTAATGATTTGCTATTGTGAATTACTGCTAGTAAGTACTGTTTTATGCCAATACACAATCTCTGGAAACATGATCTTCCCCCCCNCTGACCACTTGCATGATATTAGTTTTTTTTACGTTAAAGAGACTGCGACTTTCAATAAAATATCCCTTTTTTATAATATCTTCATGTCCAAAAAAGGTCACTGTGCATGTTTCTTGTGTCAACGTGTGTCAACTCAAGACCATCTGTACAGGGATCAGTGCTGCTTAGCAATACCTTGTAAGCAATTCATTGATTTTAATTTATTGTTATACCTGCTAAGTAACTGTTATGCATACAAAGCACTTTAATTTGCAAAATTAAATCTTTTGTGTTAACATAATAACCATTGATATATGTATTGTTAAGTACGATATAACACATCGATTACTTGAACAATAACCACTGATATATGTATTGTTAAGTAAGATATAACACATCGATTACTTGAACCTTTCAGTGTGTATATGAATTTGCTGGTATTTTGATTTACTGAACATTTTTGTTCTGTTTATATAAAAAAACAAGTTTATGTTTTATATAAATCTATATAACGTGTGCAATATATTTATTTATAAGTTATATTTATTTTTAGATAGAAGGTTTTTTTTTAGATGTAGAATGAAGCATTACATATATAATTTTCATGTGTTTAGTGGGATGTATGTTTGAGATATAATCACTATTTAACCACTTGTGTGGGTGATAATTAATTAGTTGTTGATGTTATGATGTTATATGTATTTATAACTAACCAAAGTCATGTTTACAATGTTAGTAAATAAAAACTGAAATCACTTTATATGTTTCGTTTCTTCTTCTTTTTTTTATCTATATTGCAGTAAATATCCCCTTTTTCGAGGTTTGGGTAGCGGGATGGTAGTTATTTCAAAATATGATTGATCAAGATATGTCTATGTCTCATTATATTATATGACTAAATATTGATTTGGGGATGTTTACAGTAACAGGAATCTAAATGGCTTCTTAAGACAAAGCAAGAAACGGACAAACAGCTAAAGGTAGAAGCGAGATGGCATAAGACATCAAAACTTTGTCCAATTTATAAAATGTGAAGAACCGTTGCCACGGCGAGCATGCCTAAGATACATAGACTATCAAGGTATTTTGCAAAGCAAAGAAAATAGTGAGTCATGCTAGTCATTTTCTTCTTGCAAAGTACTCGCATGAGATAATTACCTACGTTCTCGTGAAGATGTTTGATTGGAGTGCCACAGTATGTGCCGATTCCTTGATATGCTGTAACTACGAACTGAAAAACAGCCGATGGCTCGGACATCGTCACTCCGAGAGACGGACCGATTTCCACATAGCGTTTCTTTTTATCTTTGAAGATGGAAAATGTTTGCAAAAATGCCTATCTGAAAAATAGAGTAGCGTGGATGATGAAGGAAGTTGATCAATGGTTTATTTTTCGTTTAGACATTCCCGAAAACAAACATCTCTGTAAGCGTTGTTTTCATTTGATCCAGTATCTCAGTGGGTCTGTAGGAGTAAACGATTGATAATAACTGCAAAATGTGATTTGAGACTTTTGACTATTTACAACGTAAGCAAAACAACAACAAAAACATTATTGTAACAGTACGAAATTTTAGACATACATGTATCTCCACAATTTCTTATTCTGATTCTTGAAGGGGCCTCACATGGACTTTTCCATAAGGTAAAATATTGGTGAAATGCTATCCAGTAAGTAACTTTTAGAATTTCAACAATTGCAAAGTTAAAACTTTGATTTTGATTAAATACCAATAGTTCGGCATCGTCGTCCAGAGGATGATCTATCATTGTCATTAGAAAAAGACAAAACACAAACATTTTTATATTCATTCTTTTACTCCAGGTAATGTTATTTTGTCGTCATTTTTGTTTTTTTTACGAAACCTGGTTTGCCGATGTCATAGAATGAATGGGAAGTCAACTTTAGAGTAGGCTGCACATGTCACACCTTTCCATAGGTACTCCAATCACCTGAGTATGCAAACAGCTATGGTGTCCTTTTTGTTTCTTCAGTTTTTATTGTAGTTTACATAAAGTCATTGTATTTTTATATCATTATAAAAATAATGTGTTCTGATTGGTTAATGGTTTTCTAATCTTTGCAACCTGCAATTGTTAAACTTCCCTCACTCAATTGCAACATTAAAGTCTTTCCAAAATTGAATGAAATTCAAATTCATCAAGCTGTTTGATTTAAGTATATTTATTTCCAACATTTTGAACAAGGTGTTTGGCACAAGTTATTAAAGTTCGCTTATCGAATTATTCTCCTGGCTGTGTTAGCTATTATACCGGTATGGACTCGGCCTTATCTGATATGTCCTACTTCTGTGAGCAGTTACGAAAATGACCTTCCGTATGAGAATGGACATACCAACAACACCGATCGGTACGTATGTGTTTGATAAGAGTTTTTGTGTGAGTTTTTTTATTGTTAAGCCATCAATGTTAGAATATTGTTATCCGTTGCCAATTGAACACATGTTGAACTTCAAATAGCATCGCAGCTCCAACACGTTACAAATCATACCTTATTTACATTAGTAATAGCAGAAGAATTTTATTGCTCCATTGATGTTATCATTTATCTTGGTCGTGTCGTTCATATACAACATTGCTCTTTTTTTGTTTATATTGATATCATGTGCATCTTGCATTGATGTGTGTAATGAGGTTGTTATGTCATCCTCTATACTCCAGGGGTTACGCTCACTTACGCTCTCTGCACCCCTGGAATATATCATGGCAAAATTGAAGGCTCAGAGCCACCTTGTTGATGAGACAAGAAGACTAGTTCGATCCTTTGATATACATCAAAATAATCTCGCGGTCACGTCACGGTAACAATTGACAGGCTTTGAAGTCGGGCGTCTCTCCTTTGTAACGTTTAAAGGATAGACATCAGCCTAGCGATTGATCAGTGGGTTTTTTACCCGAGACCAATCAAACAGCTATCTTCGTGCCTTCAATTTTGCTATGACATATTCCAGGGGTGCAGAGAGCGAAAGTGAGCGTAACCCGTGAATGTTTCGTGTAATGGTCATACGGCGTTGGAGGTCTACATTGTAACAAACCTTTATCAGTACTATCTATCTAACACAGCTTTTCCATACATTTGAACTCGCGTCAGTTTAGAATATTGAAAAGATAACTGCTGAATATTACTTTTCAGATTCAGTGGGGTTTTAGACCATGCAATATAATGTGCTGTATATCACGCTGTGAGGATACAAGAGAGATGTTGTATAACCCATGTATCCAGAACTCCTGTTTGACTTGAATTTATCAATTATCTTAATTGAAACAGGAATTGGTTCCGAAGAATATCTTAATGTCGTTTTGCTCGAGATGGTAACGTGATACATTGTTCCGCCGTTCACATCGTTCTATATAATATGCATATAAAGCGCAGTTTTAGGTACATTTTTTTGTATGTGATTAACAAATATGAGTAAAGTGTTAATTAGAAGTTTATATTGTGCGAGTGTCGATATATTTCAAGAGAACTTTAAAGCCCTCGTGAAATATATCCATATATATGCGCATTAAGCTCGTGCAGTCTGAGACGTTAGATGAATGTATATATGCGTGGGATCGGATATATATATATATATATAAACTGTATAATTTGGACTTGTTACGTTATATTAAATTATCACATTTTGAATACATGCAATGATAAATCTCTGGTATATCTGATTTGTTGGAAAATGTAAATTAAGAATCAATTGGACTGGGCAACAGGCACATTGTTATTGTGTTGTTCTGGTGCACATGGCATTGGTGGAGATCGAAGTATCCATTATGTCTTCCGGCTGGATTCCGTTTCTTTCAAACCCATGTGATAGAAAAACATTGTTACAAAATTGCACTTGCCTCCTTTTTTGTATTACAGTACATCTTGTGTGGGTTTACGTGACAATCGTCATTGTTGCCTTCTGTCAAGGTTTGTGCCGGTTTCATTCATATTCACATCCTGCATTTAATTTTTGTTAAAAGAAATGTCTTTTTTTTTAATAATGTCAAACATAACAAATATTTTACCAATGCGATATATAAGGTTATGTTGCCGACTTTATTGAATTTGCATTTATTTTTTATTCAATGTCTCTATAATATCGATTGTTGAAAAGGAGTCTGGAATATTTAATGAATGCATTATTTGTACATGCTTTTAAGATTTACATTGTGTTATCTGCAGGGACAGAAGCTCATCGGCTGTTTACACATTTGAGTGGAGGTCATCCGTTAAAATAAATACAAATGTGAATTAGGTATATATAGCTATATCACCCGTATGTACCATACTGTTATATATACATGCTTTGTTTCTGCAGTTGTCACGGGCCTGACATGCATGAAATGTACCGGTGTGGGTCTGCCTAGCTATTGTGTAGGAACCGTAGCATGCCTCTCGGACGAGGTAAGTACAAATGGTTTATACCATCCTCGATATCCAGGGGTTACGCTCACTTTCGCTCTCTACACCCCTGGTATGTCATAGCAAAATTGAAGGCACGAAAATAACTGTTTGATTGGTCTCAGGTAAAACAAACTGACCAATCGCTAGGCTGATACCTGTCCTTTGAAGATTACAAAGGAGAGACGCCCGACTTCATAGCCTGTCAACTTTTACCGTTATGTGACCGCGAGACTCTTTTGATGTATATCAAACGATCGAACTATTCTCCTTGTCTTGTTAACAAGGTGGCGCACACCGAGCCTTTAAATTTGCTATGGCATATTCCAGGGGTGTAGAGAGCGAAAGTGAACGTAACCAGTGGACATCGAGGATGGGTTTATAGCAACTGTCAATTCCCCAAGATCTATTACAATACATAACTATATGGAGTGCTTCAGTACACTTGCACAAAGTAAGATTGAAGACATAAGTAAACAAATAAAACGTTGAATTAATAGTGATTTATTTATTTATTTTCATTGGAAGATCGTCCCTTAATTTACACTCAAGTAACTGTATGCATAAAATATAAACTGTCAATATTTCTTTCAGAAAATATCATTTTACTGATGCGCTCCCTTATGATCTGAGAAAATATTTATATTAGAAAAGGAAAGTTAGCGATCGTGAAATCTTTTTTTCTTTTTCCTTACGTTTTTCATAGCGTTTTGTAATGAGATGACTAGTGTTGTTATACTTAGGGGAAAATATCAAGCATCTTATCTTTTGTCTTTGATAGTCCTTGTAAAATTCAGCTTTATTAGAATACAAGAAAATAGAGCATATTTAATACCTATTGACATACCAATTGTTTTTTATTGAGATGTCTTTCCACAAAAATCAACAATAACGTGGAACAGCTAAAAGAAAAAAAAACATATTTATACCGGTATGTAAATACCATGTCATTTGTGTCATATTTAGTTTTAAAAGAGAAATTATTTTGCCCATCGACACCAGAAATATAACACAAATCTATTAACTCACATTATGTGTTCAAAACCACTAAGGCATAGTGTAAACACACTTTTACAAAACGATGTCGGAAGTGTTTTCCTTTCTTGAATTTTCCAGGACTGTTACACAGAGAGGGTTATTGGGGATGACTCCAATATCTTCTACAACTCGGACTGTCTAAGCCATCAGGTAAGAAAGAATATTTACAGCTGTATTCACCATCAGTTAGGACGTTACATTTGTCTGAGCACCTAGAAAGGAAACTACAACTTCACCACCTAGCAGAAACTTAAAACTCGGACTGTCTTGGCCATAAGCTTGAAAAGATATACTTGGATTACAACTAGAGGTTCCTCATTGAAGTGCGTGGTATTAATTGATATGTGATAAAAATGTTTTCCTTTTGTTTCAATTTCTTGCGAGGAATAGATATTACCGAGGATATTAGATACTTGCAAAAACTACTTGATATAAAGTAGGTGATAAGTTAATGTTGAATTTGAAAGGTAAAGCAATTCTCTTAATGTAATGATAAATCGTTTTATAAAATCTATAATCACACAATATGAAATAAAGGTACATTTGTAACTAACGATAAAGCATGTTCCTTACACAGATTTGTCAGCTAAAGGCTAGAACGTCACGGACATTTCGTTCCCAGATCCATATCTGTGAGGAGTGCTGTGGGGTTGACAAGTGCAACAGCCAATTGTGTAACCAGACGTGTGAGTAGTCGCCAGTATAAAGGTATCATATTTACCAAAGATAACATTCTATCTAATTTACTTGCCAATTTCATAGAATTTGCTGCATGTCCATTTAACAAGTAGCGAATGGCTAAGTCATATCCATTGCTCGCTGTACTCTTTGCTTCTCTTTTGTTCTTCATAGTTTGAGATTAGGACACCACACATTCCTATTCATAGCCAGGATATACTGTTTTATTGGCTTTTTCATACGCTGAAAAAGCACTGTCACCATCATGACACGATTTCAAATAACGCCTTTGAACTTTTATGTATTTTCTTTCAATATTAATGTTCATAAATAGTATCATTGCCTCCTCCCTTTGTTTAAGCATTAAGCAACTTTACGCTATTTGTTGGACATCATTTGCAATTTTCAATTAACCACAGTTGTTATAGCAGATCTTTTCCTGAGCCTTTCTCAAAATTTATTTTCAAAGTAAAAACCATTTCAAGAAGCTCAATATGCAATTATTATAGGGTATATATGTGTGTATATAGGGACACTGGGTAATATATATATAATGACGTTTTTCGATTATATAGCCTTTTACTTTATTACATCGTAAATGGCTGGTTTCGTTCCCAGAGTTACTCCATTGTTCTTGTATAACCCTTTCACCACTGTAGACCATACTGGACCTATCCAGATCAATGCATGGAATAGTTTATCAAAGTTACATAGGGGTGAAAGGGTTAATGATTTTTGCAATGATCTGGCCCTAGTAAGATTTCACTGGATTATTATGAAGATGATGTCAACACAACTGTAACCACACATCAAATCCTTTCGAGGTGTTTTTTTCTGTACCTTTCGTGGTGGATTTCTGTTCATTGTCCATTCAAATGATGTCTTTGGAGTGAAAAAATCCTTATAATTCAAGGTCAATTTTGCAGCGTCCACGTCTACGCGGCAGTGTTACGTGTGTGATGACGTTGCCAACCCGCGTGATTGCACCACCAAAATAGCATGTGGCCAAGATGAGGTAATATGGAGAATTTTAAAACATTATATATTTAGTTAACTTCTACTGTAAAGTTGATCTACCGGCTTTGCATGGTTGCGTTGCCAAAGCATTAGCATAAGGTATCCCGTTAAAAATATGCTCTCATATCATTTTAAAATTTTGCTGTTAACATACATTTGTATTTTGATAAAAACTCTTCTACTTACAGGAATGTTTTACACAGGAATTTATCTCATCAAATTTAGAGAAGCGATACAAACTAAGTTGTGAATCAAGGCAGGTGAGTAAACCAACATTGATGATGAAGTCGATTATCGATAAAAAAAATATTTTTGAAAGAAATAATATTTACATAATATGTAGCATCGTGCCTTGTCCTGCAGAGGTGTCGGATACTGAGCTTATTTGGCAAGAAGCGTTCTTCCTCACAACTTTGTAATGAATGCTGTTCCGGACCCGGCTGTAACCGGCATCTTTGTCCACTAGGTAACTATAGAAACTACATCTTAAAATATCGTTTGTTTATGTTGGGTTGTTTCGATGTTTCGAAGTAAATATTATATAGTCATAATTCTGTATGAGTTGAGTTACCATTTTATAGGAGATTATGAAATGAGTCTATATTTCTATTTTTTAGTTGGGCAAGCCTCTGAGTAGCTGAAATGTTATATTTCTGTGGATTTAAACAAATGTATTATGAAATAGAATAAAAAAAATATCACTCGATCAAGAATTTATTTTTGATCATATTGCGAATATCACGGTTTCCAAGGTCATTCTTGAAATCCTTAACTCCGCCATTTTTGCTACAATATATATAGGCCTATTGTCTCCAATGTGTCGTCGTTATATAAAATGGAAAGCTATTATGTCATTACATTATCAGTTAATGACTTTGTATGACTGTACAATATGTCGTGTGTACACGAGTTCATTCACTGAACTTTGTTTGGTATGCTCCAATCGAAATATAGGGAAAGCGATGCTAGCTGCAGCGTGGACAATATTAAAATGGTGTTTTGTCCGTACTGTCGCGATTTCCTCTTTGTTTCTATGTGTTCGTGAGACTATATAACCTCTGTACGACTTCGAACGAATTCATCTCCTTCTCTGTTTAATATTAACCACGTTTTTGTATTCTTTGTGTATGGATTATCGTTAGAAGTTAACGGATTGCCTCATTGCATATGACTTAACCGATGGCTGTTATTTCATACATTTATTTATGACTTTAATTTTCCAAAATTCTTCAACAGTGGGGCCGTTCCCTGTGATACCTAACCTCCCCAAGCCATGTGTGGACCAGGGGAGTGTGGACTGCGCGAGTCTGTTCCAGGCTGGCCTCCAACCCTGTGCCACTGTCAACAATGTGTCCACCCAGTACTGCCCACACTATTGTGGTTACTGCTGACAGCTTCCATCACACAAATGTCCATCATGCAAATATATAAAGTGTATAAATATTCAACATTATTTATTAAAAAAACCTTTAAAACGTCAATTCGTGCAAATTGACACACCTTTTTCAGGTAATTATCGTGTGAAAGAAAATGATAACCTACTTTTTTGCAAAAATTACTTCTTGATTTTAAAAATTCGACAGTTCAAAACGAATACTGAAAGAAGACTTTCTAGTTATTCATAATCAATTATTTAATTGGGCTAAAACAGTGTATTTAGCATATAAACGCCAAGGTTTTTTTTAACACAAACATATAAATTGAAAACTTATTTTGCTAGCTTTCGAGAAACGTCTGCTTCTATGTATTTAGCAGTTTAAACATCTTATTTATGATAGCTCTGCATTAAAATGTATTCTTGCAGTAAATTGTGAATAGCAATCGCGATGACCAAACTGTAGATCAACGGATGCGTGATGGGTTTATCTATGTCCGTTTGACGGCGTCTGTTGCGAATATTTGTGTCGTGATTGTTAAGAACATGTTAATCGTATCGAAACCAAACTTGCACCGTTTCGGGTCCGTTTTTAAATTAAGAGTTAACGATAAATGCTTCTTGACACGCTATATCGATTGGCCTTTCAACAAATGGACACCATATGAAGTTCTTGGTCTGATTTTAATTCGGAAACGGTGGAATGAAATGTTAATTCTTCAAAAAGGATTATGGAGAATCCGTCTCGGCAACTGATGAACAGACAGTTAGGATAGTTGAACCAGACGATCTATTTGGATTGTATAATATCTGATGATAAAAGGGTAGAGATCAAAGTCAAAAAATATTTGCAAATTGTAATGATTTGGCAGTTCCTAAAACGATTGATAGACAATGATGAAACTTGCACATCAATGCTCAAAAGAATACGAAACTATGGGAATAAATAATTGTTGTGAAAAATCGACGTTTCGTTGTAGTCTTCAATTGTACGACATCGTTATAGGATTGTAAATGGAACTCAAATGGTCCCTTTTTGGATCACACTGATCACACTGTTTGTGGTAACAAAAATCTCAAAAAAGTCAAAGAGCAACCGAATCTTTTGCTGGGACATCATAATATTGGTGCACAGTCATATGGCATTGCAAATTTATAAGCCAGACCCACCACAGAATTATAGGTTATATCTAACTCCCTAGGTAAACACTGCATTGTAAATAATGCTACTTTAATCATTATTGTGACATTATATCGTTGAAACACATGACAACTTGTCCCAGTTGCACATAGCTTGGCTAGAATTGTTAGCTAGTGGTAAGGGGAGATTTTTAATACAAGTACATCAAATCTTAGAATATCATACATCTTTTTAATGCAATAGTTTTGTTGAGAAAGAATTGATGAGTTTTATGTTTCTTATTGGTAACAATTTGATTGTCATCACTCTCTACTGGTTAAAATTAAACAACCTTTGACCAGCCGGGATCAAATGGTTGAAATCGCCTTTTAAACTTGGCAGTTAAAGTTCCCGAATATTCAATATGATATTTGATTATCTATATTTTACTGAAAATGTATACGTAAATTATAAATATGACCATATCCTTGAAATGGCATCGTGATATGTTTTTCAGTACTTCTCATGTTTTAATTTGACAGTAAAACCAGTATACAATCTACTTAAGGTAGAAATTAATACATTTTTTTTTCTTTATGCACTCATAAAGTGATTTTCCTGTTAATGCACAGTTACAGATTTTTTTATAATTACAGTTTTTTCTTCAGTATAGAACTCTTCCTCTTCTGTAATAAGCAAGCCATATCAAAGTACGAAAAATGTCAAACAAATTGTTGTCTGCATTAGAGATACAGTACCACCACACAACGTTCTGCGACTCTCTACATTTAACCAAATTGAAATTTGTTTGGAATTATATTGCTCTTTTAACCCTTTCACCGCTATGTAACTTGAGTAGACCCTACCATGCATCGATATGGACGAGTCCATTATGGTCTACAGTGGTGAAAGGGTTAATGGCTGTACTGCACAAAATATCATTAAAAAATCAGGTCAAACATCATATTTGGCATAAAAATATTAATTTAATATTTTCTTAAGATACATCAATAAAACAACAGCATAGTTTTCTTCCAAAATCATATATATGACAGGTTTAAAAATAACAAATTCATAAACTTAGTAAGTATGTATGTCTTAGAGAAAATGCCATGCAAATTCTTTTTTTCATATCATTTTAACCTACGTCTACCATTTTATTAAAAGACAGAAATTGTCATTGATATCAAGACAAAAGTTAAATGCTGTCATGTTTCATACACATATTTTTACTAACATTTTGACATTTTGTTCTTCTTTTGGCTATTTTTTTTTTACTTTGTATTGCCAGTAAAACAGGATAATACAGGATAATCTTTCGAACAGATCATTTATACATATATAGTGCATCTATCATCTTTAACAATGACATCGCCAGTGATTGTTCTTTTGTCAAAACGATTAACTACAGTATACAAATAACGAATTTTAGGCAGCGATATATCAAAAATATAAAACAAAAAAATCATATATTTTATCACATAAACATAAGCATAAATTTCAAATAACTATCACATACTTGACACAAAAGAGTGTCATTTTTAATTAGAACATGCAAAATAGTTCTTGCCAGTGGAATATTTACCACCACAAAATACTTAATAGTTAACTCATTCCCCCCCTGAAATTTCATAATGAACTATTCCAACCTTTGAATTGGAGGAGTTTAAATGTGTCTTCAGGGGTGAATGAGTTAATGAAGCCAACCCGAGTAACAGAACTTCGTCGGCCACATTCACCATAGCACATTTGTAATAGAACATGTTCGTCAATGTCGTTTGTAATGTCAATTGTCAAGTGGGGTCGAATCATACTTTTCTCGGCAGCGGATTGACAATCATGCTTTCAATACACTCAAATACAGTATGGGGATCTTGGTCGGCGTTGACATGTTGCGCGTCCACGTAAAAGTCTGAAATTTCCTCAACGTAAGCGTTGTAGGTACCGAGACGTTTGTTGACCTGTTCGGACTCGTCTTTGGGGAGTTTCTGTAGCCTTGCTTTCACATCCTCCGTGCGCGGGGGATTGTACAACATGTGGTAGCGATCTCCAGTGATGGGGTCCGTGGCACGCAGTGTCAGACGCTCCACCACAGAATCATTGGGAACGTTCAAAAAGAACACTCTGAAATTATACAATTGTAACGTGATGAAGAAATTTTATAAAAACGTTGAAAGTGTTTGATTATTCAAATAAGTGCAATAGTAAACATATAACTGTACGTATATACCTGCAGTATCTGAAACCCTGTCAGTTGTGCATGGATAAATACAAATGTACCATGTACTGTAAAGCGTTTTAATATTGATAATGAATGTCACATCTCAGTGACCAAGGTCAGTGTGAATCAATGTAGCTATTGTTTATTCACTAAGATTGACCAAACTTCGTTTCTTTTCGTGTGACCGATTGAAATGTGTCTCACGCCGTGAGGATTTTTTCTCAGGCAGTTTTCGTGAGTCTCACGTCAAAATCGTTCGATATGGCATGTATGAATGTGCTAATGCTTTACCGATCTACATGTTTGTGAATTTTTAACTTTTCATATCTACTGGACAATGAGAACATATGTTTTAGCTAGTCGATAATACTAGTCTTCGTGTTTTGTTTTAGCGCTAGCCGATTATACTAGTCTTCGAGATTTGTTTTAGCGCTAGCCGATTATACTAGTCTTCGTGTTTTGTTTTAGCGCTAGCCGATTATACTAGTCTTCCTGTTTTGTTTTAGTGCTAGCCGATTATACTAGTCTTTGTTTTTTTTTAGCGCTAGCCGATTATACTAGTCTTCATGTTTTGTTTTAGCGCTAGCCAATTATACTAGTCTACGTGTTTTGTTTTAGCGCTAGCCGATTATACTAGTCTTCGTGTTTTGTTTTCGCGCTAGCCGATTATACTAGTCTTCGTGTTTCATTTTAGCGCTAGCCGATTATACTAGTCTTTGTGTTTTGTTTTAGCGCTAGCCGATTATAATAGTCTTCATGTTTTGTTTTAGCGCTAGCAGATTATACTAGTCTTCATGTTTTGTTTTAGTGCTAGCCGATTTTACTAGTCTTCGTGTTTTGTTTTAGCGCTAGGCGATTATACTAGTCTTCCTGTTTTGTTTTAGTGCTATCCGATTATACTAGTCTTCGTGTTTTGTTTTAGTGCTAGCCGATTATACTAGTCTTCGTGTTTGATTTTAGCGCTAGCCGATTATACTAGTCTTTGTGTTTTGTTTTAGCGCTAGCCGATTATACGAGTCTTCGTGTTTTGTTTTAGCGCTAGCCGGTTATACTAGTCTTCCTGTTTTGTTTTAGTGCTAGCCTATTATACTAGTCTTTGTTTTTTTTTAGCGCTAGCCGATTATACTAATCTTCATGTTTTGTTTTAGCGCTAGCCGATTGTACTAGTCTTCATGTTTTGTTTTAGCGCTGGCCAATTATACTAGTCTACGTGTTTTGTTTTAGAGCTAGCCGATTATACTAGTCTTCATGTTTTGTTTTAGTGCTAGCCGATTTTACTAGTCTTCGTGTTTTGTTTTAGCGCTAGCCGGTTATACTAGTCTTCCTGTTTTGTTTTAGTGCTAGCCTATTATACTAGTCTTTGTTTTTTTTTAGCGCTAGCCGATTATACTAGTATTCATGTTTTGTTTTAGCGCTAGCCGATTGTACTAGTCTTCATGTTTTGTTTTAGCGCTAGCCGATTATGCTAGTCTTCCTGTTTTGTTTTAGTGCTAGCCGATTATACTAGTCTTCGTGTTTTTTTTAGCGCTAGCCGATTATACTAGTCTTCGAGTTTTGTTTTAGCACTAGCCGATTGTACTAGTCTTTGTGTTTTGTTTTATTCATATAAATACCTGTATATATATGAATAACTCTATAAAATTCCAAATTTCTTTTAGACAGCTCTCAAAAGGTTTATGTCCCAGTCAAAAGGGAAATGCTATCTTACACACCTGTTAGGGACAAATCCCCCCTTGGTGAGGCCCTCTGCCTGTTCCCGGGTACGAGGATAGCCGTGTAACACCCAGCCTCTGCTCATACAGTCCATCTGGGAGAGACGTTGTCGAAGAATCTGCATTACTGTCACATCAGGCACTGTAGGGGGGAATAAATACACCCATTAATCCTTCAACCTTCACAACAAACTACCCTGCATGACAAATATTCACATTTAATCTTTTCTATTTCTTCCTTAACTTTACAGAACCCTGCTACTATAGGCCAAAGTAATACAGCTATAGGGAAATAAAATATGGGACAAAATATAAAACAGCTATTAAAATCTCTATTACTTCCTTCAGCACATATTCTTAAAGAAGAACACAGCTAAAAGCTCTATTCCTTTGTTCACTACACAAGCCTACCTAGCTCTATGAAATGGTACTGTAATCGGGAAATACATGTTTTAGAAACAACATACGAAAAAAACATTCCTTGTGTAAAAATTAACCAGCAATAGTGTATGGTAATGTAACCTTGTTTGAATGACAAAAATTTGTTGAGGAAATTTGCCTTAAAAAAAATGACAGAAACATAACATTTAATGAACTTGTTCAAGTATTGACAAATTCTAGACTCACCCAACATATCCTTGGATACATAAGGTATTGCTGTCTGTCCTTCCTTTGTTTCATCCGCTATTGCTTGCTTGATCAGGGAGCCACATGACACTACACAAAAAACAATAAGAAGTATTTGCTTAATCATTAATCTGTTAAAGAAAGAAAGAAAAAATGAGTTTACTAGCAGTACAAAGAGAAATGAATACTGCAAGAGTGAAATATACATGCATGCCCGTCCCATGCCAATCTGACATATGGTACTTATAACCTTCTGATGCCTTTTTGTATTTCGATTTATAAAGATATGGAGATTTAAAAAGAAGAAATTAAAATTACATTTGTACAATATCACATGCTTGCTAATTTTCATCGTAATCAAACCATAATTAAGCTAGTCATCCGGCGGAAGCCAAAGTGTGGATTGACGGACAGAATTGGACATAAATAATCTCATCAAATATAATGAATTAATGAACAGTGACAACTACAGCTGGTGATGTTTAGTTCCTGGGTAATAAGATCAGACTTACCGTTGACAAGGTTGTATTTTGTGGCCAGAAGCGACGCTTGGACACCCTTTCCTGATCCTGTGGCACCAAGTAACACCACCCGCGGTGTGTGAGGTGCATTTGTTCGTGCCTGGCCACATAGGTATGTAAACACTGCAAAAGAAGAAAATAAAAATTCAAGATTTTTTCTCTTGTACATCTCTTCGATCCACCTGGCTACCAACCCAAACTGTTGCAATATACCAACAACATCAAGAACTATTATACATGTGAATGGTTTCCATTTAGGGTAATTTGAATAATTGTACACCAATCACAATGTGATGTCAAATTCAAATTATGTGAGAAATTCTTTAATGGTTTAATCTGATTGAAGTCTGTTGTCTGATAGAATTGGAGTTCATAGAAAACTATGCCTTGTTCCCACAAACAATAGCCACCAATTTTGGTTTAACAGATTGTTTAAAATGTATTATGACCTGACAGAAATCTAACAGCAAAGATGAAATATCCTTTATTATTTTTCTTCATTGTTATGGACAGAACTGTGTTGCATATCATGTTAAAATGTTAGAATTGACCCCACCAACATGAACTGATTATAGTTACTGAACAAAATACATGAGCAAATAGATAACTTAAGTCACATCCTTGAGAAGGCCATATGAAACAGATACAATTCAGTCATTGTGAATGTCAATAAGATGTATTAAAATATCTTAGTTCTCTTAAAATATCAGTCCAAATTCATTGATTTTTTAAATTTTAATAGTAACATGGACTGTTACACAAATTCTCCCAAACAGTTCCAATAGTTGCAAATGATGCATCAGAAAGAGTTGTCAGTGCCTTATACACTTGCATACTAAGTTTAAGCAAATTCAAGACATAATGAGGGACCGTTGACATCACCTTGGCGTACACCCATAAATGTGTCAATCAAAAGGCCATGGCGGCTATATTTGATGACTGATTGGAAAATAAAATGTGTTAAGCTCATCTTCACATGCAAACATCTGCTCAGATTTAAATAACAATACTGTGTAATAATAATAATAAGAAGAAGATACGCAGCAGAAACAATAAATCCCCAACAATGTCTGGGGGACTTAAATTACATTATATCATCATGTTTAGAATGTCAGGAAAACAAGGTTGTAGTAGCACACATGGAAACTCTGCTAAGTTTTTTGCAAATACCAGAATTTTTTTTTATATGTGTGACACTGAAAAGTCAAAATCATTCAAAAAAGTCTTGTGTCATCATCCTGGGGCTTAAATGAAAAACCTTTATATGGTAATGCCAATAACTTAAGTCTTATATCTTATTGCAAGGAGTAAAGAAACAAGAACAAACCTTGAAGGAAGACATCAGCCTGGGGCTGATCAGCGTTGACAGATTTGAGTCCCTTGGTGAAACAAGTGAGGATACCATCAATATGACGGTGGTATTCTATGAGTTTTTCTACCATGTCATCCTCCCCGTACCCCTCAGCTTCCTCCAGGCGGCTCTGTACCTCCGTAGAGGATGGCCAGTCAAAAGTGGTGTGGTATATGTCTGTAAATTTAATGTTAATCAATTAAAAGTGTATTCAAAAGCATAAATAAAATGTGTTAAACTACGCCAATACAAGCAGAGAACAAGATACATGACAATGACAAAAATAAGTAACTAAAAGTAATATAAAATTTTCAGCAGGGGATTAAAAATCGTTTTTTTTTTTTTTTTAAATTCATCCTTGTGTGAATAAAATTAATGTATATCTCATATACCTAAATACCATCTTGCATGATTTTATACTTAATATGAGATTCAGGAAAATTTATAAGAATCTTTCATACTATATGATAGTCCTTTTAACCCTAACATGCTACTTACTGGTCTACACACTATAGTCCCATGGGCTATTTTTTTCCCACACATTTGATCCTTAATACGTATCGTATGTTAAAAAGCTGGGTCAATGTCATTCATTCAAACAGACTTAATACTCCTTTACCCCAGCATGTCACAGGCAAATACCATGATTCTAGGCCTCTAAAAGTTTTACTATTCCGAAGTTGTTTAAAGGCTAGCGCTTTCAACACATTTGACCTACCTATATATGACCTTGACAGTATCAGGGTTGTTCTTAAAAATATAATTAATAGACCTTCACTCTAGCAAGGAAAAGGCCAAACATCAGAATAATAGCATTTAAAGATTTTACCTATAGTACCTGCAGTAACCTTGAAGTTATGTCAAGGTAATTTATGTGAATAAACTTAGTTTCATTCAATGAATTTTGCTATAAGCTAAATATCATGATCCTAGGCCTCTTGGTTATTCAGAAGAAGTTTTTATAAATTTTATCACGTTATACTTGTGACTTTGAAAGTGAATCAAGATAATTAATTCAAAAAAAAAGATGACACCGCGCAGAAAGACACTGCATCACAACATACACTGTCAGCTCAATTGCCCTGAGACCAGGAGAGCTTAAAACTAGAGAACACAATGGTAATTATAATAACAGAGCACTTTTTGTTTTCAACCACAAAATCTACTGCATTAAATCCTGATCCATTTTACGAAATGTTCCTTCATATTCTTCTTGAAAAGAAAAACATTTTTCCACATTTTCTCACAGATGATCATTTATCATCTGACCATAAGGAGCCATAACTCCACATATCCAAACCAACCTCCGGTTTTTGGATCCACACGCTTCCCATGAGCTCTTTCTATCAGCACTGTGTCTGGAGCATCTAACAGCACTGTAACGGAACAAAAGGGGAACAATGAGTTAAACAAGTTTTTTTCTGGCAATTGTGCTATTGATTAACAACACAACATGATTTCAATTTTTTACTGTGAATAACAGTTTAGATTTAATATATAAACCATATTTCCTTCAAGTTGATTAAAGGTGTATTTCAAATGGGAGATTTAACTGAGTATTTAGAAAATAAACATTTGAAGCTAGTAATTAAGCTCACCGACGGAGAACAATTCATGTTACTAAACTGAATCAAATACATTGTTTTATTAACCCTTTCACCCCCCATGTAACTTTAGTAGACTCTGCCATGCATTGATATGGATGAGTCCATTGTGGTCTACAGCGATGAAAGGGTTAACAGAGAAAAAAAAACCATGGAATTAACTTTAATGAGAATTCAACTGTAGTTTTTCATTCAGTAACCTCCCCTTAATTTCATTTTGGATAAACTCCCATTGAGTAGGGTGCTCAGTTCTGTTTTATTTAATCTTTATTATATTTTCATGAAAGTCCCATGGGCGCAAAGTTATGTTGTTTTTTTTTAGAAATGATTTGTCAAAGCTATAATCACACTGACTGGAAAAACTATTTCCAATTGATATAGTTAAATACAGGTTCTAACAGTGGTATGAGGATCCTTAAAGACACTTACCACAATGTTTCGGATGGATGCCTATAGACTGTATGGCCAAGGCCTGTTCTCTGGTCTGGGGAAATCCCTCCATCACCCAACCCTTCCTTACACAGTCTGGAAGTTTGATCCTCTCTTCGATCACTTTCACCCAAACATCAATTGGGATGGGCTGTAAATAGAAAAATTATGGCACGTTTCATTTAAAATTCCACAAAGAAAATGAAACCACTTGGAATATTCCGAGTTATCTTCTCTAGCAGGTATTGATTGTTACGTCATTTGTTTGTGAGAGTAACGTCATCAATTTTTGAGAAAACGACGTAATTTTCTCACACGAACCAATGACGTAACTATCAATACCTGCTCACAAGAGAAGATAACTCTGCAATATGCAAAGACGGAATATACGGCCTAAATGAAACATGTAGATAACGTTCTGTAATACTAGTGACACACTTCTGAGAATAATGTTATCCCAATATATCATTTTATTATATTTATGGAATTTAGATATAGAATTCTATTAATCTGATAAAAGATATATCTTTTAAATCACTCAGTAAGAGAAATATCTACTTATGATTGACCTAGAACGTTCACACTGCCTCCACAGTTATCATCCAATTTGTACATATATGTTACATGTACGTGAAATATTCACCATATCAAAAAATATCAACATTTCCTGCATTAATTTTTATTTTTAGATTGACTAATATACTTTATATTTAATTTTATGAAAACAATAAATAAAATTTATCAATATATGGTAGACACTGATTGATATAATTTCATGAAAGTATAGTGTTGATACCAGAGTTAGTGAACAGCTGTAGTACTAAGGTATAATTAAGCCGTTTCATGTTTACTGGGAAAATCACACAATATTAGCCAGTGTGCATAGAGAAAAATTATATATAAGACCTATCTGTGACCTTTGATCAAAATGAATGTACACTAATAAGTTATAACATACTTGTTTCTTTTTCTGTAGATCCAACATCTGCATCTTAAGATCAGTTTCAGCCTCCATGATGAGGTTTTCTGTTGTGAGGTGGGCTGTTCTCAATTTGGTAGCACACATCTTGGAAATAGTCTTCTTCCCAGAGGCAGGTGGCCCAATGATAATCACTTGTGGAACTTGAATTGCAAGAGAACAACAGATTTTACTCAAAGAATTCAAACACATGCCAACAATATGCTGTTACAATTCGATTAACCTGATGCCTGGGGCTAGCAGAGTTTTAATGTCAGGGCTATACTATAGTGAATATTTTTTTCTTACGAAAATATACTAGTTTTGGCTGTTAGAATTTTGCAAAAATCCGCCTGCGGGCTATAAGTACTCAAAATTTGAAATTGTACACCCCTTCAAAAGTGCTACATGTACATGATAGAAGGCCTATAGATCTACCCTCATTTTATATCTTTTACAGAATCCATGAATTAGAAGCCATTGTCATTTATTATACTTAATCATAATTACATTTTGCATTGTTTCCAATAAAGCATGATAATCAGGATTACTAAAATGAAATAAAATAATTAAAAATCAATTACATTGTGCATATATCTTATACATCTACTTTAAAGCACTTGTCGAGGAAAACAACCAATGTTGAATACCATTGGTTACAGAACTATCTATTGTAAAATCACGTGAACAAGATTAGATGGGATACAAATGATTTCTTACCATCATGGGTATCTCGCTTCAACAAGTCAATGAGAAATGCCACTGGATCAGCAGGTTTGCCGACAATCAGCTGCTCCATCAGTTTCTGCTCAAATTAAATAATATAGTTATATAGTAATAATGTCCTCCTGATATTTAGCTGTTTCCTAGCTACCAACTCAACTAGGGAACATTTCTCTTTATCTCATTCGGTAACTATTAATCCCAAGGTCCAAAGTTTGATTCCTAGCAGAGGCATTTGTGAAACTAATGAACTCTTTAGGCAATTAAAATATTTAAAAAAGCTTTAAGCTGTCAGTTACAGTTGGTATTAAAGTATATAGCATTTTTTTTTCATATTGAAAAGGGATGTAAAAATAATAAAAGCATATGAGAGAGAAAATGTTACATGTGTAATAAGAAAGAGAGCAGTATGCTTCAGTCAGGTATCGAACCCCTGACCCGTAGCTTTCCAGTTGGACGCTCTACCACCAAACTAAAGAAAAAATCCCTCTAGCACTAAGCTAGAAGGCAACACTGATTCTATTTATAATTGAAATCTGCCATACTACTCTTCCCTTTTTAAATGTGTTTGCCCTCGAACACCACAACAACCCAGGTTCTAACTCCCTGTCATCACAGGGATGGCTAGTCGGACACCACTCATAACAGGAAAGAGAGTATAGTGCTTCAGATGGGGATTGAACCACTGACCCTGAGCTTCCAAGTTGGACACTCTACCACTGAGCTAAAGGGAATTTTTCCTTAGCTCAGTAGTAGAGCACCTGACTACGAAGTCTGAGATTGCGGTTTCGATTCAAGTTGGAAGCAAACAGACTGCTCTCTTTCCTGTTACACATGCATAATAGAGATTCCTAGCCTCTGAACTTTAATGAATGCTGTTTTCTGACAAGCCTTAACAAAGGTTTTAATTTCAACATTAAACTTATATTACCTGTCTATCGTGATTTAACACCTGAAAGTATGTTAATTATTTAATTCGTATAATCAATCCATTCATTCTGGATAAACAAAAAGGCCATGGGTCATCAGACATATAATGTATAGGTCCTGTGTACAGTATACAGTATTGAAAACTGTAGATACGGACAATAGTCATGCACTTGAGTACTTCTTCCTGTGAAAGAGTTGGGTTTGTATGACACCAGCTAGGATATGATCGATGTAGGGCATCTTCAATCCCGAGAAAATAAATATCAGACTTGGTCGACACTGTGTACAAATATATGTATGTATAAATATATTCTGCTTTCATATTTTATAACATTTCTTCGTCCGTAAGGATCATTTTTCTTCTTTTATGATATATATTTATATATTCATATGCGAGCATACATTTTTCGTGAAAAGTGTATATGGATATTTTTGCCGGTAGCTGGCAATAAAGCATGGAAATAATATTACGAAGATCTATGCAAACATACAGCCGTTTCATTTTACCTTGTACATTTCGAAAATTCCATGTTTTTCAGCATATGTGCTGAATTCTGGAGGAATCAACAATGGTCTCTTCGTTTGATCCATGTCTGTTTTTTCAAGTTACAGTTAATAACACACTACAAACGACAATGTGCTTTACGTTTTGACCAACGTTGATGTTGTTGGCGTCAATGGTTGCTATGTTTTGGCAGGAGGAGCGAATGCTTGTAACGAAGTATTTGATTGGTTCATTTAAAAAATCAATCGTCTATACTAATGATGAAGGCGGACAAGACAAAATCCGGAAATCATTCATATGGTGTTTCATACAACTTCAAAATATATTTGGTTAATAATAATATTTATTCAGGTAAAATAGGCATGTTATTACAAGATATCACAATTTAACATAAAATATATAATTAAAATCACATTCAGTTTGTAGATAAAAACGAGTATTTTGTATAAAGACTGAGAATTATAACAGATCTGACCTAATAAAAGGTTTTTTAATTCAATCATTGACATATATAATAGTATAAAAATCTAGAAAAAAAAGAAAAAAAAAGTCTGATACACTGTAAAAAAAGCAGATATTACTATAAAATGAGACAGACTATTTTAGTAAATGAAGGTATTCATAAATAAATAGATAGCATAATAGGAGTGGTGGTGATTGCCATTTACCTAGGATTACCCATAAAAGCCTTATTTCCAATGGGGTCCTTTAAAAATGGAAGAAAAGTAATAAAAAATGAAGAAAATCAATCCGGTAACGGTTCAGATAGCACAGAATAGGATATGTGTGTATCATATTGGATAATTAATCAGTAAAACTGTATTTCCTATATAGAAAACAATACATAATAATTATCAACTAGCGGCAGACAGCTTCTTATAGTAGCAAACTATAGAATATTTTTACATAGTTATTTTCAAAGATATCAAAATAAAACAAATATACTGACAGATCTTTGCATTACAGTTTCTAGAATGGCATGACAACTTGAAATTTGAAATCATTGTGCAATGCCGCAAGACAAGCTTTCCACGGGTTGGGATCCCCCTACCAGCGAGGTCTGCTCGACCTGCGCCATTGCATAGGTCTATATATGTATTTTGTGACAGAAGAATGAAAATGTAATACATGTGTGCTCAATAGTAGACAAAGAGATCATTCACTTCATTTTTTTCTTGAAGCATAAGGTGTTTTTTAGAATAGGTTTTGAATTTAAGTTTGTTTTTGATATGATCCGGTAAAGAGTTCCAATCTTTAGCAGCCGAAAAGAAAAAAGTAGATGTTTCTGTACCCTTGACGTTTTTAATAGCGAAATTTGAATTTCCGGATCTAGTACCATATGTGTTATTGTTTTTGGTGAAAAATTCATGCATATACTGAGGGCATTTCTCATTAAAGATGTTAAATGCATGATTTTAACGAAGTTGGCGAACTCTTCCCTCTACATTAAGCATACTATTTTTTTTGTAGTTCAGTACATGTAGTTCTTGTCCTGTTGTTTAAGTTAATGCAATTCAAAAAGTATTTGAAATAATATTTATAATGGTCCGAAAGTGAGAACGTTTCATACTGAGCTAGGTCCGGGCACATGCGTCGCGTCGATTTACCACAACACTACTAAATTCCACAAAGACATGAACATTTGTTAGGCTACCTACGATTTCCAGAGTAATTTTACACTGCGTTTTCTGGGTTTATACCGATATTCAAAAAAGATGTCATATATATATACGAGCAATGAGGCTGTCATGTTTACTGAAAATTAACCTAAGCTCATAAAACGCTTGAAATCCCGTATAGGATCAGATTATAGCTGTAACAAATTATCAGGTCCCTGTGCCCAATGCAACATTGTCGATTTACCCCATTACCCAACAGTCCCGACTAATAGATATTCACATGTAGATTTATCGTTTGATACAGGATTACAGTCCAATTAAGGGGATATACATGTAGTATGGTGTTATGTGTGTTGTGATGCGCTAGTATGCTATGGGACGAAATGCTAGTATGCATATCAATCGTGCAAATTTCAAAATAGTCAAATAGACTTAATATATGATACCCACACACAAATATATGACACAAAGTTAACGAATTATAATAACGTTTGCTAATGGTCCAACATGATGTAATATAAGCGTATGTATGCCTTGCCCTGATGAGTCAATGCAAAACATCCTTTATATTGTTGTATTATAGAGGGAGTGTTTTCAAATTTGTATTCTGTATCCAGAGTTGTTCCTGTTCGGTATCATCAGCAAGCCAATTAAGGTAAGCACATGTTTAATTTATCTTAAGGGTGTGTCTTCGCAGTCATACGCTCAATCAAAGTTGCTTATATTGTGTTACATGATAGCTTGTGAACATTTAGTATTATTTTACAATGACTCTAATTTCTGTGTAAATACCATTTGACCATGAGATGACCTCTTGAATATTTCAATTAAGGAAGTAGAATTTATTTCCAAAGTGACCCGTTCGTGTGTATATTATAAATATAAATACACGTATACATGTATGGTGGAGACCGAACAACCAGCATCGGGTGAGTCGCATCAGACAACAGAGCAGACAAGTTCTAACGATACCCCTACATCAAACGGTTCACAGTCATTTGTCAAACGCCCATCTGCTTCACATTTTGACCATTTTCAGTGTTTCAAGAGGAAAGGTCTTCATTTCATCCATCTAAATGCCCGATCATTACTCAACAAGTTGGACGAACTTCAAATTATTGCGAATATTTTCAGGGCAGCGGTTATCTCTATTTCTGAAACTTGGTTGGACAGTTCAGTTACCGATTCGGAAATAAATCTATATGGCTATAACATAGTTAGAAAAGACAGAAACAGATTAGGCGGAAGAGTATGTTCTTATATTACAGACGATCTAGCCTTTATTCCAGTTGACGATGTTTACCAAGAAGACGACGAGGTGGTTTTGGTGGAACTATATCTCCCAAAAACCAGACCGATACTTGTAGGATCGTACTATAGACCGCCCAAACAATCTAACTTTACTGAGAAATTTGAACTAATCCTTTTAAAAATCAGATCTGATCGTGAAGTCATACTACTTTGGGACTTTAACATATGTAGCCTCAATAAAAATAATCCTTTATTAAAAGCCTTTATGGGTGTGCTGAAACTTCCCAATATGAAACAACTTATAAATGAAGCCACTAGCATTACAAACACTACCAAATCATTGATTGATAATATTTTGTGCAATAATATAGAGAAAAAAAATGTTAATCCGGCGTATTATCGATAGGTCTCGGCGACCACTTTTTAATATTCTGTACCAGAAAATCATATTCGTTCCACCAAAAACTTTACAAAAGAATCCTCTGAGAAACTTCTTTTGGAGGCTCCATGGGAAAAATGTATGTTTGCTGATCATTTAAATGAATGCTGGAAATCGTTTCATGATATTTTTATGAAAGCATTGGCTTTTACTGCTCCTTTGAAGAAAATAAGACTTAAGTAAAAGACAGAACCGTGGATGACGGCAGAAATTTTTGAAGAGATAAGAACTAAGGATAAATTTTTGAACACATTTAGAAAATTTGGCCAAACCTCACTGAGACTATGAACATCACTGCGAACATAGAAATCATGTACAGAGAATGGTTAGAAAAGCTAAAAATCAATATTTTGACGACAAGATTGAGGAAAACAAAAATGATTCAAAACACTTCTGGAAACATTTCAAAATTTTGGGATATGAAACAAAAAGAAAAACGAATATGAATGTTGTTTTGAACATTGATGGTGAAAATTGTCATGAAAACTTAACCATTGCCAATCATTTTAAAGACATTTTTACAACCATTGCTTCCAAACTTGTTGAAGGCCTTCCTCCATGTAAAGGTTTATTCAAAACCTCACAAACTTTGATAAAGTCTTTCTACACTAGGAGAAATCCAAAACAAAACAAAGTTCACCTCAAACATGTTTCTGAAAGATTTGTATTTAAGGAACTTTGTAATATCAATATCACTAAAAGTAATGGCTCGGTTTCTGAAATATGCTGCATCAGTAATCAAGGTGCCTGTAAAAATTTTGATAAATAAGTCCATATCTGAAAATGTTGTACCAGATGATCTCAAGATTGCGAAGGTAAAACCTCTATTCAAGAAAAATATAAATTGAAGGCTGAAAATTACAGACCTGTTAGTATTTTGAGTATTGTTTCAAAAATTCTAGAAAAAGCATTTTATAAACAACTTGAACAATTTCTGATTGATAACAACATTTTGTATGAGTTCCAATCTGGTATGAGAAAATCCTATTCCACTGACTCCTGTTTAATTCACCTGGTTGATCACATAAAGTCCCAGACGTCTAAAGGTCTCTTCACTGGAATGGTACTACTAGACTTACAGAAGGCCTTTGATACAGTTGACCATGGGATTGTGTGTGATAAACTTGGGGTAATTGGCATTGAGTCGGTTGAGTGGTTCACATCATACCTTACCAACAGGAAACAATTAGTTAATATCAATAATGTGAACTCGGATATTTGTAATATAACATGCGGGGTACCCCAAGGGAGTTTATTGGGACCCCATCTTTTTCTCATTTATGTAAATGACATGCGGATCAGTATTGACCCAGGATGCAAACTATTTCTGTACGCAGATGACAGTGCAATTATCTTCTCGCACAAAGACCCACAAATTATTTTAAAATTTCTATCTAAAAACTTAGAGTCATGTCACGATTGGCTAACTGATAATAAACTATCCTTACATCTTGGAAAAACAGAGAGTATTTTGTTTGACCCCAAAAGGAAACTTTCCAAATTACCTGAAGGCACATTTTCTGTTTCATGTTACAGTAATATAACTATGCCTTAGGTGTGTGTTAAATATCTTGGTATTATATTGGACAACTTTTTATCTGGAGAACAAATTGTCCAAAGTATTATAAAAAAAAAAGTGAACCAGAGATTGCGGTTTCTATATAGACACAGCGACTGTCTCAATATTAGATCTAGAAAAACCCTGGTATCGGCACTGGTCCAATGTCATTTTAACTATGCTTCTATATGCTGGTTCGAAAGCTTATCCAAAAAACTTCGACAAAAGCTTCAAATTACCCAGAATAAAGTGGTCAGATTTATTCTGAAACTTAATAACAGATCAAGAGTCACCCACCGGGAATTGGAACAAGCTAATATGTTGGATGTTGGGGGCAGGGTGAAACAGCTCCGTTTTAACCATGTCTTTAATATTCAACATAACAAATGTCCATCCTATATGAAAGAATATTTTATTAGAACAGAGAAAAAACACTTTACCAGGAACAGTGATCTGAATTTCAACATTCCTTATATAAAAGGTGTGGAATCGTCATCATTTTTCTATAATGCTATCAAAGATTGGAATACCTTGCCACATTCAATAAAATCTGTAGATCACAAGATGAAATTCAAAAGCGAGATAAAAAAAAAAGTACTTACAAGATTTGGCAAAAACTGATTTTGAGCAGGAATTCATCTTCTTAAGGTAATTTTTATTCTATCCTAGTGGGCGACTCTAAACTCCTTCTAATAAATATATGTATTACCAAAATTTTAACTAAAGTACTACTTTGCAATGTTTTAATTTCCAATCTTATTCAAATGAGGCTGTAATTTGTTCCAGTTATCCTATTTTTGGTGACTAAATGTACTTTTTATAAATGTTACGGAAGATTTTATTACCATCATTCTCAGTCTTTATTTTATTGATTAGTCATTTTTATATATTAATTATACCCCAAATTGTTATAATTTGATAGACAAATAATAGGTTGGTAGGGATTGGCCCAATCACCTGTTGTCTGTTCTACACACAGGTAACACAGGTTAAATGTATATGGCCTAACACCATCTTATATTGTTACAAAATATCTGCAAGAATGACATCATCTTGCATTATGATATGTACAGTAATACATATAATTGTTATTTAAATATTACAAGAGGAAATAACATCCTGCACAGCCCCACATATATATATATTATTAGAAGACAATCTTATTTTCTAATGATACGTAAAACACAACTCCATCCTATACTGTCAAATAATATAACATCTTATTTTGATGAAATATTATATCATCATCATATTTGACCAATTAGTACAACTTATTCCATTCATATATATATTATTACGAGAAATTATACCATCTTATATTATCAAATTATTTGGACCTTTTGTTGTCTAAGTAATTAAGATCTTTACTAGAGGACCCAATTGTAAATAAGCTGCCACCCAGCTTTCATGGGATATCTTAGGTTAAAGCTTAGTTATCATGTAGATACATTGTATTGATAGTGCTCCAAAATTTGTGATATTAACATTGATGTGATAATCTAAATACTGTGATAAATCTGTGATTATTATGCAATTGAAATCTGTGATCATATGTGATATTTGTACCTGTATCATGCTTTTACCGAATAAATATTATTATTATGTATATTAAAATTGATGATGACAAAGATAAGGATTATCACTGGTTTCAACTATTTCATGCATTAATACGTGAAGTTCATACAATCTGCATACAAATAAAATAGTGTCAAAAAGAAACAAATTTAAGCAAATTACTTAACTCATTCACCCCTAAGTTTCATATTGAACTATTCCAACCTTTGAATTGGAAGAGTTTAGATGTGTCTTCAGGGGTGAATGGTTTAATTATAGAACGAGTGGTGCCCACTTTATTGCATTAATTAAGTGAACTATAAAGGTTAAGCTTGAATTTGTTATGTAGAAATAAATATATCATCATTGAATGGTGTTTCTTTTTTAAGGTCAACTATCACTGCAAGAGAGGAGGGGGAAGATAGGGGGGTAATCGAAAAAGGGTCGAAATATGGTTATTTGTTTAGGTAGTTAAAGAAAATCTCGAGCTAAGATTTTCAAAATATATACAATTTTGTATTTATATAATACTAAGATGTAATTATCACCTGGTGATGATTTACTTTTCTGCCACAGGAATCTGGCATATTTACTTAATATATTTGTACCCCACCATAACCAAAAATGACACACTTGGTTATTAACACGGGAAACAATTTAAAATACGGACATTTACTGAAATCCAATTTTTTTTTTTCGGAAACTATTTGCTAAAAAAGTATGTACAATCACCAACAATCAAGTAAAGATTTTTTTATTTATTTTTTCATGATAATCGAAATATCAAATGTACATTACCCTCGGTGTTTTGGTATTAATCAAAATGTCTTTCTTGATATCTTCTTGTAATATTATACATGTAAGATACCTCAAGCAAGGTATCGGAAGTATATTGCTTACCATGATACATTTTGAAAGTAACTGACGGCACGTTCTTAACAAATCCACAGTGAATTATTTGGGGGAAATACAAAGATTCCCATATCGGGATGACAACCGAGCTCAAAACCGATAAAGAAGACAAAAGCAGGAACTCATGAGACTCTTTACAAAATAAAAAACATCATTATGAACTCAATATGACCAGGAAAATGGACCTAGTGCTCCGGAACGGTAGCTGTTTTCGGACCAGATATGGCACCCGTCTTGATGTATCCTTCCGTATCAAAGAATCATGTAATATTATCATAAAGACCTTTACACAAACCTGTTTTACAATATGGAGTACGCAGACCTTCCTAAATATATGTTACAGTGTGTGTCAAGCGTTCCAAGCTCCAATCATATTACATCATATGGAGTACGCGGACCTTCCACACACACATGTTTACTTAAGTAATTTATTTTTTCAACATTTATGAAGTCATAATATCATTGTGAATCATGGTAAATATGCCCAGAAACACGATCAATGTTGTCATAACCTCATAAATATTGAAAAAGAAATGCATTAATTATATTTACATTTTGAAATGCTATTAAGTTATGGACAGCAAAAACAACAAAAACAATTAAATACATCCATATGCATGACAAGAAAACAATCAAAATGTAGATCCATTTTCGTTTAATAATTATAGAAATTCCAATTTTACTATGCTATTCTTAATTATCTTGTTAATCGTCTATCTAATAACAATAATGAGTTTTGATAACAGAAATATAAGTAGATCAAAATGTCTAAAGCCAACCGGAACACGTACAATTTCGACAACAGATGGGTGATACAGGAACGACAACCCTTGGTAGATACTCATAGTTATCGTTCCTGTTCCTGGCATAAATGTGAATGATTGCCGCTGTTTACCTGTCCTGGACACTCATTAGGGTAACCTTTACATTTTAGCTATTTGGCGTCTGACATCCCCAATACATATAGTTAACCTTGTCAAACTAAGGTAAGCGATCTAATACGACATGCGTATAAGCATGTGGCCACTATATATGTTAACTTCGGGCATCACAAACACTCGTTAAGATGAATTCAAATAACAACACTATATATACACATATGCGATACTGAAATGGGTCACAGTTCAGTAGGGCCTCTTATGTGTGATATGACCCAAATCAGAAAAGCATTATGTGTATTGTAGACATTTGCAACAAACCCTGTGTTCATTTCCTTATTTTTAGTAAACATGAACATGTAAATACGAACACACTAGTAATGTATGTCTAAGTTAACTCAAAGGTGTTTAAAATTCTAAATTGAGATAAAAATCATATAAAATAGTATAATATCCTTATTTTTTATATGATTTTTATCTCAATTTACAGTCAGAATTTCAAAACACCTGTGGTAAACTGTAAACAATGAAATCACTGACGTACGAATCAATAAGTCACCCCGGAAATATCAGCTGATTACTAACATACTTGAAAATGTCATTTCATTATGTGTGTTACAAAATACGACGATGGTATTGCAAAATCCTCATCCTTATAAATAAGTGTGCATGACGTGCTGAAATATGCTCATTTGAAGACTTGCACTGGTGAGTTTTTTAAGCATAAAACTAACGCCTCGAAATCTCGTCAGTATTATAAATGTACAGAAGGAAAATCGGGTTAACTACAGTGTTTTACCATATAATGAAATATGTAGAATAATGCGCTTTAAGACTACAGGAATTGGATTTATTTCATTGTAAGTGGGATTCACTATCTTTTTATTATGAGAAGTTCTTTTTGCACAGCCAATAAAATTGTCTATGTGACGTTTCGATGACTAGTACGATATGTACACTGCCACCTTCATCAGACAAATGACCAGTGAAGCAAGCGTATGCACACAAAGGTGTAAAATGTGTACGAGTTGTCCATAAAATCGATGTCGATTTCGGCTACGCTGGAAACGTATGTACAATGGTTGTTATATATATGTACCGAAATGACTCAATTCATAATCCATACCACGGCGGACTTGGATAACAATCTAATCTAATTTCCGTGTCCATGCTTACCAACCTGAAGAAAATGTTTAGAAAAAGCACTATCTTTTTAATTTGTGTATAAGAGATAGTTATTTCGTCCTAGAAGTAATCGCGAGATTTAATTCGAACCCTTTGTAAAACTCAAAGTCGATTTGATTGCAACCTCAGGATTTATATAAAAAGTAGAATTTATGAAAATAATGTTTTTGAGTGTCGTGTTGATAGTAACCATGAAAGAGATCTTAAAGATGTGAATAGGTTTCAACTAAAAAAATGCGATAAAACTTGCAGCAATTATTATTTTAGTTATTTACACAGGTAAATTGAAACTGTTGAAAAGTATATCAACCTGTACTTTTAATAGATGATATTTAAAATATTACTTTTGAGAAAATCCATAATTTTAATGAATCATACAAGGCAAATGGAATCTTTCTAGGAACTTGCAATAGTTTTATAATAACAAATATCTTGCAATATCTTTTAGCAATATATATTGCAATATGATTTTGGATAAGCCCGATATTTCGATAATATTTTTGAACAAAATCATTGCTTGTTTTGCACAGTTATTAAAACATTCTAAAGAGATAATGTTAAATTGATTGATGTTATCCAAATAAAGATTATTATTATCCAATGCAAGGGGCAGGTTTTGAATTTCACCGTAGTAGTAACTAAATAAAGATTAAATAATAACAATAACTGTAAATATATGTGAATATTTACATATATAGTATATTAACATTAACCTTTCTACCATAAAGATGTAGTGATTCTAAAACTAAAATCATTAAAAGACGCACACCTTAATGTTATCTTATATTATTGTGAAGAGGACATCACGGCATATTGACAGAAATACGAATTATTTACTACTAAAACCTGTTTGTTGCTTAATGCTGATGTCCGATCTCGGTAAAGCAGGTTAAAGTTAAGAGAAACAATATGTGCCTTTGGTTCAATACCAAAGTCATTAATATTGGAAGTAGAAACCTACAAATATTACAATAATAGGTTAAGGTTAAAATGTAGTATATATAAGAGATGCGGACTAGTCGAAAGTAGTAACCACGTTTTACTCATATGTAATAACTACACTAGAATAAGACAAAACACTATAAATAGCTTAAACATTAACCTTACTGAAAATACTCTACTATGGGGAAGTACTGAATATTCAATACAGAAGAACAAAGTCAAAGAAATCTTTATGTCAGTTCAGAGTTTTATCAAACTCAGTAAACGGTTAAGCTAATCCTTATTTGTACACATGTTCATGTACGACCTTATTATAGTAGTTATTATTCTAAATAGTTTCTACATCAATTATATATTGTATATTGTAATCGAAAGTGTTTATTTATATTCTAAATACATTATATCGAGAAATATGCGTAACATAAGTACATATGTGAGTATGAGTGATTGAGCATGTGCATGCATACGTGTTCGAGCATGCCACTGTCCGTCCGTCCGTCCGTCCGTCCATCCATGGGTGTGTGAGCGCAAGTGTGCGTGCACTCCAATAACATAACGTAAAGCACCGATAATTGATTTTTAATCTCATATGTTATGCATCAAATGTTATATGTTTCAATTTCAATTTTCACCATCTGTAAATGTGTTATAAGTTAAATTTTATCTTATTCAAATTACTATGGTAATTAAGGTGTCTCGAAGAATTATTTGCCCGTAATATATACTTGGGAGAGGAATTAATATAAGCTCTAAGCTTGATTTCCAATCCGTGTGTAATTATGTGTATGAATGGAACATGTTGGAATATTGAATAAATACTGTTTTAAACTAAATGGACATTATTATCTATTTATTTTATTGATCTTTGCCAAAGTGTTAAAATGAACAAACGGCGATGGAAAAAAACAATCATTTAAATTTGCTATTTCCAGCAATATCATTATTATTATCATTATCATTACAGATTAACGACACAATGGTTTGGCGGCCGTTTCTAGGATATTTGACACAGTCCAGTGTCCGTATGAGTGACCAGTGTGGAAGACTCAATAGTACGTGGACAGTGGGAATCCTTGTCCTGTTCGCGGCGTTGACGTTTTTTATCCAGATTTCCTCTGATCCTGTAAACTGCTGGACACCTTCACAGTTTACACACCCGATGACTGTATACACTAATAAAGTTTGTGGCGAATCGGGTTCGTATTATGTTGGTATAGACAAGGACATTCCAATTTATAGACGAGAAGACGAACAGACGTTCAAATGGCGATGGCTTCCACTGATTCTGCTGGTACAGGCATTACTGTTCAAGGTTCCTGATCTAGTTCTATCAGTAGGACAGGGTCTTGTTGGTCTCAGATTTACAAAGATCATAGGACTTACTGACGGTTACGAGTCTCTCAATATGGTCGGTCGAGCTCAAATGGGGAGACAAGTTGGACGGTACGTGAAGAGCTGGATTGACTCCACTGTGTTGAAGGGATGTCCATGGGGATGGCTTACACTTCTCTTCCTGTTCACAAAACTGCTGTACTTCATCAACATCATCACACAGTTATCTGTCATGGACGGCCTTCTGACGTATGAAAACCAGTCTTCCTTTGGAAGGCAAATGCTTGATGAAATTGTCAGCAACGAAACAGTAGAATGGCGTTTATTGAATGGTCCATTTACCCGTATTGTCTTTTGTGATTTTCAAATCCGATTATTAGAAACAATTCAAAGATGGACAGTGCAGTGTACCCTCAATAACATCACGTACTACGAGATGGTATTGTGTTTCCTGTGGCTTTGGTTCGTGGTTGTATCGGTTGTAACCACGATGAGTGGTATGCTACAGCTCCTAACAGTCTTGGTGCCAGTTTTTAGGAAACGGTAAGTCAACAACAGTTAGTATAAAGAATATGTCCCCCTTAGTCCAACTTAATATCAATAAGGAAATAAATATTCTTTTCGAAGCTGTTTGGAATAGATTATGATTTTGATAATTAGTATCCTGTATTTCAAAAATACCAAACTATTAAATCATCGTGCAAACAAAAAGGAACTCTTCAGATTCTACAGCTAACTGTTTAATGCATTCTTCTTCTAGATGCTATATAACAATGCCAACTCATTTTCGAAGGTATTACATGTAGTAACTATTAGCTAACTGTATATGTATCTTTTTTTGCTACGACAGATTCCCATTGAAATATTTCCCACTAATGTTGCTAAATGGCAGAAACCATTGGTAATCTGTAGTGGCAGAAGACGCTTACGGTAATGGAACACCTGGTCGTACTTTCCTTGTACATTTTCCATGGTTTCCATGTTAGTCTTCCCTTTGTTCATATTTTGCCCGCGATATATCGATTTTGAGTACGAATTATGGTTTTGTTGTCACTTTGGTATTCTCTTTTTACAGGTACATCAAGAGTTATCTGTATCTGTCAAAGGAAGTTACTCCATCGCCGTCTGACAACGACATTAGCCGGTTTGCAGGATCAGAAATAACTGAGGAAGGTGTTTTCATACTGAAGGCGATTGGAGAGGCATCTTCCGAGCACCTGGTCAGGGACGCGGTCATCTATCTGTGGCAATCTACACATGATCAACAGACTCCTGGTCAATTGGGACCACCAGAGCAGGGTGGTCCTCCATCGTACTTGCCTCCAGGGTATTGTGTAACCGGCCAGACTTACGTACAAGGAGGTGCCGTAATATCAACCCCTCCTTCGGTTGCTTCTCAGCAGGTTAGATACCGGCCACAGCCTGGAACCGAGACAGCCCCTCTGATGGCAAACCAGCCGATGTGAGTCAGTACAATCTCTACATTAACTTAGCCTATGATATAAGCCATACTGTTGATATGTATAATCTCCACTGCCTTATATGAAGCCAAATGAATACCATTGCGACTATATCAATGTGATGCAAACTGGCTTCCTTCTGGTGCTTTGCATCAACATGACACGTTGATGGTAATCTTGATTTTAGCAATGAAGTAAAGGGAACGCAATGAAAAAAAGTCTGCAGAATAAAACAAACATAGACACGCAAAATTGGGTTCTGATAAATGAGTTTTTTATGGGGTTTGAATTGAAAAAAAAGATGCATCTGCAGACGATTTTCCTTTTTGCGATATTTGTAATTTCATGTATTTTACATATGTAACTCCACTCGTCCAGTACATTTTTCCTTAAGCTTGCTTCATGCATACGATCTTTTAAAATATAGATCCAAATTGTAGTTCAAATTACGTATACAATACTATTAAAATATTCAGCCAGCATTGTTGGTAAAGAGTGTATTTTGTGTCTAACCGTATAAGTGTTTGTAATGTTGTGTTTTCTCCTCGAGGTTGACACTTCCCCTAACAATATGATGTTGTTATTTACTGTTGTGATAGATGCAGTTGAACAAGTTCAGTCGATCACCGATGCAGACATGGATTGAACGTTATTTCTATTATGACCACGCCTTTAGATAAAGTTTTTTCACGGGAAATTCAGTCAAACCTGCTGGAAGGGCCAAAACTATTAAAACTGGCCAGATTAGTGTAGGCGGCGAATGGTAGCTCCACCTATCAATGTATGTTTTACTGGTAAAGGACTTTTTTTTACCTGATCATATAAATGTTTATACTATCGGGTCAATTGATTTTTTTATTAATCTTTAACGTATATCTGTAGTAGGAAATGCAATATATGTGTAAATTAAGCATTATCTATTGGTAGGGTTATGTTATGGTGTTAACTAATTCTAGTTACAAAGATATGATCATGGTTGTTAATAACCATTTTTGCTACTAATACTTTAAATGAGATATGTACGTTTTGTAAATCTTTACATTGTATAAAATATTGTTGTATTATACTTGTATTTGAAATATGACATTTATAAAAATATAATGTAACCTTAGTGTTTTTGTATGAATTGGCTTTAGTTTTTTTTAACGCTGCGTCAATAATCCGGTCAATTTTTAAGTGTGTGACCGGTACATGTATTGCTTTCTTATGAAAACTGATTTGATTTTTATCTAAATGTGGAAAATAGTGGAAAATTCCCACATCAGGATCAAAACAGGATTATAAGGTTATACAAAAGACAAAAAGGAAGCTGAGGACACTTACAAACAAACGAAAATACATCATTGTTTATTTAATGAGATGCTTTGGTGCTAAGATATATATATATATATATAGTCAAGTCAAGTATATATTTATATCCGAAGTCGACTTTAATTATTCCTAAATTTATAATCCATGTACTATACATATATCAGTACACTCGTTTAATATGTATTTCTTTCAGCTTTCTTAATGAATACTATCTTTTAAACAATAGTTCAAATTTCATATGTAATACTATTGAAATATGCAGCCTCGTTTATGAGGGTTATTTTATGTCTTACAGTAAATTAAATGAACTGCATGTACATCTGTTTCGATGATACGTTGAAACAATCCAAAAACTCGCCTGGTCTGATCGTGGTTGACAATTTCCTTTTCTATATGATGTTGTCTTATATTGTTGTGATATATGAAGCTGAACAAGGTTAGTCGCTGACAGATACAGAAAAAGTGGATTGAACAATGTTTCTTTTATGACCACGCCTTTAGATACTGTGATTTGTTCAAACTTGCTGGAGAGACCAAATGTAATATAATGGACTACCTGTTTTACGAATCGACATTGAAACTTACATTTAAATAATATTATGTAAGCTGAACCAATGTTAAAGAACCATTTTCAATAAGGGGTCATTTTAGGGACCTTTCGAAGAAAATAGTTACAACACAGATGTACACGTATGTTTACATTTTTCCCTTTTTTTTTTTTACCTACCATGTAAATGTTTAAACGTTTCCCTTTTTGTGTACCTCACTTAAACATCGCATTAGTTATTTCCTGCAAGACATTTAGAATAATCTTTAACGTAATATGTTATACAATATATCTAAATATGGCAATCAGACATATTATCTTTTTGTTCTGGTTTACAGTGTTCCAGTTTAAAAAATATTACCATGGTTGTTGATATCTATTTTTGCTACTGATAATTGAAATGAGATATGAACGTTTTGTAAATCTATACGCTGTATAAAGTATTGAAGCATTGTACTTGTTTATGACATGTAACATTTATCAAGTGAAATGAAAACTAACCCTTGCTTTGGCGTCAAGTATACTAGTCACTGTTTGAAGAAATTTGTAAATGTATAACATTGCATATGCAGATGTGTGGATATCTAAATGTGTAAAGTAGAAGAAAACTTATCAGTAATAAAACTGCAAACTGCAAAATGCAAACTGGCCAATGTCTTTTTTTCAGACGGAGATGGAGTTACCACAACCAATATCCATTACAGGACCCTATCATATATACAGTTACCTCCCTTTAATTTCATTTTGGATATATCTGTAGCACATTTGTGCCCAACCTCGATATCCAGGGGTTACGCTCACTTTCGCTCTCTGCACCCCTGGAATATGTCATAGCAAAATTGAAGGCTCGGTGTGCACCACCTTGTTGATGAGACAAGAAGACTTGTTCGACCCTTTGATGTACATCAAAAGAATCTCAGTGTCGCATAATGGTAAATATTGACTGACTTTGAAGCCGGGTGTCGCTCCTTTGTAATCTTTAAAGGATATGTATCAGCTTAGCGATAGGTCAGTTGTATTTACCTGAGACCAATCAAACAGCTATCTTTGTGCCTTCAATTTTGTTATGACATATGTATTGGTTATATCATAGGAACCGAGCAATATGTTAGTTATTGTACGAGAGGGGCGGAGCTACTTCTCGAGCGCGTAGCGCGAGAGATGTAAGCTCCGCCCCCTCGAGTACGATAACTGACATATTGCGAGGCCTATGATGTAACCGACTTGTCGCATAAAGTGTCACGTAATTTTTTTTAGAGAACATTTGAACATTTGATAATGTCCAGAACTGGTCACAGGAGCACAGCAGTTCAAGCTTCAAGAGACTGTGTGCTGCACCGCTGTTAGAAGTGAGTAAATTATTGGACCCTCCGAAGGAGAAAATGGTAAAAATTGAGGGCGCTACATGTAAAAATGGTAATTCAGATACTAAGCCTACTAATGTGAATATTAACATGCCTACAAAAAAGAACCATGTTCCATTTGCTGTATTTCTAATATGTCCAGAAATGTGTTTCACATTTGCCACGTGTCTTTTAATTACAAGACCGACTGGTACCAGTTTATGCTAAGACTTTAACTTACAAAACGGAAAAAAGATCGACCGTGGAACCTGTCTGTAAAGGCGAAATTTGTTGCATTGTTTGCAACAATGTTGCTTGATAAAATGTGTTTGAACTTCCTGTATTTGTATTTTTATTTATTTCCCACGGTGTCGATATCCTATTAACATCACTAATTGGCCACTGTACACTTTCATTGGCTGACCAATGAGAATGGAGAATTCTATTGTATTCAGTATAGGGGAGGAGCTTCACTAATACCATATGGTATTAGTAAAACTGTGTAAAATAAGTTGGTTATACCATAGCTAGATCAAAGGGAAAGTGACACGTCTATGCAACAATCCAGGGGTGGAGAGAGCGAAAGTGAGCGTAACCCCTGGATATTGAGGATGTAATTGATCAAGCATTATTAATTTATTTTTAAGACTCTTTAATCTCGATGCAGAGTTTTCAAAGAGTCGAAATATTTTGTCTAATCCTAATCTAATTTAAAAACACATTTAAAGGGATGAGTATAAGATACTCCCCGATCCTCGATTTTGACATAATTGTTGATTCGAAAACACACATATCTTATACAATACAAAATTAAAGATGCTGCAAAATTACATATCATAGCTGATTTAATGTTCCAACGCCTGTTTCAAATGTGAAGATTTTCTGAATAGATAAACAGGGTTCTCTACCTGAGAAGTTTCAATCTGCCTTGAACAGGTTTTACGGTTGTCATCATGACCCTATTTCACTTTCAATCATTAGTAAATCAATGTTCACCGTGTCACTGATCGTTGGTGATATACATAACCCTAGCATTCGGAAGGATATAGTGTATGATAGTGTTTTTTATTAATGCATAAGTAGGCCTACATGTTCACTTGTTATTATCATGATTGTCATTTCTTCAGAAAATAATAATTTATTAAACAATATACCAAAATAATACTATTATGCTAAGTTTTAAAATGTATTATCATCCAGCCATACTAGTAGTATATCAAGTATAAAATACATAAAACAAAAGACATGAAAACTATATGTCAGTAGAAGAATATACACCGTCTCGGAGCATTTCAAATTGTTATCAGTAAAAGCATAGACCTAAATTAACTTTAGGTCTCTGGTAAAAGCTATAAACTGGTGGTACAGGAACGACAACCCTGGGTAGAAGCGGTGTTAGCAATCTCTAACCTTAGTTATCGTTCTTGTTGAATACATCAAATTGATGATTTCCGGTACTCACATAAGCGCTACTTGGCGACTGACATCCCTGACATTTAGTAAGCCCTGATGAGCTAGGGTAAGTGATCATCCAGTCTATTATCCTCAAGACATCCCAACGTTCGTAGTCAACGTAAAACTAATATCACAATGCTATATGTCATTCAGTACGACCACTGCATAGTACGCATTAGTCTGTAATACTCATAATATTAGTTTTCTGTAGAAAATGAAACCAAAGACGTATGCAATTAATGTCCCCCCCCCCTCCCCCCTGAAATAGCAGCTGATTGGTAACCTATTTCCCAATATCAGTTATTATAATGGGCAGTATCAACATTGATATTGCAAATACTGACCTTGGTATTACAAATACCGACGTCATTATTGCCAAATCATTGTATTTTACCAGTGTTCTGATAAATAAGGTTGCATAACGTTAGTTTACCGTGTGTAAGGACGTCCAAGAGAAAACTAGCTTTGGTAAGTATTTTGAAACATACGGTAAACGTATCGAAACCTGTCTGAAAATTTGATATTATACCATTTTAAGTAAGATGGTTATTTGAAAAAGTATTCATATGCTTACTCCCATAACATGAGAGGACGCTGGTCGGCCTTTTTTCAATCGGATATGATTTTGCCGACGCGGCGCCTGTCAAATGTTTTTCGCCGTGTTAAACCTCTAACATTGTTGGAGTATCATATGCTAAACCATAAGGTTTTGACGCGTATAATGACATATTTTACTAAGTACAGTATATTTAAAGATTACATAACTTTGAATGTCAACTTTGGCGACGGTAATGAACTCCAAAATGAACATTATATTGCTTTCCAAACGAAGTAATCATACAATAACTTGTTTTCCTGTGTAAATACAATTGAGGAACAGATGAAAATTGGTGAATTTTTAAATATGTAGATTGTGAAGATAATGTTTCCCAATGACCTATTCGTGGTAATTATAACAATGTTTGAACAATATTGAAGGTAAGATACGAAAAAAGTGGCAAACAAATCACAATTGCGAATTTAAGAAAGTACAATGTATGTGCGCTAAAAATGTATTGCAGCGAGGTGATTTCACTTCATGATTTTCTATATTATTTTTTATTAGATAACTTAAAACTTCTTTTCATGTTTCATACTGTTGAAAGACAATTTTTAGGAAATCTATGATTTAATATGTACCGTAAACGAGCAATATGAAAATAATAGCGTAGACTAAGAAGTATAGTAAAACCGAAAAGCAATAAAAAATATGTCATTTTTGTTTCAGTGGAGATAAAAAAAAGATTAAAAACAAAAATAATTTAGGCAGGTTTATTATTTCAATATTCCTGTTAACTGTACTATATACCTGGTGCTGTCTTTTATAATAAGTGTTAAGCTCTTCGTGTTACTTGATAAGTGAATTAGGTTTCTCACCCGGACCTACCATATTAACCTATTACACTTGAAGCATTTTTTTTTATATAATTGTTTTATAAATATTTCAATTTGACATCTTAAGGATTTTTCTATGTTACACTGTTTATGTAGTACACCCTGAATGAAAAACGACTTATTTCCGATTCGATCAAACAGTATTATTTAAAAAGATGAACGCTGGACACAACCATTTGATTGCACTTATAACATTTGGTAAATTATACAGTATGTCCGATTTAATTAATTACTTTGCATCATACATTTGTCATCTTTATTTTATTTTATTTTTTATATATATTGTGCTTAAGTAATTTGACTCTTAACAAATCCCAAGTCTATGAGTGAGTAACCAGAATGAAACTAACCAAAAAACCGAAATAGTATTTAATTTGTAGCCATGTGATAATATCATAACTAAAAGAAGTAATTATCTCTACAGATTAAAGACAAGATGGTTTGGCGGCCGTTTCTACGACATCTGACACAGTCCAGTGTCCGCCTTAGTGACCAGTGTGGAAGACTCAATAGTACGTGGACAGTGGGAATACTTGTCCTGTTTGCGGCGTTGACATTTTACATACAGACTTCGAACGACACCGTCAGCTGTTGGACACCTGCAGAGTTGACGCCACCGATGGTAACATATGTCAACAAAGCATGCGGCGAGTCTAATTCCTACTACCTCCCTATGGCCGAGAAAATTCCGGTTCATAGACAAAGGAAACGAGATTTTCAAGTTAGTTTTAAATGGCGATGGCTTCCACTGATTCTGCTGGTACAGGCATTACTGTTCAAGCTTCCTGACATCGTTCTTTCAGTGGGACAGAGTCTAGTGGGTTTCAGATTTACAAAGATCATCGGACTTACTGACGGTTACGAGTCTCTCAATATGGCAGACAGAGCTCAAATGGGGAGACAAGTTGGTCGGTACATGAAGAGCTGGATTGACTCTACTGTGATGAAGGGATGTCCATGGGGATGGCTTACACTTCTCTTTCTATTCACAAAACTGTTGTACTTTATCAACATCATCACACAGTTATCTGTCTTAGATAGCTTTCTGACGTCTGAAAACCAGACTTCCTTTGGAAGGCAAATGTATGATGATATTGTCAGCAACAAAACAATGGAATGGCGTTCATTTGATCGTTCCTTTACTCGTATAGTGTTGTGTGATTTTAAAATCCGACAACTGCAACGCGAACGATCATTTACAGTACAGTGTACCCTCAATAACATAACGTACTACGAGATGGTATTGTGTTTCCTGTGGATTTGGTTCGTGTCGTTGTCGGTTATAACCACGCTCAGTGGTAAGCTACAGTTCTTAACAGTCTTGATACCAGTTTTTAGGAAAAGGTAAGTTGAGCGAATCTTTGAATGTAGTCTTCTTAAAGATGGACAAAGCATACATTCACATCCGTGATCGCACCTTTTAAACATGATAATTGCTAAAAATGAAAAATTGTTTAAATTCTAAACCGATTGTAGCAGACCATATTTTGAAATTTGCTGGTGTCGTGTTTTACATGGACGGTGTTATTTAAATAATAGTTGCACCAATTATTTACTATATATCTCTTCTATAAGATGCACCAGTGACGTTTTGCTTATGTTGTCACTCATGCTGTTGTACACATGGATACAAAAAAAAATCAAGTGGCAGTGGTCCTTATGTGTACCAACTGCTAGGCTTTATTAAGAAACTTTAAAGTCACTCTTTAAGTGTTTATGTGTTTAAAGTTTCTTGATATTATTGCGTTCCCTAGAGGACCATATGTTTATAGACAATAAGTACAAGGCTATATATGTGTAGAGGGTCCAACAATCAATTTTCCAACTGTGTCGTGGAAAACCGAAGCATTGGGTCGGTCTGAAACGTTGGTGTTCTATATTTCCTGTTTCAGGTTCGTCAAGCGTTACCTGTATCTGTCTAATGAGGTTTTCCCAACTCCGTCTGACAACGACATTAGCCGGTTTGCAGGATCAGAAATAACGGAGGAAGGTGTTTTCATACTGAAGGCGATTGGAGAGGCATCTTCTGAGCACCTGGTCAGGGACGCGGTCATCTATCTGTGGCAATCTACACATGATCAACAGACTCCTGGTCAATTGGGACCACCAGACCAGGGTGGACCTCCGCCGTACTTGGGTCAAGGGTCATGTGTACCCGGCCAGACTTACGGACGTGGAGGTGCGGTGTTATCACCCCCTCCTTCTGCTCCTCCTCAACAGGTTAGATACCGGCCACAGCCCGGTACCGAAGCAGTCCCTCTGATGGCAAACCAGCCAATGTGAATTGTGTACGGTACATTCTCTTAATTCAAACAATCAAAGGGATTTGGGCACAAGTTCTGACAACTTACTAGGCCCTCTCTTTATTAACTTGGGCTATGATGTCAAACACTGATAGGGTGATATGTGGATGGTGCCATATCCGTATATGAAACACCACACAGATGTAAAGTAATACGCTACTGGTGCGTCATCACCAAACGCTGATGATAACCGGCTAGTATCAATAAACGTTTAATAGAACTGTTCTGTAGGGTAAAAATTGTATCAGTATTAATAGCTATTTTATCCATTGGTTGACAATCTTTACAAAAATGTAAATAATAAAATGTACTATGATTACGATCATGGTTGTATTGATGCAATACCTCTTACCCAACACACACATGATCATACTAATTGTCAGGTTAGTACAAATATATGTTGTATCGTCAGTTACCTGTACAGTTTCCTAAATGTTCTACTATGCTGAGGACTTCATGAGAACAATTATAGTTATGCATTTATGTCAGAAAAGCAGTGGAAGCTTATATGACAGTACAATACAGCTCTGATTAGAAATTAACAACACATTTTATTAACATACATATCACCAGAATTAAAGTAAAAAACATTATTGAACTCGTTTGATTCGTATGAGAATTATAAAAATATATTTATGAATGAATTATATTTGTATTTTCAATGTCCTTAATATTTTAATTTCTAATCTGAGCCGTATGTTTAGGTACATTTTTCAGTTGACTGAAAGAAATTAGTAGCAGATAAAGAAGTTGAGTATGCCAATATGTTAATTGAATGAATACCGGGTAAAATAACATAGTGTAATTCATTTTATGTACATTTATATCCAGTACAAATATATTGCAGACTACATCTCACTCCCCCACCCAGGTAGCACTATAAAGTCGGCATCAGTTCCGCGCTATCACAAGGAGACACACACGAACATATCGCAGCCTCCCTAAACGCACACGCATACACTACACGCATGCATCTTGCACACAGGGGAGGCCGTCCTGAAATGACCACAGCTGTTGATAGGACGTAAAACTTTACTAAACCAAACCCAAACCAAACCACGTACCATTTTATTGGTAAAATAAAACTAGTCATTTTGTCACTGTCCGTTTGTGTTCCCTATTTCACTACATGACAAAACTTGGCACAAAAGACAAAATGTGTTACTTCTCGGATATGCATTTGCACACGTACGTAACATCATGTATTATTTTTTATTCATGAACAATGTCGGATCAGTTAATCGGGAGTGTATATTGTGTAGTAATCCCCTTTCAGTAGTGGCAGGATAAATAATATATATACATATACTTTACTAATTAATTTGAAACTAACCACTACTCCTATAAATTTTGAAATTCATAAAATAATTCACGCACCTCACCTTCTGTGTCAACAGCCGTTTATAATTCCAATTTGGATTTCCAAAGTTTGGCCTTCAGCATCACCGATGAGTCTTGGAAGCACGAACAAGTTGTATTATGCAGTTTATTTCATCTTTCGCATTCTTTATCTTTTATCGAATTTTAAAGATACAATCACCTGTGTGTGTATTGCGTTCGTCTTCCTATACGCCCGTCAAATTTGACGGGAGTATTATGGTATGGCGTCGTCCGTCCGGCGTAAACTTTTGTTTGTCCGGCAATTTCCTCCTACATTTTTCGACCGATCTCCTTTGAACCTTGGTATACATTATAAACATGATATGAAGTCGTGTCTCCATTAAAATAATTTCGATTCGACATTTTTTTTCTAAAAGTTATTGCCCTTTGTTCATTTCAGAATTTGATTTTTTTGTCCGGAGATCTCCTACATTTTTTGACGGATTTCTTTGAAGCTTAGTAGGCTAAATAATCATGATATGTTGTTGTGTCTCCCTTTACAGAATTTTGATTCGACGATTTTTGCAAAAGTTATTGCCCTTTGTTCATTTCAGTATTTGATTTTTTATCCGGAGATTTTCTCCTACATTTTTTTTAGCTGGTCAGCTTACCACTCTTAGATTCAGATCTTATTTCAATGTAAGAAAGTATATAACACTATATGGCACTCGACGGGCGTACATTGGTTCCGCCCCGCGGTACTCTTGTTTTTGATTGCTTTACATATAGTTATAATTAAGGCTATACAATATGTTTACGTTTAGTTATCAAGCATATTTACTTTGTTGATATGGTTTTTACAACTTTAATTGATTATAGATTGAATGATATGACCATTTTTGTCAATAATCCAAAACATTGTTTATTGTTGTGGATTGATATTGACACACTTTTATCAATTTCTACTTGTTGTTGATCTGAAATTGTTTCACTTCACCAGTCTCTGTACATTGTATTATTAAACTACTTTATATTATTGAACTCTTAATATGAAATGTTGCATTTTTAGAATAAAAATTATTTAGTCAATGCTTTTTTGGAAAAAAACCATGTGTGCAATTTTTCTTGTGGCCGAAGTGTCAGGTATACCAGTCAGACTCTAATGTCTAGTCTAGTGTTCGGGTAAATATACATTCGGTATAGAATTGATCACACACTTTTGAGAAAGCAATGCTGGATTACTAGTAAGTATGGGAGAAAAAAGCCACTCACACCGACAAAATCCGACCTCGAAATCGATACATCAAAGAACTAAGGAGACATCAAAACATAAAGAACCCAGGCGCTCCGGAAGGGTAACCGCTACCGGTATCAGACGTGGCACCATTCATAACGAGTTATGTCAAATTGGTAAGTCAAGTAGCTAGGTCAATAGGTCACTAACAATCCAAGACATGGTGAACAGGAATCTGAACATGTTAGTGTTAGCAAAATATCATAGGTGGAAGTCATATGATGGAGATAACCGTAATATGTATCAGTGTAATAACCGTAATATGTATCAGTGTAATAACCGTAATATGTATCAGTATAATATCCGTAATATGTATCTGTGTAATAACCGTAATATGTATCAGTGTAATAGCCGTAATATGTATCAGTGTAGATTGAACCCTTTAAGGTTGAAAGCCCCGACAAAGATGTATTTTATACAAAAGGACGAATCTGTCTAGGAAGTCCTGATAATTAAAACGGTTCTAGATAAACAAATTAAATGATAGGAATCAAGACCAGAACTAGGTATGTTTCTATACCGAGGAAAAGGGGGAAAAATAACATTTTATAGACGTTTAGGTCTCGGATTAAAGACGATCGAACTACATGGAAAGCTATATGACTACAGAAACAAACCCAAAGATTTATTGCATAAAATTTTATTTATTGACTAGTAATACGTGGACTCACTTCGGCAGTAATACAATATACAATGAGTTATCCATATAAAAGCACTTTTGATGCATATGTTGGACATTCACTGCAAACATGTAGTCTGTTATACAAACATACTTCACAATTTATATATAGACATTGACACCATCATAAATGCGTTCTGTGATTAAAATATATGTTTAATGCCTCATTGTGGTATGGTTCAGTAGCAAGATGAAATTACATTCTGACTATTGTAGCAATGTTATAATGAATACTGGCCATCACAACAAGCAAACAGACAAGTGACGGGTAACCCAGCCTAGATGTCTGCACATCTTCTATGAAAAGAAACATTTTAGGAAGAACACGTAACGATCAGCTATACCAAAAATTCGTCCTCGTTATTCCAGGGGTAACACTCGCTAAAGAGAATGCTCACTTACGTTTACTCAGAGAATGTATGTGAGTGTGACCCCTTGAATTTCAAGGATGCCAAAAGTTTCGTTCAACAAAATGCTTAAACTACGATATGATCAATTGACAATTACTACAAAACCAAGTCAAAATGCATTTGATTTCAATGTCAAAACAGGAATCATTCAGTAACGGGTGGTGTGGGGCATTGTTGACGTCACATTTTGATACATGATACTTGAGAAATGATGAATTTTATCACTTTGTTTTGGTTAAATTCTTGCTTTACATTCTTCTACCAACTTGATGATTACATGTTATTTAGCATATATATAATCAGTACAGTATGGTACAGTATCTTGATTTGATTGGAAGACACTGATGATTTCTGATGATTTTCAAAGGTAACCGGCAAGACTTACCAATGCTTACCATAATCTACCAGATCTCATCATGGCATACGGCTTACCAAATGGAATCACCAAAGCTAACCAAAGCTTACCCAGATCTGTCAGGGTTAACTAAACATAACCAGGACTCCCCGTCACTCATTGTTCTTCTATCTCTGCCTTAATATACTTTGAGACACCAACCATATTAACATATGAAAAAGCAAAGTCCAGTTATATTTTCAAGATCAGTTTCCCCGTTGCTCCCTTTGTGTTGATGATGTCGTCGTGAGCTTGAGGAGCTTGCTCTAAGGTGTAGGTGTGGCCTATGTGGGGCTTCAGCCAACCTGCCGCCATCCCTTTCTTGATCCCGGCATGCATCTGGTCCCATTCTTCCTGTCGACAAATAACATTTTAACTTTTCAGTGTCCGCTTGTGATAAAACTTCATGCATTTCTTTGTACTTTTAATTTCCATCACTGCAATATGCACATAACTTATATGTAAATAGCGCGCGCGCGCCTGTATCAAATATTGATAACATTTGAAAAAGGTCGGTCAGCATCAACCAAACAATAGTTCAGTGCCTTTCATGCCAGCAGTGTTTGGATTTGTAAATATCATTTAGTAAACGCTTGGAGATACTTACTGCTGTAGATCCCATAAGCATAAGTCCCTGAACGGTCAGTTCCTTGCCCATGGTCAGTCTGGGAGTGACCTCTACTGTCCCTCTACTACCCACAATCTGGAAGAGGAAACCAATGATGTTGGTCATTGTCTACCATTGAAAGATTCCCTTCCTTTTCATGTCGGGAATAAAATTTAGATAAAAAAATAAATTACGGACGGTATGTAAAATATTAAGTAATACAGAAAACTTACAATAATACGTCCCTTTTGTGCTGCCATCTGCAGGTCTTTTTCCAAATTAACATTTGCCAACATTTCAATGATGAGGTTTGGACCAGAACCACCACATGCTGCCTGGAAGGTATAAATGAGTCAAATTATGACACAGAGGGATAACGAGAAGGGGTTAAATATATAGGGGAAGAAAGGTGGTCGGAGTCAGAGACGCACCGAGGCCGCTACAAAGAAGATCGAGATTTCATGTCCGATATATATATATGTATACGTTGGCCGTGCACCGTGCATCTAACGTTTTCCTAGGTAACTTTTAAAATCTCCAGACTCCGGAGTACCGTGTACATGTGCATGTGGTGAGGGACATTGTTCCTGTTTTATTGAATACATATCGTGAATTTTAATGGACCAACCCAAATAATGGTTTTTATGACTTTTTAATCAATATATGATATACCAATCACTCTCCAGGATCCCTGGACAGCTCCTATACGAAAGGAGGACAAGACACTACAACAAGACAAGACTAGGTTATTTGTATACAGTGACGTGTCATTTATTCCGTTTTTGCGTATTGCAGAGTTACCTTAACTTGTGATCAGGTATTGATTGTTACGTCATTGGTTTGTGTGGGAGAATTACGTCGTTTTCTCAAAAATAGATGACGCTACTCTCACCACGGACTTAGACCAATGACGTTACAATCAATACCTGCTCACAAGAGCAGATAACTCTGCAATGCAATACGAAAAGACGGAATAAGTCTTTCACGTCAGTTTCTTCCCCGGTCATTAGGTCTAGTTCATTTACACATGTTTTTCAAACAATTTTCTTGGACTTCGTTTTTCCATTCCATTTTGAGGAAACTAGAAAACAATCCAGCACTAGTCTACTGTAATTTATATATTCCGTCTTTGCGTATTGCAGAGGTATCTTCTCTTGGAAGCAGGGAATGATTGTTACGTCATCAATTTTTGAGAAAACGACGTAATTTTCTCACACAAACCAATGACGTAGCAATCAATACCTGCTCCCAAGAGAAGATAACTCTGCAATACGCAAAGACGAAATACGGCCATGCTGACTTGAAGTCAGGCCTGAGTAACTTAATTATTTGCAGAGATGAAAAGATATCACCACAAAATATTAGATTATACCATGCTATCTAAAGTCCGTGATATCACAGACAAATTTAATAGTTTCAATATAATTAATATATATTTTAAAAGCCCTGAATATAGTGTAGTTCTCCAGCTGTGAGAAAATTTATCGAAATGGGCCGAAAAATGAGGTACCGGGAATACTGAAAACGATGAGTTAATACGTAAAATTCAAATTCAAAATTCTCTTAACACATTTATAACTACAGCGTAGTTTGAAGGCAAAGAACTATACTGAAATATATACTGACACTGGGCATGTAAGAAGCCCGCGTTCTCATTAACATTTGATTCCCACAAGTTAACTTTCGCCAGTTGTAGCATTACACTCTTAGTCTCATCTTCGCTAGCCAAATGCACTCCACTTAGTCCGTGCGTAGATGCATTACGCTGTGCAGCTACACAATCTCACCAGTACTGTCAGAGTTACTTCCCTTTATGTGACAGTCATAAACTTAATCATACATAGTAAAACACATACATAAACATTTTCCACATTTTAATTCAATACAATTACAATATGACTTCATCATAATGTTGTACATATATATATGGTTTTACGACAAGACTAACAACCATTTTCATACAGTAGAATTTAAGATATTAGAACTGACCATGTTTGATATGTTAATATATACCAAACCAGTTTCCTCAATGTTAGTAAGTATAGGGTATAAAACCCAGCTGTGAGCCGTGTTTCCATCGGGAGGTCCGCTGCCATGGGATCTACGTTTATACTGAACTCAGATATGAAAATTGATTGACTTACCCTCCCCATGGTGTCCCTTGACTTCCTTTTGTAAATTTCAAGACTGACCTTGACGTTGAACGGGTGAAATTAGGAATTAGGGTGAAATTATTTTCTCTATGTTATGTGGCGCCAAAAGTGATGGTCTGAGATTTGCACGAATGTACATGTCATTCAGCCGACACAGGTAGTGGCAGGCAGATGTAAAATTTAATTTTTACATTTATAAATTGGGAGTGTTTTTGGCGTAAATAGAATTTAAATGCTTATATTAATTTAATATTTGATATCCAGATATTGGTAATCAATGATATGGTGAGTTATCTGGAAGTGTAGTTCTAATGATCAAATGCAATCCTTTGTAGGTGCATACATGCTTTATGTCCATAATACCTATTGTTGTGTTTAAAAATGATTTGCTTAATAAATCAGTCGCAGTGCCTCTGTCACAGTGAAATACATTTCTGTATTTTGTGTTGGTTATCCTATTGGATAATTGAATAGAGAATATATACAGAAGATGATATACACAGTCAATTTATAAACTGGAGAAATGGGAATTTGTAAATTATACTTTTTCAATGAAATAAAATGGTATGCAGGCTCTAATGCGATTTTTTCCCCAAAGCAATTGTTATGATTACTTTATATGTCAGTTGTGTATGCCGATTCTTCTTTTTTCAAACTATTATTTCAAACTGTCTTTAATTTTTGCTTCCATTTTTTACAAACATTAGGTTCTTAGTAATATTTTCTATGTAGAAAGATAGTATAGGTTTCATAATTTTGTTTTGTTTTGTTTAACGTGTCGTCCTATCAACAGCCATGATCATTTAAGGACGGCTATAGATTTCATAACACAAGAGGCCTATATAGATTTTATAACACAAGAGGCCTATTGGCTGACTTGGTCTTTATATTTCAATTTAACCCTTTCAACCCTAAGCAACTTTAGTAGACTCTCCCATGCATTGATCTGGATGAGTCCATTATGGTCTACAGTGGTGAAAGGGTTAAGGATCCCTGTATTACTGCTGAAAACTGTAACTATGCATAGGAAACTATTTTTACGGGCATGACTTAACCCTTTCACCCCTATGTAACTTTAGTAAACTCTACCATGCATTGATCTGGATGAGTCCACTTTGGTCTACAGTGGTGAAAGGGTTAAGCTTTGATAAAACATTTCTGAAAAGAAGACCACACCTTGTGCGACTTTATGAAAAATAATAAAATTTGAAAAAAACAATCAACATCCATATTCATAGTGTAGGAATATTTGCAGGGCTAGACTGGGATTTGAACCCTGTTATGCAGATTTTTTGTATTATTGACAAATTTTATCACGCTTTAAAATGACATAAGTTGGTGTTTCAGATGAGGTCTTAAAACATGGTAACAGTTTTTACAAATTCACAGCTAGATTGGAATAAGCATGTCAAGTTACATAACTCTAGCTGCATAACTGACCTAAATGCAAAATCTTAACCAACCTTCATCTGTATTTGATGTAGGTACTAAATCTCCAAATGAGCCAGACATCCATGTTAAATGCCATGCAGAGTGATGTCACAATAAAGTTTCATGAAATTGTGCAAATTTTTTGGAAGAAACTTAAAATTGAATGGTGATGACACATACACATATTTGGGTGACAAACTGCTGTCAAATTCAAATCTGCAAATTTAGTGTAACTCTTTCTGATTCCGAGGTCCTAGATGATAATGCAAAGGCATATTACATGTGTGATACATGTACTAGTAAATGACAAAATATCACATGCATATATATACTGGATAGTAATTGTATACGAAAGGATTATACAAACTATATTTTACCTGAAGTTTCAAAGATAACCCTGCTACCTCCATACCTGTTCTGATATAAATAGTGTTGGGTACTTGAGGTCGAGGTCAAATAGTTTGACGGTGAACTCATGAACGTCATTTCATTACATCACACTGTAACCACCTGACCAACACATCAAGTCTGACATCCATATTAGCCAAGATATTCTCTGGAAGCCCATGCTGTATTTTAAACTTGCAGAGGTCGTATTCAGGTTAAGTAGCCAACTTAATTACCAGGCATATTCCTTAACTATGAAGTACATAAAAACCAAATCATCCTCATACCAGGGTTACGCTCACTTTCGCTTTCTGCACCCTTGGAATATGTCATAGCAAAATTGAAGGAACACAGCTAGCTATTTGATTGGTCTCAGGTAAAATAACCTGACCAATCACTAGGCTGATACCTGTCCTTTGAAGATTACAGAGGAGCACTCCTGACTTCAAAGCCAGTAAGTTTTACTGTTATGCGACCGCAAGATTCCTTTAATTTACATTCAAACTCCACAAGATGGCACACAATGAGCCTTTCATTTTGCTATGACATATTCCAGGGGTGCAGAGAGCATAAGTGAGCGGAACCCCTGGAGTATCGAGGATGACACCAAGACTGATGTGCATAATGCCAAGATATACTTCGAAAATCTATATTACACTGTGTCTTAGTCAATGTCAAAGGTCACATAAAGGTCACAATGACTTTATTTTCATTTGCGACACACTGTCTTCCTGTCATGAAATATATAAAGTTTAAAGCCCATTTATGAAACAGTGGCTGAGCTAGCTCTGGAAACTCTTAATTTAGTACTTGAGGTCACTGAAACCTAATTTTAGTATGTGACACATGACTTGCCCATGACATACCTATTTTCAAAGCCTTAATTCATATTAGGTACCTTTCTACAAGGTTTTATGCCCATTTGTGAAACAGTGGCTGACACTTGCTGTGGAAGTTCCCCCGAACCTACAGTCAGATTGGACAGATGCAAGTTTGCACGGACGGACGATGATAGCACCAATATAAAGTTCAATATACAAAGTACAAAGTATGATAAGTGTGTAGCAGAACTGGAATAGGTCAATCATCAGCAATGAGCTTGAAGTAGCTCAATTGGTAAGAGCATGTATCTAGAGTTCAGAAGTCTTGTGTTCAAATCCTGGTCTGGCTGTGCAGTTTTCCTATTCTGTTACAGAGGTGCCTTTGAACAACCCTTGTTTCAAGTACTCATTGAGTAAATGCTAAGCAAGGGGAAAGCCAAACCTGGGTTGTAAACATGTAAACAGGGTTGTCTTTGGGAGTGAAGACTTAGAAAAGAAGGAGAGAACGTAGCTGAACTTGACTGGGTTGATCATCAGCGACCAGGTGCTTGGATTGGTAAGGGTGTTTCTCTTGATTTTTGTGGTACTGGCCGGGTTCATATTCCAGTCTGGCAGTGCATTTTCCTCTCTAGTTATAAGTGTCAACATTTATTTTTCAATAAGAGATTCACTTACGGTGATGGTCTGTGTGTAGTTGTCTCCCCTGTGGTTTACGACAGCTTCTGCTCCGAGGGAAGTGACAAGATCAAGTCCCTCCTGAGTCCCAGCCGTCCCTACGACACGAAGGCCATGCGCCTTAGCTATCTGTACACATGCCAAACCCACCTACAGCACAAAAAACACATATTATAGATAACTTTACTTTGAAAGAAGTTAAATAAATCAGCTGACAATGGTTTTGGTTTTAGATTATTATTGTTATGTATCATTTTTTCGAAATATTATCTTTATTTTTTAGGTGTTATATCAATTTCTCTTTGGCCAGTTCTCAATTCTATATTTATAAGCAAAACACTTACAGCACCACTTGCTCCGTGAACCAGGATTGTCTCCCCTGTTTTAGCTTTTCCACTGAAAAATGGAAAAAAAATCAGGATTTTAAAAAAAATCAAACAAAAACAATACATACATGTCTGATAGCCAAAACATTGATTATGAATGATGCATCACAGTTCATTTCTGCATAAATTTGGTGTAAAAAAAATATATTTGGGAGGAAGATACATTGAAGTGACAGAGATGCTAGAGAGGAAGATATTATACTGTATACCGGGATATTTTCCCCGCAACTTAACTTTCGCCCCTTTTGCCTTCCGATCTGAGGGCGAATTTAACTTGACGGCGAAAGTTTACAACAAAATTACATATACGATGGCACATGTTTTGTCACTATTTCGTCTACACTTACAAATGTATCTTTCATAATAAAGGATTGACAATTTGTTATATTTTTTAATTATTTAATATTTCAAAAACACATCATTTAGTTACACCATTTCGTTTATGAACAGTGTTCATACTTACCTGTATGCTATTGTGTTACATTGTCATATGTGACGAGTAGTCATGCTATTTTTAGTAACAGGGAGTGTCCAATGTTTGCGGTGTATGGCAAATTTAACCCGGGGCTAATAAGGACTCTGCATGTGAAGGGGTAAAGTTTAACGGGGCTAAAGTTTCCCGGTATACAGCAGTGATAGGTATCTCTTCATGGACATTTGAGTGAAAGTATATAAAATACACATTTGAACGAAACTATATCATTCCTACAGGAAGGGCTCCTTGTAAGAGTCTTAACTCTCCAAGGGTATTTGGTACCAGTATGTACTTCCACAGTAGTCAAACTACAACTCAGTGGGTATTGAACTGGACTAATCAATAGCTGATGGTTTGAGTGAAAAGAAGGTTCAAACTTACTGTGTGACAACAGCTCTGTAGGCTGTGAAGTAAGGCACGCCTATGGCAGCACCCTGCTCTAGGGAGAGTTTGTCATCCAGCAGACCGGCCAAACCGGAGTCGGTCAGAGTGTATTCACCGTAACCTCCAGTGTCTGTCCTGACAGTGAACACACGGTCACCTTTCTAGAAACAAAATAGATTAGGATAAGCAAAAGTAATATATCCATCCCATCTCAGTATGCACTTGCCAACAGCTGAAACAACAAGAGTACCGCGGGGCGGAACAATATATGCCCGTCGAATGCCATATAGTGTTATATACTTTCTTAAATTGAAATAAGATTCAATCTGCATCATTCTAAGAGTGGTTAGCTGACATGCTATAAAAAATGTAGGAGAAAATATCCGGACAAAAAATCAAATACTGAAATGAACAAAGGGCAATAACTTTTGGAAAAATCGTCGAATCAAAATTCTTTTATGGGAGACACAACTTCATATCATGGTTATCATGTATACCAAGTTTCAAAGAGATCTGTTGAAAAATGTTCACACTATGACCAAACTTTTCACACTATCATCAAACATTTTCACACTATCATCAAACATTTTCTAATTTTTTCCACCTTTACAGTGTATAAGTATTGATGTCTTTCACCATAACACTTATTAAAGAATGCACTAGGAATAATCTTACCTTAAACTTGGTGACCGCTGACCCAACTTCCTCCACGACCCCACCAACATCAGACCCTGGTGTGTAGGGTAGGTCTGGTTTCTTGGCATAGGTCCCTGCCCGAATGTAGGTATCCACAGGATTGACACCAGCTGCGCTCACTTTTATAAGGATCTACAAAACATCAGTGATTGCCACTTTATTGTTGCTTCTGCATAGAACTTTAAATTTGTATAAGAAATTATTGCTATGAAATAGTATAACTAAAATACTGATCAATAAAATAGCGTCCAAGGTCTAAGCCACTAGTGGCCAGGTAACCAAAAAAGTTTAAACAATTCTTCGCAGGTTTATCTAACGAGTCAGGAGTAAGGAAACCTATAGTAGGTTGTCAGAGAAACATGGTTAATATCTAATTAATGATAATATGCTACATGTACCTTACTGTGAAATCTCCTTTCAAAAAGAGTTTGCACTAAGTAAAATTTATTTATTTTATGGATTTTAGTAACTTTGATTTAATTGATGACATATGCAATATTATTCATTTAATTATATTCAAGTAACAACAGGGGGTGGAGACCCAACGTCCCTGCAAGGAAGTCAGTTCCCAATCTGATTAAAATCATATCCTACGCTCTGTACGTATAACTAACGTGAATACGTAGAGAACTTAGGATATGATTCTAATCAGATTGGTCAGTTCCATAGTGGCGGTAGGGATCCTGGGTTGGATACCTTATAGGTATTTACCAGTGCTAATCAGGGAAAGCAGAGCAAATGAAAATAGAAATGATGAGTAACAACACCACTGAATCCGGTACAAAATGTAATGTTTGATTTACATCCTAAGTGCTGACATGTTTCGGCCAAAAGGGAGGCCGTCTTAATTATATTGTTCATAAGTAACAATACTATCATCCTATGAGGGAGTTCTAATATCAATTCCTACTTAAGGAAATTTTAAATCTGGAGAATTGAAGCCATGTGCTAAAAAAATAAAAAAATAATTTGATTTGGTTTTAATGATGTTAATTTTTAAGGAAAATTTTGGAAGCCAGGTTCATAAAGAAACTAAAGCAAGTAGCATATTACAGTTTTGAAAATTCTGAAGTTTCCCTTTAAGGCATTGCTGCTTCCTGCTATATGAATCATGGTTATGATCGTCTTTTTCTTATATCATCCTCTCAACTCACCTGTTTTTCAGAGGGTTTAGGTATGGCCAGGTTGGCCTCGACTTTCATCATCTCTGGTCCCCCAAACTGTGCCACACGTATCGCCTTCATTATGGTTCTACTGGCAGATCTGGATACACTCATTCTGTTTAAAAGGCACACAAACTAAAAATGACTGAGATGTAAGTCAGATCTGTGCAGCTTTTCTCTGTCAACAAAAAATATTATTAATAAATTGAAAGCAAGATGTGCAAACTTAATATATTTAAAAAAACCCAACTCAAAGTAACATTTCCAGTTAAATATGTTACAATAACTAGAGATGCATCTTATTATTGATAGAGTCAAATAGAGGCTGTCATCTATTAAATGAATTTCAATAAATTTGCTGTGATCACCACAGGTTAAGGTAAGGGTATTATTGAACTTAGAAATACATTTCAACTTGTCTTGTTCAACTTTAACATGATTTCATTGTTTTAATTACAATTCCATATATGACAGTCATTAACAATATAATATGCAGCCACATTATTTGACATGAAATAACAAAATCTTTGAAAAAAAAGTTTGAAAAAAAATATATATAAAGGAAATTGTAGAACCAAGGATATTATAAGTTTTCACCTACCAACACATAAAATCATGCTGACACTTTAATGCCTGTTAACATTTATTGTAGAAATCAATTTGACCTTTAAACATATACATTGTTGCTGTTTCAAAGATACTAAATGGTTCCATGAAGGTTAGTCCGACCATGTAAATTGGAAATCAAATTATTGAAGTGTTATAGGTAAATTCATAAATTGCATTCATACTTACGGGTGCACTGTAACCACAAGTATTATGCATTAATGTTTCGATTTCATCAATATTGCAAGTATATCATTTATCAAATGTAATGAATTAATGTGCCAACACTGCAAGTACACTTAAACTTTAATGTTGTATGGTGCCTCAAAGAATGGTGAGGTCAATATGCCAACACCTTAAAAATCAGGGTCAGCACCCAAACCCAAACTGACCAGTGGAGAAATGTAACATGCGGGCGGTCACCCATACAACTACTGACCACGCTCAAAGTTGCTGAACTAGCGAGCGGGTCCGCAGGTTATACCACATCACTGGAAAAGCTAGCTTGCCAGAAAGGCAGTATGTTCCCCTCATATTGCTGAGCTGTTACACTATTCCCCCCCCCCCGCCCCCTCTTAGAAGTTTCATCCCGAGACTTGGCCTGGGGAATCCTGTAGGTCCTCCCTGTGTATCAATGCACCTTCCCTTACCACAAGGAACTGGCCTTACATGATCACAGAGTCACTATGCTGCCACCAAATGTTACATGTGGGCTGTCACCCATCCAACTACTTACGACGACGTTGCTGAACTAGTGAGCGGGTCCTCATGTTTATATATATACATAATGTACTGCTTCACCGGAAAAGCTAGCTTGCCGTTAAGGCAGTATTTTCTGCTTATATACCTTAGCTGTTACAGAAAATGCATATAAAGAGGAGAAATCCTGGCCAATAAGGTGCTACTCGTTTGAGACAATCATATAATTGTGTAATAGGAACACAATAATTTAATGAAAAGAATATCATATGTGCATTCAATGGGAATTAAACTCACAACTACAGATTTTCTCGTCAGACTTTCTACCTTGGAGCTAAAGGGAAACTCCTTGGAGCTTGTTAGGCCTTTGACAGAACATGTTTAATACGATTGTACATCATCTATAATATTGTATAATTCTTTGGACAATCATAGGCTGAAGGTAAATTTGATATAATCATTACTTTAATTCATTTAATATAACATGCAGATACAGCAAATTAATTTACTTATTTACTAATAAAGACGCTATAAAGTCACTGAAGAGAGATATAAATGTCGATCCACTTAATGAAAATACTTTTGATCTGATAATGATTTTGTAAAAAAAACGACCACAAAAATCAATAACGGAAGTACATGCAAGAGCTCTTACCACTAGTATAGTTTGTCTTTTCCTAATGTCGAAATAGCTGCTTCTCTGTTACGTGTACAAACCACCACTGTAGAGGGCCAAAAACAACCGTTACAGTTTATATGATAATCGGCAAGTCTAGATCCGGTTAGATGATTCTGAGAAACTGAAAAGGATGATCGAGATTACCTGGTAGTGTACTTGCGCTGTTAGACGGCGCTACGAATTAAAACAACATCCTGTTTCAAGTGTTTGGAGATAAGAGACTGCTAATGTTTACAATGATATATTATCCTGGTGTCTAAAGATCTATGAACGTGTGTCACCCGGCTACCCCTTACCTGTGTAAATAGAGCCCGATCTCAGATGTAGGTCACATGTATAGATGTCGCTCGTAGTTTACTTTCGTTTTACAATAAGGGGAGGTCACTGTCGTCTGCTTGTCAGAAAAGAAAGTAGCCGGTAAATACACAGAGTTTCGTAACGACAACTGCAGATATGTATTGTCTTGTTATAATATAAGACAATGTATATAGATTTATAAGATTTTTGTGTTGCCATGCCACTATTTTCATGTATAATCAACAGAGAAGTCTTTTAAACCAAATCACAACAACGCCGTCATATGTGTAGTGTGTTACTACTGATCATGAGACTAGACTACTGTCACTTGTTAGACGCCCCTTGCATTGTAGACTGTTCTAATCACAGGCTTAGATAGCAATTCCGTGTTTCTAAAAGATACATTGTACAGCTGATAGCATTCACAATTTCATTGCTCAAATTTGTACACATTTGAACATATGTCATTAACTTAGATATGAACTTTATATAAATAAGTGTTTACAAAATACATGTTATAAAAAAGACACTATATAACAATATATGGTATTGACATGTTGAGTGAAGCTCTTGTTAATGTAATAATATATCTGTCGCAGTTAATGGCGTTATGCAGAAAAACATCAAAAGAGATTTTGGATCTTTCCATGCTTCCAACGTACAGGAGTTGTTAGAACTACCTGAGGTGAGTAATGAGTATACCCCATTATAATTAATTTTAGGTTCAAGGCCCCTGAAAGATACAATAGTCACCCAAAAGAAATTCATATATGTAATTTGAACATAATGGACTTTTACATTAGCTATTAAAATGATGCAATGTGAGGTAATTGCGAGTCATTAATATTGCATTTATAATGCTAATATCTTTATAAAAATAGTTCACCAGACTAAGTGCATTGTATAACATGTCAATCTCTTTTGCAAGCAAAATTTTTCGAAATGGCATATATTGGTATCTCAAGTTCATTTATATACCTAGGTCATGCTCAGCTGAATTTCTCGTTTACTCTGTATACCGTCCTGGCAATGTACTATTTTGTAAAATTCAAATTACTGTATACTTAAAACCAAATTTTTAATTTGGGTATTTGAATATGACTTATAAGGGTTTGAAATTTAGAGTAACTTAATACCATCTTTCAGGGGGCTAATGTTGAACCTTAGCTTAATTACTGCACACATCATTAGAGTATACTCATTTGTTTGAAATGAACAAGCATTGTCTGTTGCTTTACATGATAGGTAAGTGTCTGATGTACTTAGAAATTCACACGATAGATTTAGCTCCCATTAAAATAAACTGTATAAATAAAGTGACACTTTTATTAATTGAATAATGCAACCTGTTGTAGGATTGATTGTTTCTTAAGACTTTTTTTTATAGTTTCCTGATTGCATTTACATAGAAATGTACATAGGGGAATCCCAGGTTTTTGATTCCAGCGGCATCACTTGATTGACTTATTTGTACTGTTGTGATGTATATGTGCTATTGTGCTTTAGACTATATTATAAATAATGTAGAATTCCAGCTCTTCATAGTCTAATCAAAATAGTTTGTTCACCTTACTGTACATATATGCTTCCTCTTCAACCTACTAATGTTAAACACATGACTTGTTCACCAGAGTACCATAAGTGGACTAATTTCAGAGGTATTCTAATTGTAGTTGCTTTGGAGCTATGTCTCATCTGCTTAAATCATTTCCATAACTAAAATTAGACAATAAAGCACAGGCTATTTATGCAGGATATCACATACTGGACTGCAAATGACAATAATTCACTTGCATACATAATGAATAAAAATCGTTTTTTTTTGCTCTAGTCAAAGAGTTTTGCAATTCAGCTAGTTTAAGAGTGCACTAATTAGTCCTACCACCTTTGTTCTATTCCAATTTGAGTGCACTAAAATAAGTACATTTACAGTCGCTGTTTCCCCCTTTTTTTCCTAGTAAAATCCTTAAACTTACCCCAATTACTTTTCCTTTATCAACCGTCCTCTAATTTGAGTCACATTTATAACTTGTTCACTAGGAAGAGTACCAGCCTCCATCTTTCCCAGTTGTTGTACCAAGATTTACAGATTGTCAGTTGGAAACTGGACATTCCTGCCGTTGCAAACATTTCCTTTTAGAGGTAAGTCATTAGCACCAATTGTCATACATAGTTAGCTAAATCAGTCAAAATGATGTATTTTTCATAAACTTTTAAAAATGTTTGCTTTCACTGAACTGCATATGATTGCCATGAAGCATTGACAAGGGGAAGGCATCCTCGATATCCAGGGGTTACACTCACTTTCGCTCTCTGCACCCCTGGAATATGTCAAAGCGAAATTGAAGGCTCAGTGTTCACCACTTTGTTGATACAACAAGAAGACTAGTTTAGTCCTTGAATTGATGTACATCAAAAGAATCTTGTGGTCGCATAATGGTAAAATTAACTGACTTTGAAGTCGGATGTCACTCCTCTGTAATCTTAAAAGGACAGGTATCAGCCTAGCGATTGATGAGTTGCTTTTTAGGTCACCTGAGACTTTTGTCCGGCGGCGTCCGGCGTCCGTCCGTAAACAATTTACATTTTCGACTTCTTCTCCAAAACCCCTGAACCAATTTCAATGAAATTTTGCAGAAACCTTCCATGGCCAAAGGTCAAAATTTATTTCGGTTTATAGTGGCAAATGATACTTTGAATATTACATGTTAATAACTTGATTGGAATTATAACCCTGAGTTGACAGTTTGATACTTTGAAAAATTTGAGCCAGCCCTACCCCCAAAGGGCTGTAGGGTGGGGCCCAAAGGAGTCAGTGTGCTAAAAATTTCTTCATTTTCCTTGTTTAGAATCAGAGGTGCTAGTTTCAAATATTTTTCAGACTTAAATCCGTATGCTAGATATTGAATAAGGTGGTTTTATTGTTTTTTGTCACTTTGAATAATATTTCTGTTCATGTTAAAAACAAAATCAACTCTCTGTATAAATATATCAGGTGACCGTTAAGGCCCATGGGCCTCTTGTTTTTTTTTTACCAGAGACCAATCAAATAGCTAGCCATGTGTTTCAAATTTGCTATGAGATATTTCAGGAGCACAGAGAGCAAAAGTGAGTGTAACCCCTAGAGTATCGAGGTTGGGTGGGGCCGGGTTGCAACAGAAGATTTCAGCATGTCTGTCAATCCCTTGGATTCCTGTCTAGAGCAGCTTTGACTTCTAAATGGCTGAACAATAAACAATGTTTATAAAACTCCCTTAATGCAGGTATCATGACTGAAACTCTCTAGTCTGTTATAATAATAGTTCGAGGTTCTTTTATACCCCTTTATCACATTACCTAGTTCGTAGGTCGTCTCAAAGCGGTTCACAAATTATTATCCGTGGTTATAGGGCCTTTGCAACAAGCCAATATCATTCTCAACTCCCTGGGGAGCATACAGCCGGTGCTGCCATTTCGGCACTGACAGGTAGCATTCAACAATTCTAGCACTGCCCAACCACATACTCATTTACAGGCTGTCATTTTGGATTTTTTTTTTTTTTTAAAACTTGAGATCAATTTCTAATAGGCCTATTTAACTGAAACTCTGTCTAGGAATGATCAACTCATTGTCCTGACAAACTTAACTAAAGGTTATACTTAACTATTTTTTACTCAAATTTTAGTAGGGATGATTGACATCATTATCTCCACTTCATATGATATTTCAACAACAATAATTAATACTGTAGGACTCAGGTGACTGTTAAGGCCCATGGGCCTCTTGTTATATTAATATGCAATCTTTGGGAAAACAGGGTCAAAATCAAGAGCAGGCTATCAGACAGATACTGATGTATTGAGTTTAGGTATGCTATTGTTAAATATTTTACCTAGAGTCATACTTGAATTGTTCTTACGTATTACTAGGTTAACCTCTGGTGCAGTAAAGCAGACAACTCAAAAGTGAGAATATGTATATTGTTTGAAAGGTATATGGTGATAGAGATGATTTTCTTAAGGAGAGCAGTTATTGTAAACCATGCTATGTGTCTCTGCAGGAAGACTGTACCTTTATCAACCATGGGGCCTTTGGTGGGGTGCTCCGTGAGGCCATGGACTCTGCTCAGGTAAGGGAACATGTGTCACGCTGGGAAAGCACCAAGTCATTGATATTTTCAGTCTTTACTTGGTTAGCTATTGGAATAACTTATATACTGAAGTGGTTATTGCTGAAAATGTACACAGTTTTAAGAGGAAGCTGATTTAACACTTATTTAAGAGAGACCTTCTACTCAAGTTTTACCAATAGTTTATATCAGTATGGTGTGTGACAGTTCGGTCGTCCAGACAATGTATCGTGATGCACACTCGACCAATATCAATTAATGAAATGCCTACTGCATGCCAGGGAATTTTCACTGCGGTTTAATTTTTTCATTTTAGCTTGTCAGGGGCTTGATAAAATGATTTTTTTTTCTTAAATCTCATATGAATTAGGAAACAATTTGAGAATCTATATGTTCTCTTTAATTGTGATTTATACTTAATATACATTCATCAAATTCAAGTTACTTTATATAATTTTAAATTCACTCCCTCTATTGATTCTACTATCCAAAGCCATTCTAGTATTCTCATTATGTTACCAGAATATTTGGCAGTCTTTTCCATTGCTTTGCAAAGTTTTAAATAAGACAACACTCCAAAGCCATATTGGGTGACAGTGGTTTTCCTGAAGCATTTATCCATAAGGTGTGATGGAATTTCCTTCTCCTGAAGTAGATTACCAGTACCAAATACTAAGTGGCAATTGTACATAGAGAGGTGGCAACTGAAGGTATAAGAGTGTTTTCATTAAAGTGTAAATTATATTAAGAGAGATGGCCTCAGAGAGTGTAAAGGGATTTTATTTTAGGCGTAGCAGCAGTATATGAAGAGACAGCCACTGAGATTGTATGTTTTTTTGTGTTTTTTGTTTTAGGAGTGGCAGCGGTATGTTGAGAGACAGCCACTGAGATTCTATGACCGGGAACTACTACCACATCTAGTATATGTTACCAGGAGGCTGGCAAAGTTTGTCTGTATGTACATACCATCTGTATAGGGATCACTGCTAGGTGAATCAAATAATGAACTAACAATGCAGAGGCTCAGTCTGGCACTGCACATTAGAGAAGTTGTGACTTTGCAGTGTCACCTAAATGTAGAGGTCTTCTCACAGCAGGTAGAGGTCACCAATTCGTAGAAGTTCCATACAGTAGATATCATACCTATGTAGAGGTCATCATATAGTAGGTAGAGGTCACCTCGTTGAGGAGATTCTATACATAAACAGCATCTTACTAACACTTCAAAGGATATCACAGAGCAGGTAGAGGTCACCAATTTGTAGAAGTACCATACTGTAGACACTTTATCATTGTAGAGGTCACACAACAGGCAGAGGTCATCACATATTAGAGTTCCATACTGTAGACATTTGATCATTGTAGAGGTCACACAACAGGCAGAGGTCATCACATATTAGAGTTCCATACTGTAGACATTTGATCATTGAAGAAGTTTGAAAGCAGGTAGAGGTCACCACATTGTAGAGGTCAGAAAGCAGGTAGAGGTCACCACATTGTAGAGGTCAGAAAGCAGGTAGAGGTCACCAATTTGTAGAAATACCATACAGCTAACACATAACAACAAGGAAAAGGTCATCACATTATAGAGGTCAGTGAATCACAGTGGTCATCACATGGTATATGTAAATGTCAAAATTGACAAAAATATAAAAGAAAAGAGGCCATCATTAAGTTCATAAAACTATTCTTTTGCAGGTTGCGACCCAACTGACTTGGTGCTGGTGATCAACGTTACCACGGCGATTAATTCCGTTGTGAGGGGCCTTGACCTACACAAGGGAGACATCATCTATGTACTGAGTGTTACATATGGTAGGAACAGTGGCATGTGTTGAGGTCATCAAAAAGTAGTGGTCAACATGTATAGGTCACCACACTGTTTAGGTCATCATACTGTATAGGTCACCACACTATATAGGTCAACATACTGTATAGGTCATCATACTGTATGGGTCACCACACTGTATAGGTCACCACACTGTATGGGTCAACATACTGTATAGATCACCATACTGTATAGGTCACCATACTGTATAGGTCACCACACTGTATAGGTCAACATACTGTATAGGTCACCACACTGTATAGGTCACCACACTGTTTATGTTACCGCACTGTATAGGTCAACATACTGTAAATGTCACCACAATGTAGAGGTCACCACACTGTAATGGTCACCACTCTAGATGTCATCACACTTTAATGCTTACCACACTGTAACGGTCACCACACTGTAATGGTCACCACTCTAGATGTCAACACACTTCAATGCTTACCACACAGTAGAGGTCACCACACTTTAGAGGACACCATAGTGTAATGGTCATCACGTCGTAGAGGTTATCACACTTTAATGGTCACCACATTGTGGAGGTCCCTATATATTGTCTGCTATTGTCAGTTAAGTATTACATGTATTGTCCCTGTATCCAACCTGAATGAGACATTTTTAAAGTGACATATTACATTATTAATTTAATAGGTAACATGCATATTAACTACTGAAATTTTCTTGCTTTATTGTACCCCAGGAGCTGTCAAAAAACTGTTACAGTGTGTATGTGAGAGGACAGGAGCTGTGCTACAGGAGGTCCAACTAAACTTCCCTGTCACTAGTAAAGAACAGGTCAGAACCGTTAGTTTACATTACAGTGTATCACGATTAATTTTTTTCACCTGGTGTTCATTTTTGAAAATGTGAATACTATGTGTATCCTATAATAAGTCTTGGGGTGGGGGCCAACACATACTCTGGCTCAAAATAGGGAGATGGGCTCATTACAGGACAATGGCATTTGTTGGCATTTGTACTGAATCACATAGATATAGGTGGGCTAATTACCAGGCATGGGGTATATTGCCACATAAATGCAGGACTAGTGCAAACATTATCTTTTGTTGTGAAAGAGTAATGTTGCAAAATATTGTGTACAATGTTCCAGATTTGGGTCGTGTGACCAAAATAAATATACAATTTATCGTCAAAATCAAGTGACCATTCAATAAATTCTTTATTATTTTCAGGTGATTACCCTGGTGAAGGATACCCTACGTCCAGGAGTGAAATTGGCCTTGTTTGACCACATACCCAGTAATGCCCCTGTTATTCTGCCTTTGAAGGAGATCATCAGTATTTGTAAAGACAGGTGAGAGTGTCGCATACAAAAAGTAGGTCACTGTGACCATTATTTGACCTCTATATAAAAGGCTTGACCTTTGTAGAGGCCAAATTTGTAATGATAGAACAATTTGGAACTGTAGTGTTGAGTACTAAAAGTATGTCACTATGACATGTATTTTGGCTTATTATAGCAATCATGGAAAAAAGATAACTTACATAAGAGAATATATACTTACATATTTTAGAGCACCAAATAACAGATACAGTGACACAACTGGGCATGACCGAGTGTTGTATACTATAATCAGGTCACTGTGACCTTCATTTGACCCGAGACGTCTTTCACAGTAAAAAACGCCTGATGTGAACTTATATATACTTGAACACCTAGGTACAAGAAAACCTGAATACAAATAGATCCTATGACAGAGTGATAGATATGATTCTAGAACACAGTAACCTGCATTTCACTTTTGACACAAATTGGTGAGTGCTTGTCGACAGTACAATGTACATCTAACATCTGTTCCATATATAGGAATATCAAATCTAGCATTTGGAGACACGCAACGTTTTGCCCCAATTTAGAAGTTCTAATCTAAATGTAGGAAAGATATATGTACAGTACACTAATTACTGTAGCTTATCACCGGTTGGGAAAAATGGATTATTCCACTATTCTTTTGCTCATTGTTCTAAAATCTAAACCCAATGGGCATAACACATATAGATCCCCAGGTCATGGTCCATGTATGTGAATCCTGTGTGTGAAGTACAAATACAGTTCATGGGTTGGGGATCTGTACATGCCAATCTTCTGAAATGTATGCCCCCTAAAAAAATCTGTGATTAACCTCGCTGTAACCTATCAATGTTACAGTTCATATATATTTTGTTACGCTTCAGAGGTGTACCAGTCCTGGTAGATGGAGCCCATGCGTTGGGTGCTCTCCCCTTGGACATAAGGGCTCTGGACCCCGATTACTATGTCAGCAATGCCCATAAGTGGTTTTGCTGTCCCAAGGGGTCTGCATTCCTGTATGTGAGAAAGGAACTCAAGTCCCAGACAAGGCCACTTATTATCTCCCATGGTTTTGGCTCTGGTTTTAACTCAGAATTCATTTGGGCAGGTGAGATTTACTTTTAAAAAAAAGAGGACTTTGTTTACTTTAAACCAATTATGAAACAAGAGTTTCTTATAAAATCACACTTGTTGGCTCAGATGGAAGTGTGTAGAGGTCTTACCTAATATGGGAAGAATCTTGAGAACCTGGAGAAAAAATTGACACTCCTGCTCGGACAGGTGACAAAATAGCTTTCATATCATAATTTTACATTGGTTGCTTAAAATTAAAATTTGAAAAAAAAAAAATGAATGATAACATGTCAATTTATAATTAATGTTGGTAGTATTTTGACCTTTTTATCTACTACAAAAGATTTCACAAGTACAATATTCAATTATTCCTTTGGCAGCAAAATTATGTTTGGAAGACAATAGGATATACAGATTGTACATGTACAGAAATGTTGTCTCAAAACAGAAATGACACTGCAGCTAGGGTTTGTTCTGTGTGTTTTGAATCTTATCAATGATTCCACAAAAGACAAATTATCAGCAACTTACCTTGTCCTTGGATATTGATTGAAATACTGACTATTGCTCACTATAGGTCTTCATGACTACAGTCCCTTTCTGGCCATGCATGTGAACATGAACTTCTGGAAGGATATTGGAAATGAGAAGATACAGCAGTATATGTACGACCTGTGTAGGGAATCTTGTAAGTACTTGTGTAATGATAAGTCTGTGTTTGCTCACACATCAGAGGCACAGTAGTCTAGTGGTAGGATGCCGGGCTCGTGACAGAAAGGTTGCGGGTCTGAGTCATGGCATGGCACTGTGTTGTATCTTTGAGCAAGATACTTAACTCCGCTTGTTCCAGTTGGGCAGTGCTAGAATTGTTGAATGCTAGCTGTGAGTGTCGAAATGGCAGCACTGGCTGTATGCTCCCCATGGAGTTGAGAAAGATATTGGCTGGCTGCAAAGGCCCTATAACCACGGATAATAATTTGTGAACCGCTTTGAGACGACCTACGAACTAGGTTGTGATGAAGCGGTATATAAGAACCTCAAATTATTATTATTATTTATCAGCTCCCTTCCACTTCCATAAGTGTCCCAGGAGTGCTCATGTCAACCCCAACCAACACAGCATTGGTAAAATTTCTCCCGAACAGATTCGGATAGTTTCATCAATGGTAGACATGTGCCAAATTGATGAATGAATGCTTTTGAACAGAGGGGTCGGCCCAAATCTCCCGACTTTGGTTAATTAATTTTTTCACTAACGGAGGGGGCTTATTTGCGGTCAAATATGAACACTAATGATACATGCGAATGTGTTGTATCTATTTGTTGATATTTTAACTTTGAGTAACAGATGATTCCAGATCATAACTTCGGAATCAGTGATATTTTATGAAAATTCATACACAGATGAATTATCTCTACGTGAGCCATATATAAGCAAATGTCAGGACCTTACCCATAGGCGAGGGTCAGAAATTTACATCATAGCTTTTAAGTTCTCTTTTTAACCATATATTGTTTTAAGGTGTATTTGTCCGTCATTGTCAATGTCACAAAGATAGGGCGAAGGTTAAAATGACTTTTGGAGCATATTTTCTTTTTCAATATTTAAAATATTTCAATAAACTTCATGCAGTATCTATAGCCTTGTCTATACTCCAACCATCACAAAATGGATATCAAACTTCAAATAACATAAATTAAGACTTAGTATGCAAAAACTATTTTCAGGACTAGCACTTCAAAATCATTATTCTTTTAAGAGCCATAAATTGAAGTACCATGGTATTAATGGACTGAGTAGTCAATTATTTTGACGATATTTTTTTTAGTGAGTATTGACAATGTATTACATTCTGTTTAATGTGCTCTTAATTTTTTGAAGAAAAATAATTTAATGAACACAATAGGTGATTGTGGTGGCTGCATACACGAATAAGTGCAGTAGAGAATAATTTATGTATTTTGTTTGCTTTCCAGGTAATTTGCTGACATCACTTTGGAACACTAAACTGGCGGCTCCTATGGAAATGTTTGGTAATATTTACATGTTATTTTTACAGTAAAACGCTGAAATGATTACAGTTGTTGAAGAACTCAATATATCGTTATCTCCCTTCAAATATTGAGCTTGCCACTCTACCCCTAAAGAGGAAACAGTATTTGTTGCATTTAATTGCACCCCACTTCTCTGTCCTCAAACAGGCCATGTTCTTCATTTATACAATATAAGCCCCCTTGGTCCGGTAATGCTTCAGACCCAATTTGGTTGAAATCTGTGCAATGAGCCATTCTGGAAGAATAGGTTGACAGACATATATGCTAGATGTTGCATGACAGCATAAGCTCACCAGTCCTTTAGACCATTGGAGCTAAGGATTGATAAACCAAATCAAGTTGGACAGACAGACCTGTTCTGTAGTATCATTCACTAAACATGACAAAATAAATACTACTTGTGTGCTTTGTTGCAACTTTCAAGTGAAAAATATTATAAAATGATATGCACTTTTTATAATAAACTAACATATAAAAAGTACTATACCATATTTGTCACCTCAAACGTTTAAATGAAAGATTTGTGGCGTTACAGACGATGGTGGCACCCACTTTTTTTGGCGGGCTGAGGCTGCAAAGAAAGATTGTGTATAGTTGCAACTTTCCAATATTTTAACTATGTATTTTAAAATTGCTACTTTCAGGTTGTATGGCCCTAGTAGAGCTTCCTCCTCAGTTGTATTCCTCCGACACAGCCATAACCTACAGCACGGGAGAGGCCATTCAGAACCAACTCTACCATCAATATAATATAGAGGTGAATCAGGAATTATTTATAATTGGAGCCGGTTCTCTCATAGAACACATAGTGCACAAGTCATTGGCCAGAGGCTCCATGAAACCAGTATTATTATTTTTTTCAAGATTTCTGACTTATACAGTGTTTAATGCAATCAACATTATATTTTAAGACTTTGCCCTCAATATAAGTAACATTAATTCATTTTTGTATTTTCCATGTTTCAGGTTCCTGTCAAATGTATTCAAGGCACCCTGTATGTTCGGATCTCATGTCATATCTACAATGAACTAGCCGAATACGAAAAACTGGGAAATTGCATTCTTGAAATGTGTTCAATTAAAGAGAAGTCGGGTATAAAAAGACCAGAGATCAGTGATACTCATCAATGTTCAGATGAATCTAATGCACAGATTGTAAGCTAAAAAAGAAGTAATTGAGTAAATAAAACTATTTTTTCAATATTTTGCATTGTATTGTGTCACATAACCAACTTAATGTCACTAAATTAAAGTCTTCCATGTTTATTTTTGTAAAAAAAGATTGCAAGGAAGTATTAAAATACATGTATGTGCTTGTGAGAAACCAGAATTACTTCACATTTTATGCAATGCATGACCCCACTTTAAAGTAAAAGCAGGACAAAGAAATTCAACAGTTTTGTTGGAGGCTGAAATTTAATTATATCTCTCTAGTTTTACCAACTCTCTAAAAATATCACCTGGGTCATTCCTTCAGTTTCACAGAGTTTCAGAGGGAATTTATAAAACTACAAGCTATCACTTCCGTGCGATGTTAACAGAAAAATTACAACCTGAGGGTAGGATTTTCATTTTATTGCCCAAAGGTTACACTGAGCTATTGCATTTACAATCAGTGTCTGCTGTCTATAAACTGTTTCTTTGAACATTTCCTAAAGATCCACTGGATAGTTTCAATCTTATTTGTGAGGAAGTTCTTGTATCTGTGTGATTGGAATTTAGATTGGCACAAGATATATATTTGGACCCATAAGTGAAAAAAAAGGTTTACAATTTGGGCTATATAAAAAGAGTAACAAAAACTGTGCAGAACGGACATCATGCATTTCTAGTCAAATAAATAGTATTGTATAAATGTATTTGCAGTAGTGATGAAAAATGAGTTTGCATGTATTTGAGTCCACAAGCAATGTAGGCTATGGTGTTCAGAAAAATGGAGCAAGTTTTATGAAATTTGGTTGACTCATTTTCTATTTAATCTGCGGCTGTGAACTCAACATCAGATTTATGACCTTGATAATAAATTGTTCCTGAGGGAGAGATGTCAGAAATGACCATGAAAGATCCATGAAATTCTATATAAAAATTTAGTCAGGAGTGAAAGTCAATTTCCAAAAATTCTGTTGCTGTGGCCTCGACCGTCAACTTAAGTTCGAAGAAATGGGTGTCGGAAATACCTTTTGTGAAGTTTCATGGAAGATTGAAAACTTAAGTAAGAAACCTTATGACAAACCAATTATCTAATTTCCCATCGTCATGTAAAGATTCTCTAATTGTGACCTTGACTGTTAATGCATGGCCATCACTTTTAACTAGGCTCCAGAGATTTTCATCAGGAATACCGGAGTGAAAGTTTGATTTAACACTTTAATCAGGAACATAAAGACAACTCCAGATGTACTATTTTTCAATTATCATGTAAAGATTATGTGAAGCTGTGACCATGACTTTAGCTGATAGATTATGATCAGGAATCGTGTCGTGCCAAGTTCGTGTTTGGTTGAAAACTTTAGTCAGAACCGTCGACAAACTTCTGTGGAGTTTCATGTTTGGTGAAAACTTCAGTTTTGTAGACAAGCCATATATACTATTTTCTCCATAATCTTGTAAAGATTCTGTAGCTGTGACCTTCACCTTCAACATATGACCTTGGCTTTTATCTCGACTCCACAGATATATGTCATACATGACAGGAATACTTTTGTGAAGTTTCATGTTTATTTCAAAACTGAGTCTACTCAAGCACCTGCAGACAATCTATTTATATATCCCCCCCCCCCCCCCCCATACATACAATGTCACAATGTATAGTGACATTGACCTACAACTGGGCTCCAAGATTAATGTGCTTAGTTTTTTTAATTAGTTGAACACTTAAAAATATTAGTCAGGAATATGTGACAGGCCAAATATTGACAGATGGATGAAAAGTATGTTTTGATATTCCTTATTTACCACCCTTAGCACATGTTCTGTAAAGATTGCAAAGGACAACTAGGTGGCACTTTGCAAAGATTTGAAATTGCTTTTATATATTTGCCTCAAGTATGTTGCAGGCATCAGTGTATTGATTATATCTGAAAATCTTCAAGGTTGTGAGGTATGTCACGGTCACAGGTGAATAAGGCACATGAATAATTGTAGATTAAGTGAGTGACCTTTGACAAAGTGCACCTAAAAATGATAAAAAAAAAGGTGTCTTCCTTTCCTTTACACAAACACACAAACAAAATATCTGGTAATTTCTGAAGTTGGCATCAGACAAGAAAATTCTATTCTAGCAAGTGACATTTGACAGATCATGCCCAGAAAAGAAGTTTTCTTCTTGTGCAATTTACATGTGTAGTCAAGAGATTTGTACATTCATTGAAATTTTATTTTAGTTATAACTGACTTGGACCTTTCACAAACCATGACCAAAACCAGTAGGGTTCTTCCTCAAGACAATTTACATTACAAAGTCTGAGCTTTCGTGAACATTTGGTTTGAAGTTAGAATCTGGTGAAGAACAAGAGGCCCAGAGGGCCTGTATCGCTCACCTGAATATTATATTGCACTACAAATATTTCCCTCGCAAACTTTGTCGGCTCCATCTGTTGAAACTACCAGCCAAATATTATTATAAGATTCTATGTTTTTTTCTTGTTCTTCAGAAGTTGTTTGACATATTTTCCCCTGTGACCTTGTGAGTAGGTCAATGTCATTTTCCTTCTCAAATTGGTTAGCTCTATTCAAAAAAGCTACCAGCCAAATCTTATGAATCCATTCCTTTTAGTTCTTAATAACAAAAACTTTAAAATGTTGTTGACCTTATTGACCTCTAAAGTAGATTGTTGTGACCATGAAAGTAGGTCAAGGTCATTTTCATTTGCAAACTTTCTCATGCTCAATCTTATGAAGTTAAGATTTTATACCTTAAGTTCTTTGGAAGTGGTTCAAAGAGAAACATATTTGACCCCTTTGATCTTTAAAGTAGGTTGAAGTCATTTTCATTCTCAAACTTTGTCCGGCTCTATCCAAGGAAGCAACCAGCCAAATATGAAGATTCTATCCTTTCAGCTCTTCAGAAGAATACGTTTGAAGAGTTTAACACATTTTACCCCGGTGACCTTGAATGTAGATCAAGGTCATTTTCATTCTCAAACTTTGTAGGACTGTATCCCATTGAGCACCAGCCAAGTATGAAGATTCTTTACCTTTTAATTCTCCAGAAGAAGTCTTTTGAAGTGTTTGACACATTTGACCCCTGTGACCTTCAAAGTAAGTCGAGGTCATTTTCATTCCCAAACTTTGTTTGGCTCTATCCCAGGAAGCCACCAGCCAAATATTAAGATTTTATACCTTTCAGTTCTTCAGAAGAGTTTGTTCTAAGCGTTAGACATATCCGACTCCTGTGACCTTGATAGTCATTTTTATTCCCAAACTTTGTTGGCCCTTTCCCAGGAAATAACCAGCCATACATTAAGGTTCTATACCTTCCAGTTCTTCTTCAGAAGTTGTTTGAAGTGTTAGACATATCCGACTCCTGTGACCTTTAAAGTAGGTCAAGGTCATTTTCATTCTCAAACTTTGTTGGGCTCTTTCCAAGGAAGCTACCAGCCAAATATTTAGGATCTATACCTTCCAGTTCTTCTTCAGAAGTCATTTTAAGCATTTGACATATCTAACTGCCGTGACATTGAAAGTAAGTCAAGGTCATTTTCATTTTCAAACTTTGTCGGGCTCTATCCCAGGAAGCCACCAGCCAAATATAAAGATTCAATACCTTTCAGTTCATCAGAAGAAGTCGCTTGAAGTGTTAGACACATTTGACCCCTGAGACCGTGAAAGCAGGTCAAGGTCATTTTCGTTCTCAAACTTTGTTGGGCTCTATCTCAGGAAGCCATAAATCAAATATAAAGATTCTATACCTTCAGTTCTTCAGAAGAAGTCGTTTGCATTTGACATGTTTGACCCCTGTGACCTTGAAAGTAGGTCAAACTAATTTTCATTCACAAAATTTTGTTGGGCTCTATCCCAGGAAGCCACCTGCCAAATATAAAGATTCTATATCTTTCAGTTCTTCAGGAGAAGTCGTTTGAAGTGTTTGACACATTTGATCCCTGTGACCTTGAAAGTAGGTCAAGGTCATTTTCGTACTCAAACTTTGTTGGGCTCATCCCAGGAAGCCACCAGCCAAATAGAAAGATTCTATACCTTAAAGTTCTTCAGAAGAAATCGTTTGAAGTGTTTTGACACATTTGACGTTGAAAGTAGGTCAAGGTCATTTTCATTCTCAAATCTGTTGGGCTCCATCTGCCAAATATAAAGATTCTTTACCTTTCAGTCCTTCAGAAATCGTTTGACATATCAGACTCCTGTGACCTTGAAAGTAGGTCAAGGTCATTCCGTTCTCAAACTTTGTTGGGCTCCTACCAACAAAGCTTTCAGCCAAATATCATGACTCTAGGCCTGTGCGTTCTTCGAGGGAGTTGTTTAAAGGAAAAGTTGAGAGACGACAGACACCGCATCACGACATAAGCTCACTTGCCCTTTTGGGAAAAACTGTGACCTTGATGGACTAAAAAGTTAATCTAAAGTTTTCTTCCTCTTCACTTTGGCAAGCTACATATTTATTCTGAAGCTGTCATCTGGACAAATGCGAATGGATAGACATCCCAGATAAATGGTATCCTCCATTTTTTAAATCATATTTTATGTATTATATAAATATACCAATGCAATGTGCCATCATCAAAGACGCATTAAACGTTGGTACACTGCTTTGGCATGGGAAGAGGATGAACATTGTTGAAATTAAAGATCAACAGGGGAAGTTATGATTTCTGGTTGGCACGGTATTGCAAAGGTTATATATCATAACCTTAAAAAAATAGACATTTAGTTTAAATATAAAGTCAAAAGTAAAAGTTATAATTTAATATTTTACAATAGCCTAGTGTCAGAATGTATATCCCTTGAATGAGTGCGTCAAGATTAAATTCAATAATGGCTATTGAACGTTGTCGTCAATCTAGCAACTTACTTCTTAATGGAGTGTGATTAAACGATTAAACTTAATATCCGTACATGATAGAAATTTTTTTCAGCATCTTTCTGAAGTAAATTTCTAAATCTATCCAAAAGAAAACTTCAATGTTATTACAATTAGATTTTAAAAAGGTTAATTATAAGATAATGAAGTTGCTAGAGATGCAAGGTAAGGTTGTGTATGCTCCATAACAGACTCGTTAACTGATGGTATTTTCATGAATGTAGTATTTTATAAACGAACATATTCATATTGCCACACTTTCCAACTGAAGATAAATTAAGCCAAACAACAAAAATAATAAATAAAAAATTGGTTTTAATAAATATTTTTTGTAACTTAACAGGATTTTTTGGGAGAAAAAAAACCATAGCACACATTTATATATCAAAGTATTTTGTGTGTCAAATTGATAATCAAAGTCTGAACCTACGTCTTTAAAATATAGTCTTTTAATGATTTTGGATGCCTTCCTATTTAATCAGGTCCGATGTTGAACTGATCAAACGTTCATGGTTGATGAGACGTCATGTCTAATACTCGTCGCCTCCCTCCTCCTCAGCTTCTCCCTCAACAGAGTCCACACCAACTTCCTCGTAGTCCTTCTCAAGGGCAGCTAAATCCTCACGAGCCTCGGAAAACTCTCCTTCTTCCATACCCTCTCCCACATACCAGTGGACAAATGCACGCTTGGCGTACATCAAATCAAATTTGTGGTCAAGACGCGCCCATGCCTCAGCAATAGCCGTGGTGTTGCTCAGCATGCAGACAGCACGCTGCACCTTAGCCAAATCACCACCTGGTACAACGGTGGGTGGTTGATAGTTGATTCCAACCTTGAATCCTGTTGGGCACCAGTCAACGAACTGGATGGTCCTCTTGGTCTTGATGGTGGCAATGGCAGCGTTGACATCTTTTGGTACAACATCACCTCTGTACAACATGCAGCAGGCCATGTATTTTCCGTGACGGGGGTCACACTTCACCATCTGGTTAGCTGGCTCGAAGCAGGCATTGGTGATCTCTGCAACAGACAACTGCTCATGGTAGGCCTTCTCAGCAGAGATGACAGGGGCATAGGTCACCAGAGGGAAATGAATACGCGGGTATGGTACCAAGTTTGTCTGGAACTCTGTCAGGTCTACATTTAGGGCACCGTCGAAACGAAGTGAGGCCGTGATTGAGCTGACAATTTGTCCAATCAGCCTGTTTAAGTTGGTATATGTAGGACGTTCAATGTCAAGATTTCTCCTGCAGATATCATAGATAGCTTCATTGTCCACCATGAAAGCACAGTCGGAGTGTTCCAGGGTTGTATGGGTTGTCAAGATAGAGTTGTATGGTTCAACTACAGCTGTTGACACCTGAAAACCAAGTAATTATGAACACATAAATTCACGTTAATTTTCTTACTTGTAAGCAAATTCAACAAAATATGTATATGGTCCCAGTTAAAGTGACTCTACTATTCCACACTTCTCATTGAAAGTACTGGCTCTTGCTAACAACTCACAATTTATAAATATTAAATTTCAGCAGTTTTAAGTCAATTTCTTAAATATACAATCAAATCATAGTTAAAGTTATAAATAGGTCAGATTAATTTGACAATTTATGCCAAAGAATAGAATATAATAACTTAAATTACCTGAGGGGCTGGGTAAATGGCAAACTCAAGCTTGGACTTCTTTCCATAGTCAACTGACAACCTTTCCATCAAAAGGGAAGCAAATCCAGAACCAGTGCCACCACCAAAGCTGTGGAAAATGAGGAATCCTTGAAGTCCAGTACATTGGTCAGCCTGGAGGTTAATAGAAATCATGTTTTTAGATATTGTGATTCAATAATATAATTGGATGAGGTCAATTTCTCCATTGTACCATTTGACACAGCTATAGCGGCTATACATTAATTTGACTTGGGTATTACATAGTGGAACTTGTCTTAACCTTCCTTTTTTAATAGCTAGTTATTGTTACCTAAAACCTTAAACAATAGCTCTCACTACATGTATCCCTAGAGAGAGTTTTCGCTCTTATACAGATACACTTTCAAAAGTAAGTGGTGCTTATCTGAGCCTTTGGGAAAGGTAATCCTACATGAAGATGAATTTAATTGATACAGGAAAATTAAATCAAAATCTATTATTATCATATACCCATGGAAGCTGACTAATTCTTTTTCTTTCTATTTATATATAAACAGGATGCAAAAAATTAGACAAAAGATAAATATTAATTACCAGTTTCCTAATCCTATCCAACACTAGATCAACGATCTCTTTGCCAATGGTGTAGTGACCTCGGGCGTAGTTGTTAGCAGCATCTTCTTTTCCAGTGATGAGCTGCTCTGGATGAAATAGTTGGCGGTATGTTCCAGTCCTCACCTCGTCTAGAAAAAAGAAGTTCATAATAAGCGGAGTTTAAAGCTAGTTTTGTGTGTGTATCATGCCCAGATATGTATTGTTTCATCAAAGAGTCTTCAAAGGAGGTTTAAAATGTACAGCCTGAAAAGATTTACCAGTATTGAAAACTTGGCACTTGCTTGATCTAAAGATAAAGGTTATCATGACATCATTTCAAAGTACTGTGTGCTTTCTTTGACTGATGCAGGTATACTTCAGATTTCTTCAAAATATCTGGAAGAGTTTTGAAGTTATAGCCTGGCAAGATTTTGCAGGAAATGTTACTTCTACTATGACCTTAAATGTCAAGATCAAAATGACATCATCACTCATTAATTTAGTGCACTGTACAATGCCATTGGTCGATGCAGGTAAACTTAAAGTTTCATCAAGATGGCCATTACATTTAAAAAGTTCTCACAAAAATGAAAAGGTACCCAAAAAGGAACACTCTTCATGTGATATGTAGTATATTTTGGGTTTTTTAGTTCCAGAAACTAAACAGGAAATGCTAGCTGTTATTTTTCTTTGAAAAGAGTTTCATTTTGGGCACCGTCCCTCACATTATGGAACAGACAAGATATCACTGGAAATTTTGCAATATTTGACCAACTTACTCCCTTTGCACATTTCTTGGAGAGGATGAAAGTTGGCTTATTCTATATAATAGTTAGCAATGGCATGCACAAGATTCTGTTTGAAGAGAAACAGAAGAACCAATACAAATATGCCTTATATGCAGAATTTAGATACCCAATATAATTGTGTTATCTGGTTGCAAGGCATCCTTGATATCGAGGAATTACGCTTACTTTAGCTCTATACACCCCTGGAATATGCATGTCATGGCAAAATCGAAGGCACAAAGATAGCTGTTTGATTGGCCTGGGTAAAAACAACTGACCAAACGCTAGGCTGATACCTGTCCTTTGAAGATTACAAAGGAGAGACGCCCGACTTCAAAGCCTGTCAATTTTTACGGTTATGTGACCGCGAGATTCTTTTGATGTACATCAAAGTATCAAACTAGTCTTCTTGTCTCATAAACAAGGTGGCGCATATCGAGCCTTCATTTTTGCCCTGACCTATTCCAGGGATGCAGAGAGCAAATGTGAGCGTAACCCCTGGATATCGACGATGGTTGCAAGGGTATACAAATACTACTTTTTTTTCTCATTCCTATGCACATGACAGAACTGTCCTGGGCAAGAAAGAGGTGCTGGAAATTTCAATATTGCACCCATTTTTTGCACAACATTGGTAAATGGAGAATATTACAATGCTCTGATGAGGAAACTGCAAAGCATTTTGTAAATGGGACCTAAAACAATAGTTTAAATTACACCCTGGACATTTTCTAATTGGAATAAACCATTGACAAGCCTCATGTTTCATCCAATTTGAAAACTTTTGCACTAAATTCACCCTTCTGGATCCCTGGGCATACCCTACTCCAGGGGATGGTTCTATTATTCCATATGAAGGCAAAATTTTGGATTTTCTGCAAGGCCGGGGCAAGTAACTTTAATATTTCTTTAATATCTTTTATCAATTAAGCCTCACCGACAACAGTTGGCTCCAAGTCAACAAACACTGCTCTTGGGACATGCTTTCCAGCACCAGTTTCGCTGAAGAACGTGTTGAAGGAGTCGTCACCCCCACCAATGGTTTTGTCACTTGGCATCTGTCCATCAGGCTGAATTCCATGTTCCAAACAGTACAGCTCCCAACATGCATTTCCAATCTGCACACCAGCTTGTCCAACATGAATAGAAATACACTCCCTCTGTGGTAAAAAAGTGAAAACTACTGTATTTACTATTTATAAGAACAAAGTTAATGCAATTCATAATTTTGGTACAGATATAAATTTTAATTTGCTTTGCGTTGGCCATTAACCTGACCCGATTCTAGTACTAGATCATAATTTTTTTAACCAAAAAAATCAGTTGGTCTTTCATTCAATTTCCCCCACATTTAGATCTGGCCCAAGGATTATGAAACAATCTTAGACCGAAATTTTAGCTTAGCCAATCAAGTAAAACACAACCTTTTCGGATGTTATTGATTTGGTTAAGTCAAAACTTTAATAAAATTATAGAATGAAGACTGTTTCATGATCTCTGGAGAGGAGACAACTTTTTTCTGTCTTATTTAATTCAATTTTATTTTATTTTCCTTTTTGAATATAATCTGCTGACAATAACAGTATTTTGCATTTTATAAAAAATGATTTTTAAGTCCATTTAGGCATTTTGGGAAAAGTATTTAGTTAAAAATGCCAATTTTGCATCAAGTAGGGTACCAGTAAGTTGACAGTAAAAGCAATATGTCGTCAAAATGATATGGGTCTTTACTCTATGGCAGAGAACTGAAATCAGGATAATTCATCGACCAAAAGACGTTGCTGTGAAATGACTAGAAACTAAAAAGTTATAGAACATTCTTTTATAAAATAAAGTAACCATGTGGGTGATTTGAATTATTCCAATTCTTTTTTCAAGTTCAATTCTTAATTATTTTTTTTTAGATATTAGAATAGTGGTAAATCTGTATAGAAAAAAATAAATCGGGAAATATGAGGAGCAAATTTCAGTTTGTAGGGTCCATGGCCCCTCTGATTATGTCCACAAAATATTCCTAACATCTCCCCCTTGACCTTTTCCCAAAATAATAAGCTGGGTGGGAAATATAGGCATTTTGGAGCCAAGAATGCATGATACAATTAGAATATAAGACAGCTCTGTGTATTGGGCCGTTAGCGTCCTTGACCTCATTTCTATAGCGACTTCCAGTTGTTTCTCAGCTAGAAATATTGCATATGTTTAGCACTAGGTAGACTCAAGACACTTATCTACCGATAAGTGTGTCAGCTATATTGGGAACTCCAAAATGGTCTATCTAGTATCTACTGTAGAAGAGCAGTTTTACTGCTGATCATCATGATATCAGTTCAAATTCAGCAACCTGTTTTTCTTTTCTCTTCGAATTTCGTTTAAAGATAGTCCATGGCTATATATAAGGTCACATAGAGTTCACCATAGGCTTGGTGGTCGCAATATTTTAGGAGCAAGCAAATGATCTTATTCATTCGTTTTAGATAATAAATATGTTAAAAAAACTTACCGGACACATCTTTCATGCAAGTTCCATTAACATGCATGATGCAAACATTTTTGTTGCTAAATTCTTCAGAAAAAGAATGAAATTCTTCGAAAATTTTATCAAAAGTATTCAACTGACTTATGACAAGTTATTTAGAATACATTAATACATCAAACAATACTTTCTTACCATTTTCTTTTTTTCAGTCTCACTTCTTTTCAAGGGCTAAGGCCTAAACGACTTTGTACTGAGATGAGTAACGTTCCCTGTACAAATTCAAACTGACAAACGCTAGCCTCTGATGCAGTATATATACACCTTCTGACATCATCGCACGTGCTGACTTGGAGACACGCGAAATCAAAAGCAACCATCTGAAAAATATTTTATTAAAATGAAGTTTGAGTTTAATTTATGTTTATTTTTTTACACGCAACAATTTTGTTTGAATTCCCTCAACAAAATTTCTTTACAAGATGCGTCGTCTGCTACAGACCGAGTGTTAACGGAAAATGACGGAGATTTCCGAAGTCGTCGGTGACATCATGCGGAAGTTTTCGTTTAGCGCCATCTTCTTCAATAATATTATGAGGAACAGTCACTTCAGCTAAGTCGTCATATGTATTTTGATGACGGGACTTATGATTCAATCAGGTAAACATATGCTGCTGTAGTCGCTAAAGCAATGTATTTGGTGTTAATTTGCAGAAATACAACAGTTTCGTTGTTGCTGTCAATATGATGTGGTTGCAGATTTCTTGATCGTTCTCTGTCCTCGACGTAAACAACGTAACAGTTACTGCTCTATTATTAAGAAAAAAAGGTATTTACGGTCTCCGAAATCACAGATCTCTGTCCAATAAACATTTTGATATTTTCAATTAACTGTTTAGGATCCCGGGTTAGAAAGAAAATAAACACTGTCATGCATTGATCCACTGTTGTGATGGTTTAATTTATCACCCTGCCGGTCAGTAATTCATATCTTAGACTTCTATATCCAGGCATTACTTTTGAAATCAAAAGGGATAGAATACAGGCGTCCGATGTATGAATGTATAGATATATTTATCCAGGGCCAACAACTGTACTTGCTTTTTTTTACTCAAATTCAATTAAACCATTGCAGAGAACAGCAGCTTAACATATACATTTCCTGCTACATTGTGTTTTCATAATATTAGGTTTTAGTCTTTAATATACAGCTACGATAATGAAGCTCCAGATGAAGAGACAATTTCATATGTATCGTCAGGGAGAGAGGAGGCCAGGTATTACACAGGTACCAGGGCTCGACATTAATTACGGGTAGCCCAATATTAAGTTACAAGCATGTATTAACAAAGTGATATGAAAGTTTTGAGTGGTAGATTAGTAGAACAATGATTTATTAACTATATATCTAGTTTATATAGTAACTATACAAAATATCCAGCTGGGCTAGTGACTGTTAAAACCGCTAGCCCACACCTGCCAACCCCGGATATATACTGAAAGAGGGCGATGACCCTCTTTTTGTATTTTCAAAAGAGGTATATCCAGGGTTGGCAGGTGTGCTAGTGGTTTTTACAGCTACTAGTCCAGCTGGACATCTTTTTTCGCAACAAATATAAGAAAAGAAGATATTAAATTAGAACTTTAATATTTTAATGATGCAAAAGGTACATTCTACATTCATTGAACTGTTCTTCCAGCATATCTAGCTGATCCTCATCCACAATACCAAATTCAAAGCTGAAAAAAACCCAGATTAATCATTTGTCAACAACACAACTCATACAATTAATTCATAATAATATATATATATGATACTGCATTTTCACATGTATTTGTTTCTGTCAATAACAATGGTCCTGACAATAAGAAGTCACACCCTACTCTATCACCGGGATTTATCCACTTCCAACTCTTTTTCCAATCGCATTTGATAATGATATGTGCACAATTATCTTTTCTTTTTAGCATTTGTGTAGTAGAACCTGCAAGTCCTGATAACGATTTCTTCCTTCCAGAAGACAATGTCTCCTTCAAAATACAATCTACTACGTTTACACAATTGTAAAAACAACTCAATTATTCGTTAAAACATTTTTACTTACTTGTCGATAAGTTTGGCAACAACGGTGTATATATAAACATTTATAAAAACAGTTCTATTACATATAGATAACTCACAACTTACCTGTCTGTGAGAAATAGAAACAGGAAATAGATCGTCTTCCTCTTGACAAAGGATGGAAAAGTCTATAGGTTTCCGAGGGACTTCAAAAACGTCAAATGTACGAAAAAGATTCCAGGCGAAAAACCGTTTGAAATTGACGAAAATCCCAGCCCAAATCGTAACCCGGCATGTGCATTTGTTAAAGCTGGTGAAGGGCTATAATTTTGGGTGTAACCCGACGAAATTGGGTCACTTGGCAGGTATGCTTGCCCCATTAACTGTTCAAAATTTGATAAAACTTATATATAATACTCATGATGAATGATATTGGGTTATAGTGGAATTTGCACATGGACTAAAACAATTGGAAACTAACTATAGCTATAGCCTGACTGATCAAGGCTAAGTGGTTTTTAAATGCTAGCCCTGTTAAGTGTTTTTATTATAATGTTGATAATAAAAGAATAGAACAAGATTTGAAGAATCATGCAGTAAAGAATTGGGGCCAAAACAAATTATAGCTGCATACTTCCTATATATCTGTACCTATTTGGAAAAATTTCTCCATGGCCAGGTGACCAACACATTTTTTTAATAAATAATTGTCACTAAAAATAACTGGTACATCATGATCACAATTGCAAGCTATTGGAAATAGTTGGGAGTTCAACTAAAAATAGGGTTACACATTTGAAACTTTTAAGGGATGTAACAATAATTTATTACTGTTGTAACATGCAGGTGGGCACCCATCAAGCCACTGCACTGCCTGGGGAAGCTGGTTTATCAGTAAGGCAGTATTTTCTCATCATATTTCTTGTCTGTTATATTATCCACCCTCCTAGATGTCTTGCCCCAGGACTTGGTGAATCCAAAGGGACTTCCAAGTGTACCAATTAATGCACTTTTTCTAACCATTGAAGTGGCCTCGCATGTTACCACAGGGTCACTCTGCTCCCACCAATTATAACGTGCAGGCGGACACCCATCTAGCTGCTTACATTGCTTAACTATTCAAACTGTCCCCAAGTTATACTGCATCACAACTGGCTAACCATCAAGACATTATATTGCCATCATATTCCTTGGCTGTTATATTATCCACCCTCCTAGTTGTCTTGCCCCATGATATTCCTTGGCTGTTACAATATTGCAAAACGTTAAGGTTGATTCCATGCACCAATACTAACATATTATCTTTCATCATGCGTATGATAAAAGAGTAAACAAAAATGAATTGGCTCATCTGCACAATAATTAATAGTAAAAATGTATTTGTTACGTAAGATTATTTCTCTGAACTCTTCCAGGATGACTGCACTACCCTTGGAATCCTCATTGCCACGCCTAACATGACATGGAGGACGCAGTTAGTCGCAGTTCACTGGAATCCTCGTCTACCGGTGACGACTATGTTGTCGTCAATGGGGAGCCCAAACTGAAAATAACTGGAGATATCAATGACCTTAACATGGAGATATCGGTTGACAGCCCCCCAGACCAGATGACATCAACTCTGACCTCCAGTGAATCATTGTCAACGGACATCCGGCTGGGGGAAAGTAATAAAGGGGACCATGTCCTCCCGAGTAGCCAGTCAGCCGATGTCATCAGTGCTCCTGCAGGTGAATTTGGTAAACAAAACATAAAAACTAGCTCTACTGTGTTTGTTATACATCCGATATTGATTTCTATATAATTATTTTTTATGAAGCTTTCATTTAAATATAGTTTTAATACCATCATCTTTTGGACATTTTGTTTCTCGCAATTGTGAAAGTAGGTAGTAATTATCCTGGAGAACTGCTCATGTGAAATATAAAAATAAAGCCATATATAGCATAAGCTGTGAGTGGGAAAGTGGAAGAAATAAAGCAGCTAAGCATTTTAAAATTGGTGTAGCTGTATTTGATAGTATAGTATGTAAAAAGTTGTTGAAAATGTAGGTCTATTATTTTCTTCACTAAAACATATATACAAATGTACAATCATTATTTCATAATTAACCAGCGTTCCTCACATTATTAGCTCGGGAGAGATCAACCTCCTTGCCAGCTTCACCTTTCCAAGGAGAAACTGTATTCAATGGAGTTACCTACCTTGGCTGTGCTCTCGTCAACGCACCAAGGAGTGAGGTGGAGATCTACCGCAACATGGCCATTCTAAACGACCAATCACAGATGGCCATCCCTATCATTCTGTCGGTTCCAAGCACGTCACATGGAGTTGTGAGGTACATTGTTTACAACCAAAGCCTTCAATGTTTCTTTCCCATTCATGTCGTAACAAATGTTTTAACAAATGGGATATACAATTTCTTGATACAACTCTTGTCAAAATGCAATGAAGAGATTCAGATTTGGAGTGGATCAAGAAATTGTCATCTCTGTTTTTACAGCATCTGGTTTGTATATGTGTATATTAATTAATCGGTAACAAGTCGGGGAAGGATCTAGGCTCTGTTCCGTTAACAATTTCCATTTAAAAGAAATAGATTTTCAAGATCTCCTTTAAATGATGTTTTCCCTTATTAAACAATAAATATTTTTTCAAATAAAATTATTTCATCAATTGGTATGGTGTGGCCAATAAATAATTATAATGCTATTAAATGATCCTCTAAGTATTGATTAGTGTCTTTAGTTTTGGCTCATTCGCCAACAACATAGGAAAAATTTGCCACTACAATATCAGACATTGATGATAAAACCAAAGTGACTCCCCTGACCCCAGCTGTCCTCGCTTGATGAGCCAGATTGATCTCTGCAAGTTTTGTTGATTTGTGTGTTGCAATAATGCTTTTGGTGTCCTTACGTTGCAAGATTAAGCATTGATGTTAAGCATGAAAGGTTCATCTAATTTTTTATTCCTCAACTCGACATTGTTCATAGGTAATTATACAATTCCCCAAAATAAATTTTAGAGTACATGACTTTTGATTTGAAATTCTGCATATTTCAACTATTATAGATAACAGGGAACCTATGTCAGACTTCAACCAACGTAAGGGGAGATCTAATAAATGTGTATTGAGATAAAGGTTTCTAATATTAAATTTAAATGTAATAATAATCAGGTCAAGATTTATATGATATTTAAGTAGAAACGAAAATGATTCGGTAGCTCTAAGTACATTTGTTTTGAAGTTTATTTAGCATTTCTTTATAAAACAAAGTCCTAAAAATAGACTGCCCACACCTATTATTCCATGTTGTCGTCATGTCATGTCGATTAAATTAATAATAAGCGATTGAAATAGAATAAGTCCAGACATATTCATTAGATTTTAGAATTGTGGATTTTTGTTCCCTATGCTCCCTTTTACGTCTTTGCGTATTGCAGAGTTATCTTCTCTTGGGAGCAGGTATTGATTGTTACGTCACTTGGTTGTGAGAGTAACGTCATCAATTTTTGAGAAAACGACGTAATTTTCTCACACAAACCAATGACGTAACAATCAATACCTGCTCCCAAGAGAAGATAACTCTGCAATACGCAAAGACGGAATAAGTTACAATTTATTGATAGTATTATCCACCACATAGAATCACATGTTTTGTTTCTTGTCTTTTTCTTTGATTGCGTTCATGTATTCTCTTTGTTTTAAAGTACTTGCAATTGGTCACCCTCAAAACATATATCATATAAATATATTATTAAATTATATACAAATATGTATATGTATGTTCAGTAGTTCAATTTATGTGAATTCAATCTCTTCAGATATTCTGAAAATTAATATATGCTGCATATTGATAAATCAGTTGAGTTTATAATTACTGTATTGCTAAATATGGTCAATTAAAATTATGGATCATTTAAAAAAACCTTTTTAAGGTCGAGTTTATTATTTACTCAAGATACATATTTACAAATATTGTAAAAAAGAAATTCCCACTTACCTGACCTTTCTTTGATTGTAGCGCCTACCCTGGTCTTTGTTTATTTATTTTAAACAAGCAGTGATAAAGTCCAAAAATGTTGCTTTATAATCTCTGTAAAATCATTTTGAAAAAAAAAACTTTTGCCTTTTTAGGATTTGTGATAACTTTAACCCTTTCACCACTGTAGACCATGATGGACTCATCCAGATCAATGCATGGTAGAGTCTGCTAAAGTTACATAGGGTTGAAAGGGTTAAGCTTTTAAATGTGATTTTACTGAAATCATGCAAATGGACACTTGAAGTCTTGATTATTATTCATTTTGATCTGTCATTTCGTGCTGAATATTACAAATATTTTTCTTTCGATTTCATATTTATTTATGTTAACATATGTATAGTTTGTCTGGTATGGAAATAACAAGAGTTTGAACGGTAATGGGTTTGTCCTACCTTTATGAATTGATAGTGTTAGAATACTAATTACCATGTACGTGTATCAGTGTAGATTTGGTTGAGGGCATGACAGATAAGTTTGACTGTAACTGTGTTTTAATCATACAGCTGTGATTTTGTTATTTTCTTTCTTCAATTCCAGACCTGATGGATGTGTTAGGTATGCAGTTGTGTACATGTTTTAATATATTAATTATATATATTGATTTTTAAGTTTCTTCACCTTCACTCCGCAATCTTTAGTTGTTGGGTTTTCTTACATATTTTGCTTGGTTCAAGTTTCATTTAATTTTATTCTACTATCTGTGTGCTTTAAGTTTTCTGAAAGATATATCATAAAAAAAAAAAAAAAGAAAAAAAAAAGAATTTTAAGATCAGTATCTTTATCCTTACCTGGTACTATTAAACTATTACTGGTATGTTAAGAAACTCAATGATGACAGGAAGAGTAGGAATTGATGTCCCTAAGAAAAGTGTATTTCTTGTTATTGACCTGTATACATTGGAAAGTTCTGTACATATGAATATTGAAGTTTCAGTTGTTCATTTCCTTTGTTCAATATTTCAAAAATTGTTTGATTTGGAGTTGAATTAATAAACATTTCAATTGGATATTAAAAAGCAAAAAATTGATGAGGCATAAATTTGTCAAAATAACTTTATTTTGAACTGAAGTATAAATTATGCTAAAGAAAAAAAAGAATAACGAACAGCAATATAAACATTGAGTCAAGTCTTTCAGAACAAAAATACTGCATCAATTTAGAAATTGCTAAAAGATTGCATATGAAGCTAGAACTCTCCTGGTCCCAATCCCAACCCAGTGTGCACCATGTACATCATGTACCTGCGATACTCCTGCTTTTCCTTCATTCTGCAGTTGGATATGATTAGTATTAAAAAAGTTAAATACACAGTATTCTGTCTTATAACTTTTAAAATGGCACTTTGTGGTATTGTGTGAAAGTTTTATACAGTTAACAATTTTTATGAGGATCAAGAATGATCATGAAACAGTATACAGACCTTTGTATAAATATCCATAATTGCCACGAGGATAATATTTCGCGGTGGTCCTAATCAGAACTAGTCAGCAGTGATTAAATTTTGTGAAGCCTTGCGAGGTATGAATATCACACTCACGAGGGCACTTTGTATTTGGGTGATGGGATTTATTTTATAAGTGTTTTTGAAAATATAGTTAAATCGTCTAAATGTGATGTCAGATTGTTGTTTTATCTTAATTATTTGGCAGTAAACGGGTGAACAGATTTTTCTCTCTTTTTTGTTTTTGTTTTTGTTTTTTTAGTTATTTATATTAAAATTAATGGAATTAATATTGCTAAGCTTTTACTTCACGCTATCGTTGGTAACAAGAGTATAGCCAATTATACAGTATAATATACAACTGTATGACAAATAATTTATTCCTTATATGGAGACATCTACAAGTTTCCCATTAATAATAGCGGCATGAGATATTTAATTTTTTTACTGTATGGAGGGATGAGACATTGCAGATTCTTTTTGAACCAAATGTTTTTGAGCCGAGTTCATTTCATTTTAAGCAACATAATTCCCTCGATACTCCAGCATTATTATTTTGTACTGCAATCATTTTATGAATAAATTGTACGAAGTGAGAATCATCTCATTTGATATACTGGCCTCAAGAAGACCTCCTTATCACTAGTTATATAAGTCTTATTTAATGTCTGTTAACATCCAATCTGTGTCGTGTCAGTCTGTATTAAGTTAAGTGTCGTCACCCCCCTGCAGCACCTTGCTTGTTGGCTTCAGTAATTGCATGTGGTTCATTTGTGGGTCATAGTTGGTTTTTGTGTCTTTTGAGTATGCTTATAAGATATTCAGAAAACATTAGAAAATATATCTCTGTTTTAATTAGCTCTCTCCAGACATGGTGTGCATTGATGGGATGAAGGTCACTGTTCTATAAATTTTGTCAATAAAATGTACAAAATCAAATGTTTTGCCTAAGGCAAAACTTTTAACAATTTTCTGAGACCAGTAATGAAAAACAGAGATATTTTTTATTCAGCTTTACATGTTTTTTTTTAGCTCGCTTGGCCCAGTGGCCTTTTTCTGTATGCTCAGTATGCTGGTTGAGTGTAGCGGTGTACATTGTACTTGTCATAAACCATATCATTGTGGAAAGGAGGATTCAAATTTGAATCCTTTTATGTACATTGTATTTGAAATTTCATTTCAACATGATTTCTATTTGAAGAAAAATAACAGCTGTTGATTTGGGGGTCAAAGGGTTTAATGCAAAATGTCCACCTGTCTGATGCCATCTTAAACTTACGGGCTACAATATCTTAGCTCTATTTATAGATGTGTCTGTATTACACAAACACATACAAAAGGTATACACATGTACAACAATGTGGGAGGGTGTCATCCTCGATATCCAGGGGTTACGCTCACTTTCGCTCTCTGCACCCCTGGAATATGTCATAGCAAAATCAAAGACTCTGTGTGCACTGCTTGTGGATGAGACGAGCAGTGTAGTTTGATCCTTTGATGTACATCAAAAGAATCTCGGGATCGTGTAACGGCAAAACTTACTGGCTTTGGAGTCGGGCGTTGCTCCTCTGTAATCTTCAAAGGACAAGTATCGACCTATGATTGATCAGGTTCTTTTACCTGACACCAATCAAATAGCTAGCAGTGTGCCTTCTATTTTGCTCTGACATATTCCAGGGGTGCAGAGAGCAAAAGTGAGCATAACCCCTGGATATCGAAGGTGTTGGGCTGAACTGATACATATATTATGCTAAAGCCAATCTGTGTAGTGTATATTTACATGTTTTATATAAAGCTGATGTTTAAAGGATAGCTGGCTTAATTTCTATTTTTAGAAGGAAATACATGAATGTAGATATAGTTATTGGTGCCAAATAATAATTGACCTATCAGTATAAGTAAGAATGGATCTGACCCTAATTATTGATGTCTGCTCTATTGTGTGTCCATATCTTTCATGATCAGTTCTGGAAAATTCTATGTATCTTGAATAATATGAAAAACTTTTTTTTTTAAACTTTTGATTTCCAAAACTTTTATTAACATTGATCTGTTTCTTTTCTTTATATTTGTATAAGTATCAAACATTTAATTTTGTAAGACTTCTGTAATGTTCACAAATACTTGTTAACAGATGAATGACTAAATACCTGTTATCAATCTCAATAAAATGGAAGTGAAAGTAAAATTGATGCAATGATACAGTGACTCTTATTAAATGAGTAGCTCAGTATTTCTTTAATTTTGATGTTTTTCAGGATACTGGATCCGAGTACCAACACAGATATAACCTCCTACAAGATCCACCGTATCCTGTTCTGTGCTAGGGGGCCAGCCGATAGCGACGAGAGGCTTTGTTTTGCATTCACATGTAGCCACGGTGACTCGGCAGAATCTGCCATTTTCCAGTGCCATGTCTTTCGATGTGAGCTAGCAGAAGCGGTAGGTCTTGGTTTTTTTTTATGCCATCTTCTTCAATAAATAATCTGTAATTGTATGTGAAAGTCTACATTTCTTACTACTGATTATGAATCTTCTGGGAAAAAAACATCAGTACCGCATTGTCCTAGCTAGGTGTCCAGTAATACCCGACCCCACTTAAGAATTGTTTAAAGATTTTGTAAAATATTCTAAAGAATATTTGCAATGACTGATTTCATATTTAAAACAATATTTTACATGAGAGGTTGGATTTTTGACAGATTGTCATAATACCTGTTAGACATTGTACTTTCTTACATTACAGGTTGCGAAGATTCTCTACTCCTTCGCCACCACATTTCGCCGAGTACCCAAGAACACCAGGTTGTTGTCGAGCACTAGCATCATAGAAACAGAACAAACTGCCATCTTTACTGTCTCCTTGGAAATCAAAGAGGATGATGGGAAGGGGAACTATTCTTACTGCCCCAAGGACAAGAACATGTTCAAGTTGCGCTGTAACAGTGAAAAGAACATCATGATCAGTGTTAGTCAGACAGGAACCCGGGAACTCAAAATTGAGAGGTAGATTGAGGCAGCAGAATTTTCATTTACATTGTCCTCATATTCTTATGATAAATTCTGAGCTGTAGACCTGGTAAATGTTTTGTCAATTCCATTCAAACTATGAGAAAAAACAATGATTTGATCCCATTTATGATATATGTACAGTGCTTACACTGGGACAGAGTTTGTATAGATCTTTGATATCATTTTAAACCACAGACCTAGTGAATGGTCTACTTTAGTCTTTATATATACAGGTTGCATTATAATGATAATAATGAACTCCTATTGCAGATGTTTTGGTCTTTTGATATCACCAGGGAGGAATGTGAAGCACGGGGATATGCATCTTATAGAAATGGTAAGTGGAAGGTTTCTGTCTGGTAGTTTTACACAGTAACGATGAATCATACAGTCAGTCTAAGTATCGGACATTTGGCTTAAACATCACTGAAGTGAGGATTGGAATGAAAAAACTATCAAGATATATATATACGACGTATTTAATGTGAATTTTTGGAACATTTGAAGCCAAAAAAGAAGTCCTATCTTTTGCCATGATAAAAATCTCTTATCTGAATTGTCTAGTATAATGGAACAACTTTATTCAATCAATTTCATTCAGCGCTTGTACTATTTGAAACAGTTGAGTATTTTTCAGTAATGAAACAGAATGTGTTCTGCTGGGAATTTATAAAAGTTTGGAATTGTTTGGTAATGGATTAAACATGAGAGTTTTATATTGATTTATCCTCTACTTCCCAGAACTCCATGGGATACACAGGAGATGGGAAGTCCTACTCTATATCTGGAAACTGGGATCCAACGGAAAAGTGCTTTGCTGTACTCAACACAGAGACACCAAAAGGTAGATCCTATGTACTATCTCCGCTGTAGTCATATGCTGCTGTGTTAAAATCTTTTACTAGCCCGACCTATATCGTCTCTTAAATATTAAACGTTTCGACTAACTCTAACATGAAATTTACTAGCCCCGGGTGTTAAGCAAGTGGCACCGTCAAACCAATTTGAAAAAATTGGGGGGCATTGGTAGTGTGATATAGGCAGAATATAGAAATACATGGTTTGGAGAGGGGGGGGGGGGGGGGGGGGGGNTGTACACACTCCCCCCTTCTGGATAAAACATTGCTTCCAGTCTGTAATACTAAGTGCAATATTTTCAAATTAACCATTGTTGTAAACCCTTTGTACCTATGTCCTCTGTTATTGGATAACGTGTGCATTTCTAGAGAATATTATTGTAATTTACTGAAATTTGTCTATGTTTCAGATACTCGTGTGTTCCTTACCATTGCTGTAGATTTAGTTATTCATGGAATTCAAGAGCCTGTACGATTTGCAATGGAAACAAAGGCAAAAATCTTTCCCCAAACAGAGAGATTTTGGTACTTCACGAGAAAACCATATCAGGAGCAGTTTCATGTTAAGCTGAGACCGGTAGGAAATGCTTTCTTTATACTTCTTATTTTTTATTCTTTAAAACAACATTTCAAAAGATCAGTGTCTCAGGATAACATCCTAGGTTCTAAGTATTGGTTCCTGATTAGATTCTAATTTTGAGGTCAAATGTCAAGGTTGTTCAGAGTGTAACGTCTGTCATGCAGCTAAGGTCATTTTAGTACGATTGTCTTGTGATGATCACATACAGTGCAGTTATTCAAATGTTTTTGATGACTTAATTTGTCGGGATCACATACCAGTGGACATAGATTTTTGCCAAATATAAGCTTCTCTTTTAACAAATGTATGTTTAATCTTCTAGGTATGACTGCATTATGCAGATGACAAAGGTCAAGGTCACAGGGTCATCTAAAAAAAAAGTGTGAAATAGGCTTAGTTTCTCAAGATCTAAGTTATAGATCACAGTTATTTCTTATGAAGTTTTTACTCTGACAAACATTTGAGAATAGAGAGTCTAGGTCAGTGAGTCTAATACAGTGCAACCTAATCATTGACCAAACAAACCAAAAGGTACTATAATGGAAGTGTTGGGTGGGGGTCAGATCATACTTTGAGGCCAGAAGCTAAAAATGATAAAGATCTCGGTCATACACATGTTTGTATGTATTTTTGCAGGTTTAAATAGTTGGCCATGATTTGTGTGGTAGCAGGCAAAGGTTGATGTTTTATTCCGTCTTTGCGTATTGCAGAGTTATCTTCTCTTGGGAACAGGGATTGATTGTTACGTCACTTGTTTTTGAGAGTAACGTCATAAATTTTTGAGAAAACGGAGTAATTTTCTCGCACAAATCAATGACGGAACAAACAATACCTGTTCCCAAGAGAAGATAACTCTGCAATACGCAAAGACGGAATATAAAATTCTTCAGAATTGCATGTATGTGATATACTCCTTATGTGAAATTATGGAGAATGTGAACTCTTGAGACCCCTGAACAAGTTTGAGCTATATATGTGGACCTCTATTCTGGATGCTCCAGCTCTCTTGGTCCAGAATAAAATTGCCTTGATTGTATTATATCGTCCATAGTGTTTTATACTTCCCTGCTGGAGAAACTGAAAACTTTAGGTCTAGGATTGCACTTTGTCATTTTTCAGCCTGCTCCATTTCCTATCTAAATCGCATCTTTTGAAATTGAAATCTATTTATTTATGTCATGATCAGTGATCATAGATCAGTGGATTCTGCTTACTATAATTGCACAGCTATTTGTCAGAAAAGTTAATGTTTTTAACAAAACCTAATAAATAATTAACAGAAACCATGATGGGGGTCATCTTCAAAAGTAATGATAATGCATATAGACAATGTAAAACATGTGGTACTGGTGTCTATATATAGTAACAGGTCCCAAAATTAAAGGAATGGAATTGATAAATACAATTGTAATGGAATGGAAACAAAAAGAATAAGAATTAAATTGATAACCAAATCTAGAGAAGTGAATGTGTTCTCAGTGGGTTAGCCTTATTTACCAACATGTACAAGATAAGAAGCTGTAAGATCTTCTGTATCAGTCGCAATTTACCTTTTGACAGATGCCGAATACAAATAGAATTGCTACAAACTCAAATATGCTACACTAGTTGAATATTGTAACAGACACATATGTGATCAAATGAATTGACCCTACAAAACAACCAAATATTTGGGCCCGTATTCATGAAACCGTTCTCATGCTCAAGCATGGATTTTGTGCTCAAGCCAAATTTCTTGTTTCTGCTTTTAATTAATAAAAAAAACAAAAACATTTTGTCAATCGGTTGGAAGCACATTGAAGAGACTTACAGCAGAATACTGTTTACAATATTAACATTTGACTTTTTGATCGTTTAACATGATTTAAGTTAGTAACAAGAAAGTTGGTGTGAGCACGGAATCCATGCTTGAGCACGAGAACGGTTTCATGAATACGGGCCAAGGATAGTTGACCCCCGAACCCCCAGTGCAAAAAGTAAAGCTATCATATTCTCTACCAACATCTTGCCTGCTAAGCATATCGATAGTTAACATGTTAACATAAGGTGTCCACTGTTACCAAGGGTTAAAGTTCAAATGTCATGGCCATAACTTGCAAAACTTTATAAAGTGGGTGACCATGCCCTGACAGTTTGTCAACTCCTATTATCTGTGGCCATGGTGTCATGGTTTATAAATCCAATTGTTGATTTATCATGGTTTGGTGTTCAAGGTTTGTTTGATTCATGGCTTTTGTTTCTGGAATTCAATTTGGTTCCAGTTTAATTTTACAGCAGTACTGGTGCTATGTACTTATATTACACGGTAGTTATATATAATTACACACAATCTAATTGAATCACAACCAAACCCTATATCAAATTACAGAGTCTTCCATCGCTTTTTTTGTAGACTTAAAACACATGAAAAATCATCAAGAATGAAGTCATCTTCGTGTGATTATTTCAACATTTAGTTGTTGATGAAAAACAGAAAAATCGATCACAGTACATGTTTGCATAATGTGCTGATCAATGATAATGAAATACAAGATCGCTCAACATGCACCATCACTATCAGTGAATTTGAAACAGAAACACACGGTATAACTCATCAATGTTATGTATTCCAGTAAAAATGATACTTTTCATTTAGTTTAAAATGGACCGGAGCTAAATGTAATTTCATTAAATACTAAATAAAGAAATATGAATTTAGATGATATCTTCGGTTCTGTCATCCGAAGAATGAAATTAATAGTCTACAAGTTAAACATCTTTGTGGTTTAAAGTGAAACAAAATATCTGCAGTCTTAAGTAGAAAAACCAAAGGCTAAACTGGGACTGCTGTAATTGTTTTGTCTCAACATCGGGTCGTATTTCAAACCATTGTTATATGCTTGTCTGCATCAAATTACTGAACATCTAAATGTTATTTCATGACAACATTGTTGTATAAATATGGATATTGTTTTGACTCGTATTAAGCCATACAACACAGGCTTACTGGTCAAATCATTGTAATCCTTGCCTAATTGACAATCACTTGTGAACAGCTGGATACAGACATGAGATACATAACCTTTTGTATCATTCATTGATTAGCCAAGTTTCCAAAAGTAGTTTTAATCAATTGATTTTCATATGCAAACTCAGCGTTATCTCGCAACAATACGCTGCAAAAATGGCCTGCACTACACTGTGGTGTTGTCATAATGATGAATTGTATTGAGGATGGATTGAGCAACCCCTTGCAAATTATTTAAAAATTATCAAAGTATTATGTAAATCATTTTTATTTTGTAGTGCATGTGTTTGCGTTGACATTCAAGGCAATTCCAATGTGAATCTTGCAAATATTCGTCTCATTACTTTGAATCAAGTGATACATATATATGCTATTAAATCATGTTTGAAGTTACAAAATGTACTGTTAAAAGTGAACACAAAGAGAAGTCTTCAAAAAAGATTGCTGATTGGCATTTACAGATTTATAAAAAAAAATAAAAAAATCTATAAATCAATTATTTGTACCTTGTAAAAAAGAAGGTAGGATTAAGATATTTGTCAGTGAATGATACACTGTGTTATACACTGTATGTACATGTGAGATAACTAAAGAATAAAACTTTTGAGATAACACATTTCTCATATTCATATCTTTCATTTGATAAAAAAAAATATGAGAGAGAAATTTACCATCATATGGTATTGCCACTATATAATCCTACCACTTTCAGATGGCATTCATGTAGGCTATGAATGCCATGCATGAACCAATTGTAGACATTATCATTATTATGACATCATAATTGTTAGTTGTAATTACCACAGACGACTCCTCTGGACAACTGCATGGCTGTTCTAATTTCATTGAACCAGCATATACGATAAATACATTATTTGAAGTAAATGCTGAATAATTATAAGGGTAATTGAATTTTCCACGAAATTAATTGATTCGAAAAAATGGTAAATAAAAGTATTGAACTGCTTCCAGTAATTAGCATTCATAACCATTATGAATGCCAACTGGACAAAGACAAATCCTGCATGAAGCACTAGCTGACTTCATCTAATTTGCCTTTTTTCCTGTTGGCATTCATATTGCCTATGAATACCAACTGAAAGAAGTGTTCAATGCTAGTTTGATGGAAGAGAACAAATTGAGGAATATTATGTGTTGAATAGATGTCTCCAAAGATTTTATAGACAAAATAATCAACATTTTGCTATTTACATGTATATAATAATTGATAATTTGATTCCAAGAAATTGTATTCAAAAATGTTATTTATTATGTATCGCATTACAGCCAGTCATAAAAAGCCCTACATGAATCATAAATATCTCTTCCTAGCTGATGACAAACTCTCCTTTAAGTTACTGTTATTAAAATGTCAGTCAGAGGAAAGGCACGCTGGGAGATTAAGGTGTACAACACATGGAAACATTCTTTATAAACTTGGACAATTGATTAGCTTAACAGATTAGCAGCTGAGTGTAATATTAATGCTGTCATTCATTTATCCCCGTAATTAATCAATCGTTAAGTAGGGAGATGGCTGGCGACATTATTGATGGTATTAATATTGTCAGATGGAGACAGAGTTGTTACGTTGACATCACCCTGTATGGGAGAAGTCCTCACTGTGTATAACAGGAAGTAGGTCAGTATTTCACTGTAACATGGACATATATATATACCAATACGTAGGTAATAGACCCTGGTATAACAGGCCAGTTAATGTGTGCAACCATGGAATGTGATGCAACAAACAGAAAATGGGATTGATAAGAAATAAATATTGGTTGCAATAAACCCCAAAAGCAAAAAGTGTGAATATAGTATATATCAAATTGAAACTTGAAGTAGTGGAAGGGTTTAGTTGTGAAAAGTTATTTCATGTACCTCTATATAGCTATAGTGTCATGTACATGTTGTCTGTGTGTGATCCAACCACTTCATGTGATCAGCAGACAGCTGGGTTGTTATGATTGTTTTATGTTTGGAGAGG